AAAATATCATCGATTGAATCGTAGAAAATCAAAGAAAAAAAAAGGGTGAGAAAGAGAAAAAGAGCAAAAATAGCCTTGAAGATTTCATTAAATCTCGACTTTTTCATGCTTTACATTTCTCTTATGCGAAATATATATATATATATATATATATATATATATATATATATATATTGCGATCTGGAATTTTTTCTACGGGGACAAAAAAATATATTTCTTTTCCGTGAAATATGAAAAATTGACACGAGAGTCGAATTTTTTTTTACCGAATATATATTCGATTTTCATCGTTCAGCAAAATAAGAGAAAATTAAATAAAGATTTAAAAAACAAGTTATTTTATTTTAATTTACAAAATTTTTATTTTATTGATGAGAAAAATATAAAAGATATATATTTTTCTCAGAGCCAAATAAATATTGATGTGTGATAAATAAATTTTTTTATTTATAACAATAAGTTTTTAGGCTTTCAGACGCAAATATATATTTTTATTTGCTTGAAATCAATTTTATTTGTCTCAAATAAACGCCAATAAAATATTTCTAATTGTAATATAGATGATTATAAATGAGTAATTAAAAATTAATTAATTTGAAACTTGAATGAAAATGAAATATTTTATTTCTAAAGAATTGGATTAATTAAAAATAAATGAAATAATTGTTATATGTAGAATTTTACTTTTGTACTTGTGAAATTGGACAAAAACGCAGCAATTTAATTGAAAAACTATGCACTTTTCAAATTTTCTGTAACCACATCGTTTTGCTCTTTTCACTTTTGTAGAACAAGCTTTAATTTTACTCGTTATATATATATATATATGTATATATAGTTGAAGCCTCAATAATTTACTTTGAAACACCTCTCGCGAGTTACAGACAAAATGTACCGTATCGGTAACTCACCTTTCAATCTGATCGATTCCATTAATCCACCGAGAGATGTATTTACTTCAATTTCAGGGAAAATCGCTTAATTCTCACTGCCCTTCCCCCCTCCCCTCTTTTTCTCGTATAGTCTCATCAATTTTTTTTCTTTTATATATATATTTAAATAATATATTTACATTGCCAACCATTTAACGAATTAATAATTGAATTTTTTTAAAAAACTTTTTAATGTCCGAATTTTTTAAAGTATAATCTCAGTTTTTCGAAATTCAAGTTTGGTGGAAAAAATTTAAAAAGTTGAGCGACGCTGACATATTGGATCCTTCATTTTGAATTTTGAAAAACTTTTGCCATCTGTTTTTCTCTGCCATATCACAATTTTCCTAAAAGTATCAAATTGAGACCAAAAATTGCATCAAATCTTTGCAACGTTTTGATGCACATAAGTTATATCAAAAAGAGATCGTTTTGTGTATCATTTTTAGAAATGATACACGAAACGGTCTCATTTTTTGATGCAAAAAATTTAATCAATTTATATCAATCATGGCCGAATTGAATCGACTCAAAATTAAACGAATTTTTTTCAGATATTTTGGTAATAGTACAATTGCGGAGACCATTTCACTATTTAATTTGAAAATGAAAATAACAGAAAATCAAAGACAATGTGCAATTCGATAATTAAAAAGTGACAGCTTATAAACATAACCTAAAATGCATGAGAAAAAATTTGTCGATAAAATCAATATAGCCGAGCTTTTTAGAAGGTAGATGGCAGTTTTGCTTTTTATAAAAACGATTCAGAAAAAATTTAAAGAAAGAAAATAGATGAGTGCTGCCATCTACCTTCTAAAAAGCTCGGCTATATTGATTTTATCGACAAATTTTTTCTTATGCATTTTAGGTTATGTTTATAAGCTGTCACTTTTTAATTATCGAATTGCACATTGTCTTTGATTTTCTGTTATTTTCATTTTCAAATTAAATAGTGAAATGGTCTCCGCAATTGTACTATTACCAAAATATTTGAAAAAAATTCGTTTAATTTTGAGTCGATTCAATTCGGCCATGATTGATATAAATTGATTAAATTTTTTGCATCAAAAAATGAGATCTCTTTTTGATATAACTTATGTGCATCAAAACGTTGTAATAGAAAAAGATACAACCAAGTTTACTGTGATACTAACAGATAAAAAATATATATAATTTTTCTGCAATATTTTTAATTTGTAATAAAAAAAATAACATAACTAGAAAATTATTATTATAATTTTTAAATATGAGAGATTCTTTTTCAATCGCCCCAGCCCAAAAAGTCAATGTTCTGGGATTGGCTTCATACTTTGGTAAGTTGTTCTCCTATATGATAGTAATAAATCCCTAAAATATAAACTCATTAAAAAAATATTTGTAGAAAGTAGAGGGGGTTGAAGTTTTGACGTTAAGGGTAACATTGTCATTTTCAAATCCGTATAACTATGACAAAAGTTAATGGATTTTAATTTATCTATAATGAATTTTAATGCATTTTTCACGTACTTTTCAGAAATGTATATGAAATTTAAAAAAAAAACTTTTTGACCCCTTTTTTTCCAAAATCAACCCTTATTTTTCGATTTTCACCCCTTCAGGTATTTTTTTTTTTTTTTATTTTATTTTCATTGGAAAGCTGAGGTTTTTTCCGATGAGCTATGTAAATATGAAAATGGGACAACAATAATTTTGTGAGTAACAGAATATTAAAGTAGGCGGTGCCGATAAGGGGTGTACCTGGAGACCATATTTGAGGATTTAGGTAGGCACCGTCTAATTTAATATTATGTTTCTCGCAAAATTATTGTTGTCCCACTTTCGTATTTACATAGCTCATGGGAAAAAACCTCAGCTTTCCAATGAAACTAAAAAAAATTAAAAAAAAAATTCCCGAAGGGGTGAAAATCGAAAAATAAGGGTTGATTTTGAAAAAAAAGGGGTCAAAAAATTTTTTTTTTAAATTTCATATACATTTTTGAAAAGTACGTGAAAAATGCATTAAAATTCATTATAGATAAATTAAAATCCATTAACTTTTGTCATAGTTATACGGATTTGAAAATGACAATGTTACCCTTAACGTCAAAACTTCAACCCCCTTTACTTTCTACAAATATTTTTTTAATGAGTTTATATTTTAGGGATTTATTACTATCATATAGGACAACAATTTACCAAAGTATGAAGCCAATCCCAGAACATTGACTTTTTGGGCTGGGGCGATTGAAAAAGAATCTCTCATATAAATTTTATTATTATATATTTAATTTTAAAATGTTTAGGGAACTATATGTGTAACTTCTAACGGTTTACAATTATTTTAAGAGAACTACAGATGGGTGATTCTCTCAAAAAGGACAAATTACGCTTTTAAGATATTTTGTTAAAAAATATGAAAATTAATTGAAATTATTTAAAATTCTGTCAGCCATACGTTAGGATTTAACAATTTTCAATCGGACCACTAAAAAAAATTTTAAAAAAAGGTAAAATAACTGAAATATTGAATAAGAACTGATGTTACGGAATGGAGTTTTAACACTAGTTTTCATTCAATAATTCAGTTGTTTGCCATTTTTTTGAAATTTTCTTTAGTGATCCCATAAAAATTTGTTGAATTTTATCGTATGGCTGGGAGAATGTTTATTAATTGAAATTAATGTTATTATTTTTTAACAAAAACCTCGTCCAAAAATTGTGCACAAATAATTTGTTCTTTTTGAGAGAATCACCCATATACATAAAGAAAAGAATTTTTCTTTTATTGTCATTTTGATTTTCTTGTTTAAAAACCAAAAGGCGTGACATTCTTATAAAAAGGAACAAGTAGATATATAGAAAGACTTTTATATTCTACTAAAAACAGCGAGAGGAATCTCTTTATATTTCCTCGTAAAGTGACGAAACAGAGACAATTTTCCCTTACAACAGAATAAACTTTATCTGCGAGTCTTCTCCTTATTATACTGCTATTTAACGAGAATTATTTATATACTATATAAAACGCAAAATTACTTCGATTATCAGACTGTAAAATAATTAACGTAATTATGCTACATTAAAAATATTTGCAATTTTACAATTAACAATTACAAATAATAATTATTAAATGCGAGTTAATAAAGTTTAATTTGAAAATGAAGAAAAATTATATATTTATTTCTTTTATAGGAATTAACTATTTTTCAAATAGTTAATAAAATCAAAGCAATTACACATTTTTTTTCATATTTTATTTGTTTTTAAGTTTAATAAAGGGTATTTTTTGTAAACCCGTATAATAAAATAAATAAATGCATAAATAAAAAAAATAAATTTTTATTCAATACACGTGTCTGTTATGTACAGTAGTAAAGGTCAATTTGAATATACACGTGCGTGTAATTCAGTGGAATAAGCAGCGCTTTTCTCAGACCAATATAGAGAGAAATTTATTTAATATGCTATTTTACAAATATTACAAAGAATTTTATAATTTTTTCCCTACACACCCAGTGAAATGATATACTTATATCTCAGAGGCAAATAAATATTTATTTGTTTTAAATAAAAATTTTTTATATTTAAGGCAAATAAAATGATATTATTTATGTGCTCTAAGACAAATAAATTTTTAATTATCTCAATTAATTTAAAAAATAAAAAATTTCTCATTGTATACATATTATAATTGAATGTACTAAAAATATGAATAATTTTTGTATTTGAAACAAATACCATTTAATTAACTAAAATGATAATTATTTAATACAAATAAATATTTATTTGATAATAGTTAAGTAACCGATTATTTAAATTAAATAATTTTTTTTTCAATGTATTAATGTTTACCTTTTTAATTTCAATTTTATTTAAAATAAAATGTTTTTTTTATAAAATCTTTATGTTATGAAAAAAAAAGTAAAAGTATATATAGAATATATATTTTATATTTGAAATAAGAATCTAATTAACGTTGCGCTCTTAAAAATAAACCGCTTGATCGATAAAATATATTGTATAAGGCGCACATCGATAAAAGGGCAAATTTCATAAAACTAAATAATCGATTTGCAACATGTGCAGGTTTCACGATGAAGAACACGCGAACCTGCTTAATGCAATGTGGCTCATCGCGATCACATTCTTGAGTGTCGGTTTTGGTGACATCGTACCAAACACGTACTGCGGAAGAGGCATTGCAGTTTCTACGGGAATAATGGTAAGATAGTTAATCGATATTACAAAATCTCTCTCTTATTATTATATAATAATATTCCTTCAAAAAATGATTTTTTCATAAATTCACGATCAACAATTTATACAACAAAAATTTGTGAACAAAAAATTAATTATTATTTTTCGAGTGAAACAAATTTTTTTTTTATTTTCAATTATTGATCATAAACGTTGTGAATTTAATAAAAAAATAAAAACTATTTCTCTTTCAATAATTTTACGACGAAACATTGAAATTTTCAAATAATAATAATTGGCTTTCACATATTTTTTCTAAACCTCATTTCTTCATTTGATAAAACAAAGGAAATATGTGACGCGCCCTTATGAAAAGGGACCTAAATTACCTGAATTAAAAGTTCCTTTTTATTTAAATAAAATCAAAATCAGTTTTCTTTGATAATTTTTGAACGTAGAACTTGAAATAATTTTTTTTCATTTCAATATTTTCAGAAAAATTAAAAAAAAAAAAAAAAAAATTGGACAAATATAAAGAAAATTAAAAAGAAATTTTTTCCTTTTTACAGAATTATCATCTTTTGTATATCGTGTGAAAATCATTGCGATAATAAACTAATGACGTGTTAAATAATATACACTCACTTTATACTGATATTATAAGTTAATTTTACAGTTATTATCCGCGACATATTATTTTGAACCCGCAGCAAGAACATTATATGTAATTAATTATTTTGTGGAGAGTACATACTCGGGGTACATTATAATGCCGTACATTACATATACGCGGACCACGTGACTAAACCCAAAATCAATAGTTCATGTCGCATTGTCAACAAATCCTCTGTTATACATGTTACAATAATTAATTTGCATACGAAATTATTCTACATTTGAAAATATAAATTCCGTTTACATTCCGTTCATATATATTTATGTATACTGACACAAATTAACTCTAAATTCAATTTCTAATTATATCTGTTTATCATCTGTTTTATCGATATTGATTGATAATACACTCACTGAGAAAAAAAATTTAGTGTTTGCAACAAAATTGTTTGGTTAGGCAATTTTGGTTCTTGTAACCAAATTTTGGTTGGCTAAAACAAAGTCGTAGAGTTATCTCAACCAAACATTTGGTTAGGTCAACAAAATTATTTGGTTGAACATTTTTAAATTCCAACCAAAATTCGGTTACGACAACAAAATAATTTGGTTAACACAACAAAATAGTTTGATCTAAAAAACCAAATGATCGTTTGTTGTCCTAACCAAAATTTGGTTGCGACAACCAAATAATTTGATTCGCTCTCAACTTGTAGCTTAAGAGGACAGTTAGTTTAAATCTCTCACAAGGATGGGTAGTCGAGTGGTCAGAGCTCCCCACTCGCAGTTTAAAAACAGAGGTTCGATCCCAGGCGGAGATGAGATTTTTCAAAGTCCACAAATATTTCAATTGGATAAATATAAAATCAATGTTAAATTGATAATAAATAAATAACAAAATAAATAAAAAAAATAAAAAGAAAAGAAATAAGGTAGAATAAAATTTTTAATTTTACAAAAAAACTGTTTGTTTGATCAACCAAACATTTTTGTTGACCTAATAAAAAAAATTTGGTTGAGTTAACCAAACATTTTTGTTATGCCAACAAAAAACACTCAACCAAATTATTTGGTTGACTCAAACAAATAGTTTGGTTGCTTAAATACCAACAAAATTTTTTTGTTGGCCCAACCAAATTTTGGTTGCTCTGACATTTTTCTTGCTGATACAATTTTAGTGAAAAATTTAAATAATTTAAAATTATGAAATTTAATAAAATGCAAAATAAGAGAGAGAAAATAAAAAAAAATGTAGGGTCAACTGGGGTAAATCCGAACGCTTTTAGTAAGTTTCAACAATAACATAAGTTTTTTCTTTAAAAAAAAAATACTTCCGGTATTCTGGTGCATGAAGTTGTTACTTTACTTCCATAGAACAATTTTATGGGGTAGTAAAAATTTTTGATAAATTACAATCGCAGCAAACTTAGCGTTCGTATTTACCTCGATACTTTGCAACTTTCCTAAAATATGGGGGTAAATACGAACGCCACTGTATTTCAGAAAAATCTTAGGGAAAATAAATTTAAAGTATTGCAATTGTTAAACTTATATAAAGACTCAAAAAAATACGATAATAAACCTATTATGTAATAATGCATCATATATAAATACAAAAATCAAACAGGTTAAAAATTAAAATGCATTACACAATTAAAACCTTCAATAACTTTATCAAATCATAACGGATTTTTGCAAAACTTGCTACACAAAGTATTTTGGAGTGATTGAATGTAAATACAAAAATAAAAGTCAAATTTTTTAAATTCAAAATGGCGTACTTTCCTAAAACTTATTTTTAAAAATGATCAAATTTGCTAACCCTGAAACCCCCCGAGTAACAATTTTCGAGGGAATCCAATGAATTTTTTAATTCTCGTCCGCCATTTTGAATTTTGAAAAACTGACTTCAAATTGGTAATTAGCGACCCCAAAAACCGTAGAATACCAAATTTTATTAAGATCCTGAAAAACTTTTTTCAACAAACCATTTGGCAAAAAAATTGAAACACTCCTTCGAGAGAACAGAGATTAAGTTTCTGCTTATTAATTACTAACGAGGATACGTATAGAAAGAAAAACTTTTTTCTATGTACTTTTATAATGTTAAAATAATAGTGTAATCAAATAAAAACAATTTTGTGTGGCTTTGATGTAAAAAAAAATTATTAAAAATACCGTTCGGATTTACCCCAGTTTTCCAATTTTCTTGGGTAAATACGAACGGTCTGATATTATTAATAAAATTTTACAGAAGGCAAAAATCAAATATAGTTTCTGTTCTAGTATTCATAACAAACAATTATAAATAATAAAATGAATTTTTAGCTTCTTTTTCTTCAAATACGAGACAAAATACTGAAAGAGTGTCATCTTTGATTTTCAATCTTTTTTGCAATACTTGTTATCTTTGTTTATGCTGTTGCTAATTAACAAACAAAAAATGGGATAATACTTAGAATCTCTTCAAGAGGATCTGAGGTAAAAATTCTCATATCGAACTTATTTTTAAAAATTTTAATTAAGCTGAAATAATTAGCGTTCGGATTTACCCCCCGTTCGGATTTACCCCGACTGACCCTATTCAGAAAAAACTAAAACTAAGTTATTTGAAAATTTCCAATGAATTTAATTTCTTTTTTTTTAGAGACAGATTTTCTCAAAAGGATCACCTAAAATTTTCAAAAAGTAATTAATTTTTAATTTTACATCGTTTTTTTTTACTTCTATACTGCAATCAAAATAAGTGCGTCTGAAAATAATAGACAAAAAAATAATTTTTGTTAAAATTATAAACAATTAAAATTTTTAGCTGTTTTAAGATCATGTGATTGTTGTGTAATATATGACACATGACAATCAATCGTTAAACTATTTTTGAGTTCTTCACAAAATTTTAGCTCAAAATCTATCAAATATTTTTCAAGAAAATCTGCGGAGAATATTTACATGCGAAATCACATAACCTTAACTAAAAAAGAAATTTTCTCGATATCCAATTCAAAACAAAAAAAACAGTATATTTTTCTCGTCATGTAATTCTGATCCTTTACTAATTTGAATAATTTCATTAACTTAACGTTTATTAATTTATTTAAGAAATTCAAAATTTTATAACTATAAAATTCATTAGTTTGAACCACTTTACTCGTGTTATTTTGACAAAGAGAAAATGAAAATTTTTAATTAACCATGAATCAAGATATTGCATGTAAAATTTTACTAACGCATAAAGAACAAAATAATGCGAAATTTTAATTTCTCAAGTGAAAAATTACTCTCGTGGTTATATATATCTGTTTTAATTTTCCAAATGTTGTTTTACTGTGTATATATAAATAAATTAGAATTGTCGACAAATTTTTTTTTTTTTTTTTGGGCGCATGATTATCCCATTAAAATCATTAGTGAGAATTTTCATTTTCAACAATTTTATTAGATATAATTATTTTTTAGACGAATTTTCATTTTTCGAATTAACATTTGTCAGAATTTCTTTTTTAAAGAATTTTTAATTAACAGAATTTTTAGGCACCGAATTTTTATTTGGTAGCATTCATAAAACGCCGAATTTTTCTTTGTCCGAAATTGCAAATGGCCGAACAAACAATCGACAAAAAAGATTTCGGCGCGATTTTTAAAGTCCACCAATCAAAAGTTGTCAAGAAAATTGTGATTGGTGGATTTTCAATTTCGGACAAATAAAACTTCGTCGTTTTAAGAATGCTACCAAATAAAAATTCGGTGCCTAAAAATTCTGTTAATTAAAAATTCTTTTAAAAAAAAAATTCTGACAAATGTTAATTCGAAAATTGAAAATTCGTCTAAAAAATAATTATATCTAATAAAATTGTTGAAAATGAAAATTCTCACTAATAATTTTTATGGGATAATCATGCGCCCCTTTTTTTTGAATTGATATTATTTTTTATCAAGTTTATTTGAAGGAAAAATGAATTTAATTAATTTGAAATTTATCTATGATATAACATATGTATATATATATAGTGTTGGTACTTTAATGATTTCGTATCGTACCGCACATGTCCTTATATATATATTACATAATACTCTGTCTCTTGTATTTGTCCCACATTTATGCATGGTGAATTTAACCAGTAAGCTCTTGAGAGTATTATAAAACCAATCTTTTGCGTCCCTTGTCACTTAAAAAGCAGCTTCACTCATGCAAAAGATTAGAATATTTTCTTTAGACAAAATTACGTTCACCTCTGTTTTTACTTTTTACAAATTGTATTTTTCTTTTTACTGCGTCAATATTATTAAAAGGTGTGAAAAGTATTTTTATTTTTCTATATTTTTTTATAATTGAATACATTTTTTCATTACATCTACATATTTTATTGTCGATATTCATTTTATTGTTGTGTTATTTACATTTAATATTTAAATATATTTAAAAATTTTGTTTGTGACAAATTTTGTGGGATTTAATTTAAATAATTTTTTTTAGATGTTATAATGTCTACAGGTACACATGGAAATAAGTTTAATATTAAAAAATTGAGGATTTTTCTATTTTTTTGAATTTCTGATCTTTTTAATCCCCACAGGATTTTTTTTTTTTTTTTTTGAGAAATTTTTGTCCGTTCTTCGCGAACGTCTACAGTAAACTAAAACCTCATTTTCTCAATAACTCTCTCTTTCTCTTTATCGGAAGTTCGGAACTTATCTGAAAACCGCTTCTTTGGAAAGTTAATACTAACTTTAGGGACTCTTAGGATTTTTACGCCAAAAGAAACTCAAGACTTTCATTTCATCAAAAAAAAAAAAAAAAGGAAAAAAAAAACTTTCCAGTAACTGAACTATCAACGTGTTTTCTCTAAAAAAATAAGAAAAACTTTCACAGTAAATTTTTCATGTATTTTATTAATTAAAAAAAAAATATTCTCTTTTGTCAATAACTAAAATTTAGTCTAAACTAATTTTACCATTTTTTGCAAAATTATTATTTTAATTAAATTGCAATTATTACCTATTAAAATAAAATTTAATCATTTTAATTAAATTTTAAATTAGTTAATTAAACTAAATTTAATTAATATTTTTTTTTTATTTTTTATTACATAAAAAAATTAAATTTAAATTCAACTTTATTTAATGTTTAATTATAATAAGGAATGTAAAAATTTAACAGAAATTTGAAACTTTTTTTTTTTTGTCGTCACTTTTTAAATAGAATATAAAAGCTTTCAAGCAGTTCACAATGAATAATCCTTTCAGAAGAAGGTTACGAAATACTTTTTGTTTCTTTCAAAAAAGAACAATGTTTCTATAGGTCTGGTCGATGCAATCAATCATAGACATTACATCGCCCAGTAAACAGGCTGCAATTTAAAGAAGTCAAGGTTTTTTATCGTTGTCCTTTCTCAGAATGAATAATCGTCTCTATTTTTCTTCATATCGTATATATTTCTAGTTCAATACTTCAAACAATATTTTTATAGAAAAAAATCCGATAATTTTTAGATAATATTTAAAAAAATTTTTTCTAATCAATCTTATTGGTTATGATTCTAAATAAAATTTTAATTAGCTTATCAAAAATTTTGTTGACTTAGCTCAAAAAAAAAAAAAAAAAAAAAAAAAAAAAAAAAAAAAAAAAAAAGAAAAAGTAACTTTATTGGAGGTAACTAAACTTTAATTGAATTACCAAAATATTTTGGTTGAAACAACTAAAATTTTTTTTTTTTTTTTTTGAACAATTAAATAGAATATTAAATAGAATATATTTTTTTCTCAGTGTAGCAAAAGGACAATTTTATCCTTTAAATTAAAAAAAAATTGTTTTGAAAGCTTGTCTCAATTTTTTATGGATAAATATATATATATATTTAGTTAAAAAACAAAAAGAAAACAGTAATCGAATCAAAAAAGGAAAAAATTTCCAAGCAAATTGTCCTTTTAATGTATATTTTGAAAAGTTATATATGAGTGCCAAGTCTGGTCACTTTATATCAGTTTCAAATTGGCCTTGGCCTCATCTCCTTCAAATTTATCTCTAAAACTTCATTTGAATTGTCGAATATAATTAGATATTGTTGGAAATTAAAAAAGTTTTATTACAAATTAAATTAAATATTGCATATAAAAATAATTCAATAATTATTGACTATATTATATAATTATTTTAAAAAATTGTAAATTAAATTATTCAAAACAAAAATTGTACTAAATATAAAATTTTGATGTTAATTATTATATTTTATTCCAGTATTAAATATTCTTAAGTAAATATTGAAAAAATAATTTTAATTTAAAAAATTTAATTTATAAACAAAAAATATTTATTATTAATTTTTATGAGTATTTTAAAACGTTTAAAATATATAAATTTTTTTTTTGTCTTTGCTGCACGAAATGAAATTTTTTATTTTTTCTTCATACTGGTTGTTTGTAATATTTTCCTCATAATCAGCGAGGCAGAAAGGAAATTTAATTTCAACTGTTAAGACTAAAACGTCACGTTAGTTATGTTAATAAGAGCAAAAAAAAAAAAAAATTATTACAAAGGTAATTATTCTTTCAGGGAGCTGGGTGCACAGCGTTACTTGTGGCAGTCGTTTCAAGAAAACTAGAATTAACGAGGGCAGAGAAGCACGTTCATAATTTTATGATGGACACACAATTAACGAAAAGAGTAAGTATAATAAGTTTTCTATTCAATCGTAAATACAGAAAAATTGCATTATTTTAAATCAGAGAAAAAAAAATGTACGTCTTTTACAATTGTTATTCATTGTTCATTAATTTTTTTCTCATTTAGAAAAGTCCTATTGATAAGTTTTGTATAATTTTAAATTCTTAAATATTTAAAATAAATTATATGTTTTTAGCATAAATTTACAAATTAATTAATTAATAATAATTAATTAATTTGCTGAATATAATAAAATTTGCAATAAATACTGATAATTTTTCACGATAAATAACATTTTTGGTATTTTTCTTATTTTTTACAGTTAAAAAATGCAGCAGCAAACGTACTGAGAGAAACGTGGCTTATCTACAAACATACTCGTTTAGTAAAACGTGTGAATCCAAGTCGTGTACGAACACACCAACGAAAATTTCTTTTAGCTATTTACTCGTAAGTAAAATTATTTATAACCATTACAATTAATCAAGTTTATAATTAGTTTTGACATTTTTTTTCTGTTTTTATAAAAATTTCTCGTTTTAAACCTTTGAAGTTCATTTTTTTTCATAAAAATAAGAAAATATTTTTTTCTTCTTAATTAAAAAATATTTGATTAAAGGAAAGAAAAAAATATCAATTTAAAAAAAAAGAATAAAATATTTGACTTTTAACATTTTTTTTCTCAAAAATTACTTTACTTTTTTATTTTATATTTTGTTTTTTTTATAAGTTTTTATTATTATTTTTTTTTTTAATAAAGTAATTGGAAAGTAAATGCTAAACTAAAAAATAGTAAAAAAAAAAAATAAATAACAGCTTACGGATAAATTTTTCATTTATAATTTTTATATTTCTGATTGAAATTATCGCGTTTAATCTACTATGATGATTGGATTCGTTTAATTTGAATAATCTTAATCGATTAAAAAATTTTCCCCTCAATAAAAATATTTTATAATTTATTTCTGGCAATAATTAAATTACTCTCACCAAAATATTTATATAGGTCTGAAATTCAAATAAAAATTTTATGTATGTACGATTCAACTTTTATCAAATAAATCTGAAATTAATTGTAAATCTTAGTTGAAATAATAATTAATGATGATGTTACTTTTAGTCGCAAAGAAAAAGCTTTTTATTTTTAGCTTATATATATATATATAAGAAAACAAGATTAATTTATCGATTCCAACTATATAACAATTCTTCGGTTTTCAACTGAAACGTGTTAGTAATAAAGAGATAAAAATCATACTGCAGTACAATAAATTTGGTGTGGACACACAGGGCACTGAAAGGAAAAAGACACACAAAATCCTTCTCTTTATATATACCTACATTCACTTATCCGCTGTCTGACCATTCGTGATTTATTCTACTGCATGCCATTTAGTTTCAAATTCTTCAATCCACACATTTTTACTTGCGTGATCTTATATTTAAAAGCAAATAGCGAATCATTATTTTTTCATTCAATCTTCGCAAAATATACAGGAGAAGTAAAAAATTAAAAATTTTTAAATAAATTTTATACTGACTTTTTGATTATATAAAAAACATTAAAATTAAATAATCCCAACCAAATAGAAATTAAATTTGTATAATGAGAAACAAAATGTAAAATCGAACTATTTATAAATTAATATAATCCATTTAATGCAAAAAAAAAAAAATCGAAACAAAAATAAAATAATGTCTATATTGAATTAATACGATATATAAAAATATATATATATATATAGAATAAATCGCAATATTTCCTCTTTTAACGAGCGACGCAAACTATTGAGTTTTCTGAGCGCTCAAAGAAATAATCTCGCAAAAAGGCTCTCGAAAAAAGAATACACTGGCCAAGCAATCAGGTAAGATTGGATTACAAGAAAGACTTCTTCATGTGTCCGATAAAAAGTTGAATGCTTGGAAAATGTATTTCTTCAAAAAAATAAAATAAAAAAAAAACCCCAGAGGAGATAAAAAAATTAAATTGTGCTTGAATGAAGTCCCTCGATCTCAATTTGCCTTGTAGCCAGAAATTAAGAGGCAAATTGAATAAGCTGGAAAACTAAACGAGCCCTTTTATATCTAAAACATTTGAATTTCTCATTGTCTTTCACATTTTTTTTTTTTTTTTTTTTTTGGCAAAGTTCCGACAATCAAATCTTAAACCAATTATTAATATTGTCTCATTAAATAAAATTCTCTCAATTTTTTTTTTTTTTAATTTGACAGTCAGCATATTTTTTTAAACAATTATTTTGGTAATAACACTTTATTTCATTATTTATTTATTAAGTATTTATTTTTTAATTATTATATTATATTTATATTTTTAATATATATTAATGAGAAGAAATTTCATAATTATTTCCTCTTTCTTCTATACTTGATTCTCGCTCTATGAGCTTCTTTTGCCATTTCCGATTTGTTTTCTCTTTCCTACTCTCTCACTTTCTCTTTGCCTCATTCACGATCCACGAACCATTTATCACTTCTCGATATATAAAAAAAAAGTGGGGAATATTAAAGGGCGTTCCAGCAGGTGCTGGTGTTTTACTTCCTCTGACGATAATTAAATTTCCCAAGGGAACATTATGTCGACAAGAGGCTCTAACACGTTTCCCAAAATCGCATTTGTGGGATCGGAATCAATCATTTAATTAATTTTCAAATTATTTCATAATTAATTTCTATTTACTTTTCCCTCGGGTCCATTTCTCTTTTTTTCTGAGTTTCAGGAATTTATTAATAAATCTCTCTCTCTCTCTCTCTCTCTCTCTCTCTCTCTCTCTCTGAATATATACTACTCTCACTAGATATTAAAACTATTTTTATCAATAATAAAATAGGAATGGTAAAAATTATTTTGATATTTATAATTAACTGAATATAATTTTTTATTAAGAGCTAAAAAGAGTTTTTCTAAACTCGTTTATTTGTAGAAAAAAAATATAATTCAATAACTATATTATATTTGAAAATTATATTTTATATTTACATTAAATTATTTGAAATCAAAATTATAAAAATACATAAATAATGATTTTATATTTGAAGAACATTAGAAAACTAATTTTATTAATATAGTGGGACAATTATGAAATTGATCATTTCTATTGTTTTAGGCTCAGGAAAGTAAAAATGGACCAGCGAAAATTAATGGATAATGCCAACACTGTAACCGATATGGCCAAGGTAAGAATTATCAAACTGCCATACGGAATTTCAAAGCAAAACGAGGATTTGTCGGTTAACGCTTTTGCACAATAGGACCCACACAAAGGCTTTGTAATTTTCACGAAAATTGAATGACAAATTTCACGTAATATATGCATTGAGAGTTACATTTTAACTATATATTAAAATTAAATTAAAAACAGAATATTTTTATTATTTATATTTTTCTAATATATATTTTTTATAGATTTCATACAAAAATAAAATTTTTTTTTTACTATTTTAATTTTTATTATTTTTATAATATACCAGTTTGTTGTTTTTATGTAGAAATATTCATATTTTTTTCTCATAAATTCTAATAATTCTAATTTAAATAATAATTCTCATTCTTTTTTTTTTTGGAAAATGACTAAATTAATGAAATAATTTTTTTTGCAAAATATTTTTAAAACAGCGTTTTAATGTAAAGGTACCACTGTATTTGAAAAAATATTTTCTATTTGCTTAAAAAATATTATTAAAATATTCTTTTTTATTTTATATCCAAATAGTTTTATGTTACCATAAATACTAGAGTTTAATTTTTGTACGTGCGGTTTTATTGTAAACAATTTCACTAGGAATTAATTTCTAAATTAATTAAGTCACAAATTTATAACTTAATATATTGTCTGTATATATGTGCAGGTACAAAATAATGTACACGAGTTAGTCTCCGACATGAGTACGCGTCAAACTACACTCGAGGAACGTTTAGTCAACCTCGAGGAGAAATTGACTGAGCTGCAGGAACAGGTGGAATTGCTACCGGAAGCGCTCACACGATGTTTAGCACAACACACTGAACGATTGGAACAAAGACGAAATTTTCTACATCCGGATACAGCTGTGGCTCTTATTACACCGGGTAGTGGTGGTGGTACCGTCAATAATTTAGGTAAATTCATTATATTCAAATTTATTTATCATAATAAATTTAATTAATTTATTATTATAATAATTCAATTTCTTTTTTTTTTTAAATATTCTATTACTATAAAATTTTAATATATATTAGTATTCGTTAATTTTTTTTTAAGTTGTCATATACTTTGTACTTTTGTTTGACCCTCTTTTATAATCTTTGTGCTTTTCACATATATTTTTCTACTTTTATCTCGGTTTTATTTCTTCGAATTTTTTTTTTTTTTTTTCATTATATTTATTTTTATATGGTTCCACATAAATTATGTTTTGCTACAAATAAATAGAAGAAGAAAAAAAGCAACCATAAAATAAAGCCACTCGCGACTTTTATTTGCATCACAGTTTTCTATATATGAAAAGCAAAGCGTTATATAAATATAAGCAATGAACATGGCTCGCTAAGTGAAACATATTTTTTTCAATTTTTTATTTTTCACCTTTTTATATACAGAAGCCAAAGAAATGAGCTTCGCATCTGCATTGAAATATTATGGTAAAGCTTTTGGAACTTATAATGTAAAAATCGGCGTAAAAGTTGTACGAGTTAAAAAATTATTGCTTTGAAAGAAAAAATCTCTTTTTTTTTTTTGAAAAACTTGGACATATTTCTCATATAGAGCTTTGACTTGAAACTTTGTTCAAAGTATATATATATATATGTGTGTAGGGGAATAAAAAGAAAGAAAGAAATACTTCGAACTTGTTTGTGTAAATCCGCACAAGTCTTTTTTCAAAGGTATACACCGCACATCGCGAAGGGAGAGAGTTTTATGTTGAGATTGTCAGACGGCATCTTCTTTTCCCCGCAAACTCTAGTTCTTTATATTTTTTCTTTGCGAGATTTACTTTCAAAACTTTTAATCGTCGCGCTGCTTCAATCTACTTTTTCCACGACTTGAGAAAACTGCCACTTTCAGCATCTCCTCCAACGACTTTTAATTTGTTTACCTTATAAAAAATAAACTTATTACTCAAACTTCTTTAGCGTGATATTGTAAACTTTAAATATTTACTTCTCTTTCCATGAAGAAATTAACTGATTTACTTTTATTATACATAAAAATTTATTTCTACACGATTTTCTTATTTTCATTTGCATTATTTTCATAATTTTATATCGTGATTTAGAGATATTGTGCAGGTAATGAGAAAACTCGAGATTAAATAATAAGAATTGCATTTATAAAATTTTATCGATAAGCTATGATAATTTTGATTGATAAAATCAGATACGAATTGTGTGTCCCAATTTCTAATCATTTTAAGGATATGGGTTCCAATATTTTTCGAGGTCTATTGAGTTTTGCTCACAGTTTGGAAACAATTATTATTATAAATTTTCCAAATCTGATTTTATATTATTACGAACTAATCAAAGCTTAATTAGTTAATAAAATAAAATGAGCTTAAAATTTAAATTGTAATTAAAAAATTCATTATTTTTGTCTATCATTAATAATGAATTAATTTAATTTAATAATCGCCTTTCTTTGTTGAAACTAAATTTTAATGAATTTTATTTAATTATCATAATCAACAAATTATTATTGAATTTGTTTTTAAATTAAATTTATTATACGAATTTTATTTGTAAAAAAAAAAATCGCACATTATATACTATTAAGAAAAAAAAAAGTCTGGTGTGATAAATGAGGTTGCTGTCAGTGAAATTAGAATTTCATTGAAGCGGATAAGAAGCATTTTTCTTACAACCTCATTTCCTTGGCTTTGACAATACCTGACTTTATCTGATGAATAAAGAAAGGGTATATGCTTAAATAGATTAGAAAGCCTGTAGTCAAATACTCGTATATTTTCCATCGTGATTACTGTTATCTGCTCAATTAAATTTATCTATATCTATAACTATATATATATATATACATATCACCAAGTGTAACCCGTTAGGACATTGAAATCGAATATTTCACGATTGGAAATCGAATGCGCAATGTACATCGAGTGTAAAACTATTTTCCGCTTGTTCAGTTGAAATTTTGATGGATGTCAAACTAAACGAATGTGAATTTTATCTCGCGGCCAATATTATCGAATATTTACTATATTTTCAATCGCGAAATCATCATTTTTCAATATAATAAATCAAATTTTAAATTTAATTAATTTTTTTTCGACACTCATTTTTATTTTTTTTTTTTTTTAATTAAATTCTTGTGAATACAAGTTTGTTTTGTTAAAAAAAAAATTTGTTAATTAAAATTTTCTTTGAAATGTTTTCATAAAATAATTAATTTTTTTTTTTTTTTTAAATGTAAAAAGGTAGAAAATTTTAGTTTTATTTTTTAATTTTCTGATCAAGAGACTTTTTTCTGGTTCATAGGTATTGGGATGTCAGGAAGTATCGCATCGTCCCATCATCCATTGACGAGTCTTTCGAATTCGCCTCTACTGCCACATTCGAGAAGTGTACCAAATGCACCAAGTGCAGTATCGCTTCATCCGTGGCCAGCGAGTCCGGTACTGCCTCCGGTATCCAGTCGAACTCCACATCTCGTGCCGGAAACTGGAACCGGAAGACATTACAGCATCCCAGCGTACACAACACCAACGACAACACAAACTCAATCGGCCACGAGGCTCGCTTTTTCACAAACAGGCATGGGAGGTCTTGGGAACAGTCAAGGCTCGGACACATCGCGTAGCTGAGCCACAAGTTTGCAGCCGCAGCATTCATATTAAAAAAAAAAAAAAAAAAACCAGGGCCTTCTCATCGGTCGTACTAACAATTATTTCTATACCGTTCTTACGTCATCTTAAAATCGTCGAATTACGCTTCATCAAAAAAAAAAACACATTCTTCATTATTTTTCATATAAATATAATATATAATCGAAGCCGCGTTCAAGTGCAAAACGTTGCAGCCTTATTCATTCATCGTCGATATAAATATTCAATCTTCAACCACAACAAATCCTTGGGACCAGGACTGGACATTTATTCGAATTTATAGATACAAGGATCATTTTATTTTATTAAAAAAAATTTTTTTTTAGAAATCATCTTCTTCTTTGTTATCTGTTGTATATTTATGTAAATGACTTGTAAAGAGATTAAAAATATATTTATTAGACAGTTTTTGGGATTAAGGTTAATTTTATAGCAATGGTTTTTCGTGTTGATAAAAGTTTCTTTGATTTTTTTTTAATATAAAAATTGAAAAATTCTATATTTTAATTAATACAAATCGTAAAAAAATTGGGAAATTTAATTTTTCTTTACAAATAAAAAGCTTTCTGAGAGAATGTAAAATTGCCTTTGAAAACTAATATATGAAAAAATATCATTTGTTTGATAAATTGTTAATTAAAAAATAAAAACAAATGAAAATTCTCTATTCTTTTTGTTTTATTTGAATATAGCATTTAAATAAAAAAATATTCTATTGATATTATTTCATCGAAAAAACGTTGAACAATTAAAAAAATTTCATTCTTGTTATTTAAAATTTATTTATTCTGAATCTATAGTTAGTAAATTCTCTGATAACAAACAAAAATGTTTGAAAAAATATTTTTCAAAGAAATTTTTATCGTAGTATTGCACTGAAATTTTATTTGCACATTTAAACCAAAAAAAAGGAATTTTATTTAAAAAATCTCATTTAAATAATTGATTCCAGAAAATATTCTGAATAAGTGTCCATCCTCGTTTGGAACTTCAATATTCATATGAAATAAAAAAAATAGTTCTTTTTTCCGTACACTATTAAATATTGATAAATAATAATAATAATAAGCTATTAGAATGAGCTTCAAATTATATTGATTAGTGATTATTAAAATTGAATTACTAAATTTCAATTAAAAAATAAATTAAATTATCCGTGACAATATTTGTTGAAAGTTAATGTTAGTAATTTAAAAATTTCTTAATTTTTCTAAAAAACATTTTATTTTCTATTTTTTTAAATATAAATTAATATTTATGTTCTCATTTACTTCTGGATCAATAATACATAAACTTTTTACTCATTTTTCTTGGTTTATTATTATTATTCTTTATAAACCAATAGTAATGAACAAATTATTTTCGATATTCAAATCATTTCATAAAATCCAGAATAAAATTCCAACATTAACTTTTAGCAAAAACTGCTTGAGGATGATTAATTTTAAATTCGGAAAAGTTAACTTTAAAATTGAAAAAGTCATACTAAAAAAAGTGGGGGAGAAAAAATTAAAATTCAAAAGTAAAAATTAATGTGATTTTAAGAAGAAGTCAAAAATCGTTGAATTATCATTCAATGGATGATAATAAGTTTATCGACACATCTTTTGATATATAATAAGGATTGTTAGGGATTTACGGAGATCCACGTACAACGTTTCGGATTTCAACGCATCAGAAAAATACGGACTCGAAAGTATAATAATTCGGTTTTCAAATCAAATGCGTTTTATTACACATTTTCAATTCATTAAAATTTCAATATAAGCTTGGAGAAAATTTTTCCAAGTTATATGCGAAAAGCTTTGCCGTCAAAGAAATCTGAGTTCAGATATATATTTATCGAAATCGTTTGACGTCGAATCTGTTTTTTTTTCCTCTAATATATTCCACAAAGAATTTCCTTCTAAACCGAATTTACTCTCGAGTCCCGTTACCTTCATTATTACCAATTCTATTTGCAATTTATCAAAAGTTCATTTTCTCCAATGGACTCTGACAAAAAAAAGACAATTGCATTTTATTTCATTTTAGAATTCTCAATTCTAAAATTTCAATAATTATTTTATTTGAAACCATTTATTTTATTTCTAATTTTTTATTTTAAATCTGAATATTTACTTCTAATTGACGTTAAAATTTTTTTTATACATCTATTGTAATTTACATGAAACATTATATTTAAAAAAAAGAGTATTAAATTTAAAGCAATTATCTCTCTTTTGTAATGGAAAAAAATGATTTTTTAATAAATTGACAAAAATAAGTTTATTAAAAAAAAAAAAAAAAAAGTCAAATGCCAAAAGATTTTTTAACGCACTTGTCGTCCTGTTGATGCAACGAATAGAAAAAAAAGAAAGTACTGTTCTCATATATAATACATAATTATGTAGTTAACGTCTAGAATTAAAAATCCGCAGGCGAAAGAGACAACAAAAAAAAAATCCCATGATTGAAAAAGAAAATTTATTGAATTATTTAAGTGCGTGTGAAAATAATTTTAATGAAGTATTCGACGGTCTAATCGTATCGGGTCCAATCACTCTTCAAATTTATGTAAATTTTCATCGAAAGCTCATTTTACAGAAAATGGGGTTCTTTGGAAAAATAAAAAAAAAAAAAAAAGAGAGAGAGAGAGAGAGAGAAAGAAGTCAGAACGGAACAGAAATTAAAATGTGGGTACGCACAGATTCTTCCATTTGCTGCGAGCTGCTCCCTTACCCGTCTTGCGTGCCTGAAACTTTTTCTTAAATAATTAATAACTACGAATATTTGACACGAACTTATCTCGTTTCTTGTATTCCTAATGAAAATATAATCTTCGTCAGGCGCGAATGTAGCATTGCCTCATTTCCAATATACTCCCAAATTACTCTCAAAGAAGCTTTCAATATCCGAAAAAGAATTTTTCCAAAATTTCTTGTTTTTATTTAATAATTGTTTTAATAATTAATAATAAATAAATAAATAAATTTCTTTATAAAATTTTGCTAAAAAGCACTGAATAAAAAATGCTTACAAAGTAAAATTTTTTTTTTTTCATATAGCAAGTTATAAAAATATGCCCGCGATCAAAATGCCTCGTTGAAATTGAAAAGCTTGTTTGAGAGTTACGAAACTTAAAAAAAAAAAAAAAAAGTTGGAAAGTTAAGGAAGCAGAGTGCAAAGTGATCTTACTGCTTTAACGTCCGTAGGTTATAGGAAATTGCTTTAGTGTAAGTATACATGGGGCACGGATGTGAAAAAGGATACGTTTCCACTAAAAAAAGCAAAAGAAAGGAGAAATGCATTTGTCTACAAAATATAACACTGAAATCAAAAATTATAAAAATGAAGAAATAATAATTAATCGCATATTAGTAACTAATGGTAGATCTATTAATATAAAAAGACATTTTTTCATTGGCTTATAATATATATTTACATACAATTAGCAATTTTTCACAATATTTAAACAACAAAATTTAGCGATATGCTTACTAAAAAAAAATAGTCTTTTTAGATCATGTCTTTCACAAAGATCTCACATCAAGTGTTGTAAAAAAAAAATAATAATAATTTAGTGAAAACGTAACCCCGACTAAATGGTCGAATGTCTCGAGAAAAACGAATTACAAAAAAAAAATTTCAAGAAAAAAAAAATTGAAAGAAAAGAAATAACAAAAAACACAGAAAAGCTTAATAATCGCCTCCATGGAAAAGTTGGGACCTGGTTCGTTCTTGTCCGTAATTTTTCGAAAACATTGTTTCGCGAGAAATTCAAAACGTCGCGCGAAACGGGACCAAAAAAAAAGACACAATCGTCGTACATTTCTCTCTCAACTCCCACCAAAAAAAAAAAAAAAAAACACATTTGACACGACGAATAACGCGATATTTTTATATGGAAATTTCTTGAAAGTGCATTATAGTGCCAGGAGGATATTATGCAAAAAAAAAAAAAAAAAAAAAAAAAAAAAAAAACAGGAGTCTCGACATTGAAGAATATCTTAAATTTTTATCTAAATTAATTTAGATAAAAATAATTATTAGTCGATTACAATTAGTATCAACCTTCCAAAAAAAAAAAAATATTTTTATTGCATATTTATTGTTTTCAATAATAATTATTAATTAATTTTCTACCATAGTAGGTAAATTGTTATATATTTTTATTATCATTATTACAACACCTAATAATTTAATAAATAGGTAATAAAAAATTTTGTTACATGAGCATTTAATTTAATATTCGCTCTTGATTTTGTTTTTTTTTTTACAGCAATTAAATTTCACTTTTCGAGAAGCCCAGAGGTGAAAAGAAATACGAGAGGCACACAAAAATTTAGTCTTTAATATGAGAGAAAAAAAAAAGAAAACTTAAGGTTGAACTAGAAAAATTAACTATCTTCCTAAAATAGAAAATAGTGATTTAAATTCTACCTAAATTTTAGCTTAGATTATTTTGAAAAATCAACATCATCATACAAAGTCGTAGTCTTATTAAAAAAAAAAAAAAAAAAAAAAAAAAAACACGTTCTCACAATATTATATAATATGATTTATAAACGATTGGAGATAGACAGAAAGAGAGAGAGAGAGTGTTGTAACTAAAGAATACTTCAAAAAGCGGAAGTCGTTGTTTTTACCTATATGGCGAGTGTATAAAAAAAATGTGTAAAAAAATTAAAATTAATAATTTAAATAAATAAATAAAATTAATAATATAACTTTAGCAAATACAAAAAACGATAAAACGATTTTAATCGAAAAAACGGAATTTCAAAAAAAAGTTTATACAAAAACATTACGGTTATTACGACTATATATATACATATAAATACATAATATATTTATTTATGATTATTGTTGTTGTTATGACTATTATCATTATTATGATTATTAATATTATTATTATTATTGTATATTATACACATAGTATTATAAATATAGCGACATAGGAATTTTCGTAGATACTTGACAAAAGTTTAACACTCTAAAGAGGTACTTTATTAAGAACTTTACTATGACATTATCAAGTAACTACCGCCATACTAGTTGTTATATAAAATGACCAAAAAAAGTTACCGATTATTCATATACAACAATAAGAAAAAAAAAGAAAAAAAGAAAAACTTAGGTGATATAGAAAAGCGCGAATAATAATTGACAAAGCACTTTTACATGAGTTTTTCATTGAAAGTATATATATATATGTATATGTATATGTACACATGTATAAAAAAAAATCAGTGCAGCGTCTTCTCAATATACTCAAAAATACATCTCGTAATAATTTATTATTATTTATTATTATTTATTATTATCATAATTATTTATTAAAGACGCGATAATAACGACCGATTTTTTATACGATCTTTAATATGAATTCGCACAATACTCTCTTAAAAGTATATAACTTATATAAAAAAATATATATATGTTTCCCTCGCTTATGGACGCTATACCAATATTGATTGACCGAGTTTGATCCAATCCAATTTATTTGCATAAATTATTATTTCATCGAACTACTTCAAACGTTCTTATTTTAGAAATTTATTATTTATTTTTAAATTTGAAAAATAATGATTACGAGAAATTAAAAAAAAAAAAAAAATTATGTCTATTGATATTTACCTATTTACAATTAACAAATAAATAGATAAATATTATAATTTTTTTTTTAGAATTTATTAAAAAAAAATTTAATCTGTTGTTTTTCATATCATTTTTGTTGAAAAAATAATTGCAAAATGTATTCAATTTTACTGAATTTCAGAGATTATTATTTTCTATATTTGAAAAATGATAAATTCATAAAATTATAATGTTACTGCAATTGAAATTGAATAATGTAAAAATTTTTAATATATTAAATACGAAAGAAAAATAATAAATACGAAACTTTTATAAAAACTTTTAAATGTAGATCAAAAAGCAAATTTTTTTTACGTTAATCATTTAACTTCACAAAAACGTATATAAAAAATTTTTAGAAACAGTTTCATGCATTTTTACATATTATATAAAGTTGATTCAAAAAACGAAAAATTGGTTTTCCCAACATTATATATATTTATTTAAAAAAGAAAAACTTTTCACAAGGAAAACTAGAAACGATTTTTTAAAACAAAAAAAAATCATTTAAAAATATCTCCAGTACTATTTACAATTTTTAATCTACCAAAAGCTTACAAAAAAAAATTCGATTTATTAATACAATATTTTAATATAAAGGAACGCATGAAAATAAAAACTAGTTTAACAAAATTAGTTTTAAATATAATTCAAACTAATTTTAAAAGCAAGTTTCCATTTTATTAGTTTTAATTAGTTTTATAGTTTATTCATACACTCTTGGCTCTAAATTGACTTTCATTGATTAAAATAAATTTTTTAATAATAAAAATCAAAATATCCTATATAATTATTATTTTAGTTTTATTATAAAAAAAAATCTAAGAATTCATAATGTAGAATATTTTTCTTGAAAAAATATTTTCAAAAAATAAAGTCATGTAAAATCAATAATGCTATATTTTAAAGTTCAAACAGGAATTGACAGTCAGCCTTTGTCGATCAATATTACAATTGGCGCACAAATAGAAAAGAAAATTGCAAAAAAAAAATCGACTTTCTTTCTACTTTCTATAATTCATGCCGATTAATTATAACAATGAAAATTCTAAAAAAAAAAAAGGAGAAAAAAAATTCGAACATTTAAACTTTTCAAGGAATTTTATTAAAATTTTCCATTAAAAAATTTAGATCTATTTATATTAATTAATTTAAATAAAATTCTCTGAAAAAAATAAAGTTTCTTATTTTCTTTCACTTTTTTTTCGTATACAAATTAAATTTTCAGAATTTTTTCTTGCATGTAAATTTTGAAAATATTATGCAAATAAAAAAAATATCTTTCTATATAATTTTCGATCATATTTCTTATATAATATGCAAAAAGTGCATACACCAATAACTATATAATTAATTATAATTAGGGATTTAAAGACAGGAATTTCGTTGTTCGCTGCGTGTGTGCGATAATTTTAACCAAATAAATATTGAATTAAAAACGAGGATTATAATCGTCATTACATACTGTTATAGTTACACTGCCCGTCAAATCTCTTTTTCCTCTAAAAATGAAATTTATCGTTTTATCATCATTGTTATCGATTGGAAAATTTTTTAATAAACACTTGCGAAACATTGAAAAAGTTGTCTCATAAATGAATAAAAATATCGTTAATATTTATAAATATATAAATAAATTATAGAAAAATTTGATTTGAGTGAAAAAATATTATTTTTTCACTGAAATCAAAACATTTTGCATCGAAACAAAAAAAATAAAATAATAATTAAATCTTAAAGCGACTTTTAAGACAATTTTTCCAGTGACTAGATTGTATAGAAAATATATACATCTAAATATACTTATAATCGTAATTAATAAATTTAATTTAATTAAATAAAAAAAAGTCAAGAGGAAAGAAAAACAATATTGAAGTAGAGAAAAAAGTTTTGCGTTAGAAATGCAAAAAAAAAAAAAATATTTTCTACTACTATAAATAGAAAAAAGTGTAGAAAGATATAAATTCTACAAAAAAAATAAAATGAACTATTAATTACGAGTGTAAATATAATTAGAAATAGATAATTAATTCACTTTTCTATTATTTTGTAAATGTAGCCTTCACCCTGTAAAAAGTCTGTAAATTTCTGAGTTAAATTATTATATAAAATATATTGTAAAATTGGAATCTTTTATTTTGTAAGTAAATATCTCAAAAAAGAGATATTTGACTGGAAGTGTATAGATTCGCTGTGTGTATAAAAATAGTGATGTTATCTATGAAGGCAGATTGTATTTAATTTTCTACGTTTCTGTAAAGTGAGGAGGTAAAAAAAAAAGAAAAATAATGACTATGTATAGAATAAAAACAAAAAGCAGAAGGTGAGTGTATGTTCTTTACAGAGTTCTCGAGAGTTCGTTAGTGTGTGAAAAATTATTAAAAAAAAAAAAAAAAATTAAAAAAAATAAAAATGACGATGATAATGTTTGTTATCAGAAAAAGAAAAAACTTTTTTTTAGAGAAGAGTCGAGCCATAAATATTAAGCATTAAATGCGCAATGCATTAGGACCAGATTTTTTTTTCATATACATATTATATAGCCTTCGAGAAAACTCAAAACGCTGTTTTGCACAGTAATAATATAATTATATTAAAACGCTAAAAAAAGTTAAGGTCACCTCGAAGATTTCAAAAGCGCCAAGTGATAATAATTTTTGAATTGTTGACTAAGAAAATTTTTTAACAATTTTTTTTTTTTGTTTTCAGTAATCGAAAGTTTTTTTTATACATTGTTTCCCTCCCTTATGATAAATTTTTCAATTTTTCATATAGAAATGAATCTTTCTGCTTTGTCGTGCTGTGAAATTTTGAGATGACCTATTAAAAGAAAAAAAAATACAATTTTAACAAATAGACAAAAAAAAACTTCTTGTTAAATAGATACTTTACTACGTTTCTTTCATACTGGACGCTCTTTTTCTGAAAAAAATATGTATATTGTATAATAATGTAGAGACACTTACGGGTAAAGTGGTCTATAAATTTGTAACGAGCTAGCTAGTGAAATTATCAAGGGACTCCCGAGAATCGCAAAACACCTAATTTACGATGATTAATAAAATACGTTTACATTAATACAGTTTTCAATTATTTGTAGTTTCCTATCTTGTTTCTCAACTTTCAAAAATTAATTTAATTAATTTAAATATTTTTACATTATATCAATTACTAATTTCGTAATTAAATTTTGTCCCAACTTGTGTATTTAATTTCATAAAATTTTATAAGAAGGAAATTTCATAGAAGATTTAATGTAACATGAACATTTAATAGAAGACTTAATTGAATAAAAATTTAATAAGAATTTAATAAAATTATTATGCCTGAGAAAATTAAATAGAGAAAGAGGAAGTAATTAGTAATAAGATAGTAATTAGATCAAGTCTTTTACATCCGATTATTTTTCTTTTTTTTTTTATTAAATATTTGCCAAACACAATTAATGTATTTGGATATAAAAATAATATACAAGATTTAATCATGGCGAGTTTGAATAATTGAAAGATTCTATTTTGATGATTAAGAGAATCTTTTCGAAATTTCAACAACCTGAGATTTCATTTCAGAATTGAGATTCAAATGGCCTTTTTTATCTACAAGACGCAAATATAGCAAATCGTTAAAGAAAAACATAATTTTTTACTTTTAAATGGAAATCGCATTTATTTTTTTTATTCCATAATAAAGTGCTAAAATCCGTTTAAAATTTAATAACAAAAAAAACTGAATAATTTTCCCGTTCAGTCGTTCGTTTCTTAAATAATAATAGATAAGTGATTTTAATTTTGAATAAATAACACTTTTTTTCAAGTTTAATTTTGTTCTTATCCGTCCAAAGCAAAGCTAGATTTTTTTTCGTCATAAATTTTACTTTAAGAACGTAAGATAAACTTTCATTAAACTTCTTTCTTTTTTTGATCTTACTTATATATCACTTCTCTCATTGCTTTCTTCAAGAAAATTGTAACTCGAAATGTAAAAAAGGCATTTTCTTGTAAATGTTTAGAAAGAAACTTTGGTAACTCGAGTAGCTCTACTCTTTGTATATCGTTTATGTTTCTTTCGCTTTCGTTTCTTTCAGAGAGATAAAAATGCAAAATCTGTCCATTAGCTCATAACTTTATCTATCCATGGTACAAACTTTTGGATATTTGTGTAAACTCCAGGCAAATGTTCACGTCCACAACCAATTCCCCAAGAAACTAGGCCAATTAGGACATGTCTTCCTTCCACGGACATTGTTAAAGGACCTCCAGAATCCCCCTATTGAAAAATATTACATTTATAAAAACAAAATTTCAATTTTATTTACTTTTTCTAAATAATTTCTAATATAATAATTAAATAACAATATTTATCAAATTAATTTTCAAACGGAAATTTCTGTTTTAAAAAATTATTTCAAAGCAGTCGAAAGTAACAACAACAACAACAAAAAAGAGTGTATTTAAATTACAAAAAAATTTACAAAAATTGTAATTTTTTTTTTTTAACAAATTGGTTCCTTTTTCACAAAATAAAAACTGACAAATAAAGAAAAAAAACTTTCTTTACGATTCATAAAGGAAAGTGGATAATTTCTTAAATTTAAACATAATGTGAAAAATAATTACTTGACAAGAATCTCTTCCGCCTTCTTTGTATCCAGCGCACAAAAAAACATCGTGAATTGTTTCCCTTCTACCTGCAGCTCTAAACCATCTTTGACACCTTTCATTCGGAATCACCTAAAATTTAAATAAAATTCAATATTAAAAAAACTGAATCTTAAAAAAAAGAAAATTAATTTTTTACAATCTTGTGTATAATTTTTCTAAATGGAAATTTTTTAAAATGAAAAAATAATTTATAGAACAAATTTTTTACGAATTTAATTCATACTATATTTTAAAGAAAAATTATTAAAATTCGTTGAAATTTGAAGACTGTAAATTAATCTCGTTTTCTCAATTTACAGCTTCCACTGGAAATTTCCAGAATGAATAATAATAATAATAATAATAATAATATTTTAACTATGAAATCTCATCGCAAGATAAAGTAAGTAGTGAAAAAGAAATAATAAAAATCGTCTTTTGCCTACTTCTTAGTTTAACACACAATTGTAATCTGAAATTTAGAAAAGTCATTGTGAGTTTTCCATTTTGCTTTCTTTTATAATTATACCTCGACTTCGACTTCCTGTAGTACTGTCGGCGCTGAAACTTGACCGTGTCGTGTTCGTCCCCAACCAGCAACCGTAGCCGATCGTCCTGAGAGTTTCAAATTTCTCGCTGGCAAACAAACCGGCACGATATGTTGCTTAAAAGAGACCGTCCTCGATAATTTGATAAGAGCCACATCATTACGAAAATCCGATGGTGAATATGATGGATGTACCTGAGAAAAAAAGAAATAAAAATTTTATAATTTATATTTCAAAAATAAACCCAATTTTAAAAATTTTATAATTTTTCATTAAATGTAATAATTTATTTCAATATAATTATTGTTTATTTTTTTTTTAGAATAAAATAAATAGGAAAAAAATGAAATTGTGTGAAAATTTCATTTGAAAAAAAAAAAAAAAAATGATGAAAAGCATGATTAGAACTATCAGGAAAAGAAACGGCATTTCTCAATGTTGAATAACTTCCACGTAACATAATTTTCCTTTAGTTTTGCTTGTTTTCTCTTACCTCTTTTCGCTCAATGTTAAACTCCTCGTGAAGTAATCGTTCTGAAGCGTCCCTGACGTCCCATTCTCCAAGCCTGACTTTTAAGTTGCTGTTCGGAGACCTATTGCACGCAATCTCTATATTCAACTTTGTTCCACATATATAAGTCACTTCAATTAAATTAAATGTAGTCACAGGTCCTTATTGTCTTATTTTTATTTTATTTCTTAAAAATCCACTAATTATATTTTATATAAATAATAAATAATTTATTTTTTTTAATTTTGGTTTTGTTGTCCAATTTTGATTATTTTCAATTTTCCAAAAAAATATTTTACAACTTTTTGCTATATTGAATTCAAATTAATTTTACAATTAAATATTGAAAAACAAAAAATAATTAATTTGTTTTAAAAATTAATAAAACTAATAAAAAAAAACAATTATAACACCTTCTCATACGATGAGAATGTAAAAATGTTTTTAATCTGTTTTTTTATTTTTAAACAAGAGAAATACTAACGTGGCAACACAATGAGCAGCAGTTACAATCCACCGATTGTTGAGTAAAGCTCCCCCGCACGAAAGCTTTTTCGACAGGAATCCTGATTTGATAATAGCGGCCTGAAAAAATGAAAATGAAATTCCGAATAAAAATATTATTCGCGAATAAATAATATAAAATAAAGGAAACAAAGGAAATTTATTTTAAATGAGGAAAAATATATGAAAAATAATTAGATATTGAATATAATAAATTATAAAATAATAAATAAAAAATCCAATGGAGAAAAAAATTATAAAAATTTTTAAAAATAAAGAAAAAAAAATAACAAACAAAGCAATACTTTGTGCAAAGTGAATTGAAAAGATTTTCATATAAGATACACATTCAGAAAATTTATATTAAAAGGATACGTGAAGGAAGGAAAGGAAAAGTGTTCGACGTTGTACGTGTGAAAGTATCCGTGAAATTTATGATGGAAGAAAATGGAGCGAATCTTTTTTTTTTGAATAGAGAGAAATTGATCCCTTGCATAAATCTCTTACCTGCCACGGATGACTGCCAAAACTAGAACTATGTCCACCAACAATTCTGTTACTTCTCGTGTAAAGTTCTCCGCAACCTATAAAGAACAAAAAAAAAAAGAAACAAAATATCATTTGTCAAGTTAAATGAAAAAACAAATAGGAAATTATGAAAACAAATGTTTCAAAATATTTCCTCTATCTTTTTTTCACACCGAGTTCCATTCATGGAGATACCATATAGTAAAGTGCTCTGAAATGATAAAGCTTCCACAATAACCACAGAATAGGTGCAATTTTTTCCTGAACCTTTCATTATTTGTACTGGTTTCAACATTTTCAGATACAGTATAGTATTAAAAAAAACACTGGTATTTGTAACAAAAAAAAAAAAAAAAAACTATAGTAATTTGTCGTGTGTCTCTATAATGATTGAAAATAATCTCAATCGAAGAAAATAGTATATATTTGAAAATTGTTGTTTTTTGTTTGTCTTTCATTGAATATTTTTTGTCTTGTAGGAATTGTTTAAAAAAAAATAGATAAACGGTATTTTCCAGTTGAAAAACTGAAAATTGTCCTGTTTTTTGTTTGTCTTCCTTTAAATATTTTTTTTGTCTTGTAGGGATTTTTTTTTAAAGAAAAAATAGATAAGAAGTGTTTCCAGTTGCTTAAAGATTCAATAGGCAGAGAACGAAGATAAAAATTTGAGCAACTGATGTGCAAGTGTCTCGTCTTTTTACTTTTTAGTAAAGAGAATCTCTCACATTTTCCAATCCTTCCGTTCTTGCTACAGAGAAGACGAGAGTTTAAAAGTGCACTTCGGAATTTTTTTTTTTTTTTTTTTGAAACTATTTTGAAAGAGAAACTCAACTGTCGAGAATGTTTTTTTTCAACGCTGCTCGAAAAATAATGTAGATAGATATAATTCTGAAAAATTCTACTTTCTTTAATGTTCTAATTAATAAATTAGTTTTTAATAAATAATTATTATTATTTTACATAAAAGCTATTTAGTTTTTTTTTTTAATTTTCATTATATAAATCAAATTTTTCTGAAATTTTGTTAATTCTAATTGTTACTGCTTTTGGAAAAAATAATTAATAAATTTTACTTTATTTCTATTTTAATTCTATTTTTAATAAAAATTTAATTAAAAAATATATTAAAACTAAAAAAAAATCCAAACATCGCAAAAAAGTAGAATTTGTGTTTTTAGAAAAAGTGTACTTTATAAAAAAAAAATTTTTCAAACATCTCTCTATAAATTAATTTCACATGGGAAAGAAAAAAAATTTCCTCAGTCCCTCAAGAAGAATTGGTGAAGTAAAAGAAGAAAAAAAAATGAAGATTTGCGGAAAAGCAATATGTGCAAAATGAATTTCCAAGGAAATTGGGATCTCTATTACCACGATATCTAAACGAATCCACGGAATTGGAATAATCCTCGACTGGATTATAAATATCAGTAGTAGTAGTAGTGGTAGTTGGCAGATAATTGTCGAAATCCCCGGTACCAATTGCAGCTTCAGGTCGATTTACGAAAGGATCATGGCCAGATGCACTGGGGCGATTTTGAGTCCATGGTGAATACGATGGTTTATTGCTTGACGATGGTTTGTATGTGGAGTGTGTGTAAACGTACGAAGGTCGATGAACATTGTGAGTGTATCCTGGTTTCTGATGCATTGCATTATTGTATATATCTACTTCATCATCCAGGTATGGACGTTGATTCGCCAAATTTAACGAGAAAGCTAAAGTTCACGATAAACAATATTTATTTGTAAAATCAATTTTCAAATCAAATTCTCAACGCTGATAATAATTCTTCTATAAATAATTAATTTTTTGGCAATTTTTTTTTTAAAGTTTTCTATCTTTTTGAGAAAAAAAAACTTACAGTGAATACAATTAAATTTTATAAATTAGAAATTTATTTACAAAAATTCAAATTTTTTTTTATATAATCTATTTTATAGAAGATAACTAATCCATTTTTCTCGAATTTTTTTTTACAACTTCTGCAAAACCTTTATTTATTTATTTATTTTTTTTGATAAATGCGAATGAATTTGATTTGAAATGAATAATTTTTGAAAAATACTCACTGGCATTTTGGAGAAGTCCAGAAGTGGGTTTTGTCACCTTTTCGGGAATGTCGTCATCGTCGACGCAACAACTCCAAATCATACCTCCGGAACAAAGATCAACGGGTCGACCACCTCCAAGGACACAACTTATACTAAGGCCACATTCAAATTTTGCGCCCTTGTATTTACACGTCTGAGGAATCACTGAAACCAAACAATAGAGTCATTATCCTTTAATCACTTGTCCTTAAAAAAAAAAAAACAATTCTATTTCAATTAAAACCAAATGATTCTCATTTAAAAACACCTTGAAGAAGATAAATATTTTTAGGAAAAATATTATCATCAGGTTCTTCACCTATAATCTCTTTAAGAAATTATCTTTTTTTTTTCTTTTTAGATTAGAACAAAATTGTGAATATTGATGAAAAATCGGTTAAAGAAACTTTAATTGGAACTAAATAAAATAATAAATAAAAAAAAAAAATGTTAGAAAATGTAATGCCAGGTCAGGTTTATGTTCCTCGAGAGAGATGTCATTCGTCACAGCTGCCTCGCTCGTAAAGGATCGTTTGCTCTGTTTCTCAAGGTAAACGATCGGCCAACCACTTTCGTTCCGAATCGCAGTTTTGTAAGTGAAATTTAGGACTCCACTCGCGAATGAACGTGAAAGTTTCCAAGAATCAGTATATATATATATATAAATATAACTCGCCCATATTTTTATCAGGTAATTTTTAATTACAATCACTATCGATTTATCTAATTGTTAAATTTCTTCTTCCTCAACTTTACATTCAACGGAATTTGTATTCAACAAAAAATATTTATTTATCCAAATTTTCATTAAACATAATTTTTGTTTGAACGAATTTTCATTCAGCAGAGTTTTCATTTAGAAGAATTTGAATTTAACAAAATCCAATTTGCAATAATTGTTTTTTTAAATTCTATTAATAAAAATTTTTCATTGTGAAAATTCGGTTGGAAAAATTCGGCAAAAATAAAAATTCGGTTTTATAAACAACGATCAATTAGAATTTCTAACTATAATGAATTTTAAAGAAATATTTAGTCTAAAAAATTAAACTTCCATGGCTAGTTTAAATCTCTGAGAGAAAAAAAAAAAAAAGAAACAATTCTTCGTCAAATATCGTAACATACTTTTGCCAAGCATATCCATAATTCCGCTCTGAATATCAGCTCCATGACCACGATGATCGTTAACGTAGGTAAAATTTCGTTTCTTTCTAAGAGCCTCGACAAGAAGAATTCCCTGCTCTTGACTATTGAGCTTTCTTCGTCTTCCCTGTCTTCGTCCAGTTCCCGAATTATTATTCAAATCATCCAATTCTCCATTAGTTCGTTTTTTACTAAGATCATCTAAAAATTGCTCAAACATTACACTCTCATTATCATTATCATCATCACTCAAATTCAAAAAATCCTCCTCATCATCTTTTTGATCATTAAATCCCGCCGAGTTCCACTCTTGATTTGGATAATTATTTGTAACAATGGGAAATCTATTTTCACCACGTGAATATGAAAGAAATCCACTATTAGAATTCGAGGAACTTCCCCTAATGAAATCTCGATCGATCACATTTTGTATAGTACTCTCGATGGCTCGATTTTGACGAACGTACTTGTTTGCCCTCGAGTTTGCCGCCAAATCATTGAATAGCTGATCTTTAGCACGATTATTGCTTTCGTCGTCGAATGAAGTGCCATCTCTTCTGTTGCTGAATTCATAATCATTGACAAAAGCTCGTTGACCCGCCAATTGATGGGTGGCAATCGGTTTCACAAATTTCGAGAGACTTCGTGATGATAAACTTGAAATACTCGGCGATTTGTAATTCAATATTTCCTGAATATCGTGTTTTCCATTGATTACATTCACGGCTATTATCAGCAGCACGTACCGAAAAGTCCACGAGATCCTCAGCTGCATGATCTATGAGAATTTTTTTTTTTTTTTTTTTTTGTTCCTTTTTGTCAGTCTTCACTTTCTTTCATTGCAAATTTTATTCACTCTCACGGTTTGTGATTAAATACTCCTGGCTTTTCATTTTATGATCAAGTTACGAATTTTTTTTTTTTCAGAAAAAAATTATTGTCACCTACTCCACTGTCTTTGTTTTCTTATATTTAGTTTATTCACTCAAACAAAAACATTTTCTTCCTCAAGACACTAATTTAGAAACGGATTTTCAGAATGAAATTCTAATTTTCTGCTTCATTTTTCTCGTTAATGGAGATTTTCTCGAAATTTATGTTTTTACACTGCTTGGAAAATTTTGAATTCGAAAGAAAAATTTAATCTTCGAAATATTTTGGTTTGATTTGAAGAAAATACATTTTCTCGTTGAAAATAAAGAACAGATTTGCAAAAAAAAAAAGAGGAAAAATTTCGAAACCTTGGATTTAAACTGAAATTTCTAGAGGAATTTTTTTTTTTTGTTTTTTTGTAAAAGAGGGAAATTTCTTGAAGTATTCCAAGGAGTTTAGAAAATGTTGTCGTAGGTCAATCTCAAGTCGGCGTTAATGGTCTCATCTTTCGTTGGCGTGTTGATCATGTTAATTTATGATAATATCCGTGAAATATTTAAATATTTGGCTGGTTGTGTTTCCTTTTTTTTTTTTTTTTGTTTTTAAATATTCGATGAGTGAAAAGTCATGAAACACCCACGATATCACAATGGAAACGTGTAAAGAACGCGACCTGCACGTGGACTGACTTAAGTCAATATCTGGGGACTTGATCGGAGCCTTGGCTGCTTTCACCGACATCAGCTTTCCCGAGGTGTCTTCCTCACATTTTGTACCCCTCTCCTTTGAAAATAAATATGTCCAACACCATCCAAGTCCTGGTACCTTTCCATCCACGTCTAGGAGATTCCAGAAGTCGCGATTATTTCTATAAATATACACATATAATAAAATTGTTTCTCTCAGAGATTTTAGCAATTTTTTAATAATTCATTCCTAAAAGAGTTACAAATTAATTAAAAATTATTAATTATAATACAGGTATTGGATTGAATTAAAGCCGCAAAAATTTGGCGAATTTTTCTTTTAAAAAAATGTTTACTTTTTCCTAAAGAGAAAATTAATTTTATAAATAATTAGAATTTTTGTGAATAAGTTTTATTAAAGGAAAAAATTTAAATATTACTCAGAGAAAGCCAAGTGTAGTGACAACTACTCTTTTCTATATAAAAAAAATTTTTTTTTAAAGACTCTTAAAACAAATTCTCTAAACTTGATTTTTATTTTCAAAATGTTTTCTAAATCTAAACATTTTAGTCTTAAAATGTATATATAATACGATACTTTATTCCTCTTTGAATTATGTTAAGATGAAAATTTATGAAGACTGATTTCTTTCGCATTCTTCAATAAACCTCGTTATTTGATTAAAAAAAAAATCTCTTCAACTCATTGATTCATTATTTTATGTTCCATAAAACTCGATAAAAATTGTGATTTAAAGTAAAAAATGTAAAGTGGTCAATAAAATAAATCAGTGAGTAAAAAATTTTCTTTAAAAAAAAAAAGAGAGCACTATAAAATTATCATCTTTAAGATTAAAATTTAAAATAACTTGAATATCATGTATTTGTCGTAAAAAATAACTTCCGACCTAGTTCCGTCAAAAGTACTATATAATATTTACAACAATTATGTAAATTAAATTGTAATAGTAAATTTAAAAAAATAATATTTTTAAATAAATAAATGATAAATATTAAGTGATAAATATTAATTGTAATAAATGTTATTTTTTCAATATTAATTTTAATAAAAAAATTTTATAAAAAACAACGAAAAATTGATAATACAAAATGTGTGCAAATTTTTGTCCCATATCTTATAAAATTTATAAAAATAATAAATTAAATAAGTAATGAGACTGGACATGAGTTTCCGGTTGGATGCATTTGTCCGGGTTCAAAAGAAACTCTTTTGTCACAAGCAAGAAGGATGTATGGCCTTTCTCTTTCAAATAAAGAACTACACTGTCCATGTGCTTGTAATTCCGTAATCTCTTCCGCACACATAAAAGTCAATGCCTTCCTCTTTTGGATTTTCGTCTTATTTTTTTTTTTTTAAATGAAATAAATGATTTAAGAAAATACTTTGAAATCTCGTAAAAGTCTAAATAATCGTGTTTGTCCTTATTTTTTAAACTGAGCGTCAACCGTAACATTAATTATATAGTATAATTCGGGCTTTAAAAGGCGAAAGTTTGTCACATTTTCATTCTTCCAAAAAATTTAATTAGCTCTAATTTTGTGTTTTCAGTTATTATAATATCAAAAAATATTATTTCTGAATTGTTTCTTTTTTTCAGTAATATACTTTTTTTCCTAGTTATTATTGTTTAATTAATTTAATTTAATTATTGTCATTAACAATTTTTCTTTTCTTGATTTCTATATGATTTTTACGATATAATAAATAATTTAACAAAATTGGTTGAACATTAAGAAAATTTAAAAAAAAAAAAATTTAGTCGAAATGAAAATATAAAAACACCAAAATCAAGAGTAAGTAATAAAATTTCAAAAAGAAAAATTAAATTGTGACAAATATAGGTAGCTATACAAATTATTACCTTATTACCGAAATTTCAAAATTTACCAAGTTACTGTACTTCAAATTTTGAATTAGAAAAACAAAAGCCTATTAACTGTTGCTTAAATATGACAAATATTATTTAAAGTTGCGTACATCTGATTTCAAAAATCGTCGACGAAGACAAATTAGCCGTTATTTTTGATTTCAGAGATAGTGAAAGTCTTGGTATTGTTTCTCAAAAGACATATATGAATTTATATATTTATACGTTTAACGAATATTAATGTAGTTTCTTTTCTCAAGAAAAATCAAAGAATATATTTTCACCTTTCATTCCAAGTATTATATTCAATAAACAAATATTTTTTTTACTTGAAACTTCTTTTGCTTTATATATTATCAAAAAATTTACATTTTATAAAAATAGATTTAAATTAATGATAGGTAATTCACTTAATGAATTAACATCAATAAATAAATGTATTAGAGCGGAAAAAAAGTAATTGAAGAAAATTATAATTAGTAAAATAAAGTAATTAAACTCACGTCCAAGTTGATCAAAGAATCGTGATTCATGATGATTGTCAATTTTATTTCCTTCGGCATCTGGATGTTCGTTTATTGATTCTAGAAAAAAAAATTTATTTAAATGTTATTTTTTTTTCAATTATCAACAATTCTTATTACTTTCAGAGACAACTTTGAAAAATCAATTAACTCACCAAAATTCGATAAAAATTTGTCGTTTCTCCTTTGCTTTGCCAAGGAAGGTGTAGTTACGATTAAAAGGATAATGAATGGCACAAGAAAAACGGCCATATCGTTTATTGTAGAATAGAAAAAATTAATTAACGGTATTCAATGACTTCAAATGGCCATTTACATAATTATTAAGTCGTATTTTCATCTATATCAAGTTTTAAGAGAAATAATAAACAAATTCTTGCACTCATTGTGCCGTTAATTATATTACGAATAATAATCTTCATAATATAAATAAAACATTTTTTTAAAAAAAAGAAGGCAAAATTATTAGAAATATTTTCTGAAAATAGAAAAATTAAAAAATAAAAACAATTAGAATAGAAAATTAGAAAAAAGAAAATTTGTTTAAAAATTAATTCCACTTAATTTTTTAACAATAAAAATAAATTCTTTTTTTTTGACAATAAAAAGATAGATTTTCATATCTATAGTAAATTTGTCTTAATAAATTTTCCTTTCGTTCAAATTTGATAAATTAATTCTTAACTTTCATTTTTTTGTTCCTCATCAATTTTGTGAGATGTTAAAAATTTTTAATGATAATAAAAAAAAAGCATCTCTTTTTCCTCATTTTGACATCGCGATCCTCTTGTGTAATTATCAATTTGAAAAATAAAATTCATTGAGTTCAGTGTACTGTTGTTGGGGTCTTGAATTTACAAACTCTGAAGAAATGACTGAAGAAGATGGCTGTGTGTATACACTCCAGCGAAAAACTAGGACACGGAACCAGGCCACTGAAACAAGTGGAACGCACAGTGCTGCTATAAAGTAACCAATTCTGATCTATATGGAGAACATCAGTATTATAGTTTTAGGATTTAGTGAAAGTTCACCGCAAAACTTTCGACAGTAGTGACATTATGTCTATTCAAAAAGTCTTTGTATTCAAATAAAAAAAAATAAAAATAAATAAAAGCACAACAGATTTTTCTTTCTCTCTCTCACTCTCTCACTTTTAATTAAAATTAAATTATATACCTCGCGGCTCTCCGAATCATCAACTTTTCTCTTCAGTTTTCTTATTCTTCAACTTTCCTTTTATTGTTCTTTTTTTATTTACACACGATTTTAAAATAAAAACAAACACATTAATTAAAATTTAGAAAAATTTTCATCAAGAAAAATTTTTCTTTGAAAAGAAAAAATTTTTTTTTGAAAAAAGAATTTTTTTAATACAGAAAGAAAATTGTTATAAAAATTAATAAAATCTTTTATTAAAAAAAATATTAATTCATTACTGTTAAATAATTCAATAATTTTTTTTATAATTGATGAAAAAGAAAATTGCAGTTATAAATTCGAATACGTGAATATTTTGCAAATACTGATTATTCATTTTGTGTTTACAATTATTTTCTTTTTTTTCTGTTTTAATAAATAACGAAAAATTAAAAAACAATCGTTTGATAACGACAATAATTTCTCTATTTAATATTCAAACGTTGAAAAGAAAATTCATTCTTGAAACTTGATGTCCATTTAAAATGCCAGAGAAAGTGAAAATATTTTATTTCAAATCTATTGTAATTATTGTAAAAAAAATTTTAATTACATATCAATATATGAGCGATTCCATGTGAAATTTACCAATGACAAAATCTTTATAAAAAAAAAGGTTTATTTTTTATTTTTTTATAAGTGTTCAAATTTTCGAGTTATATAATTTGTTTTAAAAAAATAACAAAAAATAAATAAACTTTGTGCCAAAAATTAAATTTTTGTTTTCTTCATATTTCAATAATTATCTTATTTAGTAATAATATTAATTAATATTTATCATTTATTATAATAACAATTAACGATCATAAAAAGTTTTTAAATTACGATAAAAAATGAAAGTGGAGAATAATTCTTTAGTAAACAGTTTAAAAATTAAAAAATAAAAAACAAAAATTGAATGAAAAAATTTTGATACAAAGAATCTTTTACTATTCTGCTTTCTATTATCAAAGAAATATTGATTAATTATTGAGAAGCAAAACACTTTCTTTCAACAAGGCAACTAGATTCAATGATAGCTTCGGAGTCAATGAAAAGGAAAACTTCATAAAAAGCAGTCTGTTCATTTCTCAACAATGCAGTCATGTCTGTGAAGGAGAAAGGATAAAGACCTTAACATTGAGAAATATCAAGGGCAATTTTACGCGTCAATTCAAGCGTTATTCATTTATTAAAATTATCTAGCACTTTCATAACAAACATTTATTTTTTTGTTTTGAATAAATTAACACTTTTTAATTTCTACATAAATTAACACTTTCAATATTACTTTTATCAATTAATATATTAAAGGTATCAAAATATTATTATAATCACATATCAAGTATTGTCAAAACTTTTTTTATCAATTCTAATTTTTCTTTCATTTCGTTTTTTTTCCAATATTTCAAAAGACAAAATTACCATTTCTTTCTAATAGATTACCTTTTATTACCCTATTATGTTTCCAACAAATTTTTAAACAAAGTACATATTTCATAACAATGATTTCGAATATATGTCACATTAAAAAAAAAAAAAATTATATTTTACGAAACCTAATACTTTTTTAATTAACTTTTTATTTATTTTGATTTGGAAATTTCTTCTTTTATTATTTTTAACAAAGGCCCGTAAAATAAAATTATTGTTTAATTTTTTAATGAATATGAAAAATGAATTTAATTATCATATGAATATCAATATAAAATTGTGTTATTTAATATAAATAAATAAATAATACCTATATCTACTTTTACATTAAAAAAATTAAACTAAATTTTATTTGTTTTTTTTATTAATTAAAAATATATAAGAGATATTAAAAAACCTATAAATTCTCTAAAAATTAATTAAAAAATTTTTTAATTCGTTTTTAAAATATTTATCCCGATTATCAATAATTAGAAAAATCTGATTGCTTTAAAAAAATGAATGAAAATAAATATTCCAAATCGAAAATACTCACCAATTTTCTACAGCAAAGAATTCCTCTCAAAATTATTTAAATCCATTGAAAAAAAGTTTCGGTTTCTTCTAAAAACTTTTTTATTTTTTGCTTCGAAATATTCCTTTTTAATCACAAGCGCACATAATTAAATATTTTTTGAAGAAAAATCACTTTTTGCACGTCTATTAAAATGTGTTCGAGCTATGAATATTTCAGTTGAATTTCTTTTTTTCGCGGAATTTTGAATGTTTATATCGAATGTATTTGAGAGTAGCCGGTGAAATTTTTTATTTCTTTATGGGCCATGTGAATAGAGCACCGCGAGATGCGGTTGACTACTGATGAGGACTTGAACCACCAGCATCCAAGACACTCTCTTCCTTGTCATGTCTTCTCCTCACTCTCACCTGCTGGACCAAGTCTCATAATTAATTTCCCATTTAAGAAAAAAAAATTTCCTCCACCTCCTCCTTCACGAAAATGAAAAAAAAATGTGCCACTCCATGGCCTGAATTAATTATTTTCACAAGTTGTTAGATATCACCTAAAACAGAGAAATTCAATTAAAGAAATATAATTAATTTTGTATTTATTTCTTTACATATATATTTTTTTTACTTTTACCTGTACCACTTTTTTCTCATCTCTTGCAGCTTACTTTCCCTTTTTTTGACTTGCCATAACACTTAAAATTTATTTCCGATTTCACGCAAGAAAGCTTTAAATTGACTCAATTTCAATTCAAAATTTAGACTAAAAACACTAATAGTGTGAATTAGATTAGAAAATATTTGAAATTTTTAAATAACTTAAGAATAAATTTAATCTGAAAATAGGAATTCTAAATAAAGATTTTAAAAATTATAAAAATAATTTGTTTTTATAAATCACTTTTTTTAAGTTAGAATTTTGGGAAAAAAGTAGAAGGTATTACAAAGTTTTTTTTTTTTTTGATAATGGCAATTAATCGGTCGTTTACGATATAAATAAGTTTAATAAACTTTTACGAGATGGTGAACGAAAGCGAAACACTTTCACATGATTGTTCCTCTCTAGGTCATGGAAGATCTGTAATCGTCTTATGCGGTCTTCTCTGAATTTCTTTTTTTTTTCATATATACTGTATATAAACAATTATTTTGAAAGGAAACTTAATTTTCCTTGAGGTAATATTCTTTCAAAATTTGATAATTTTTTTTTCTTCTACAAAAAAAAAGGAAAATAATTATATTCTATTTCTTCGGCATTCGACCTTGGAATTAAAAAAAGGCTAAGCAGTACTCTCACTTAGTTACGTGAAATTTCTCCATATTTAAATTTACGTATTTGCCATTTTGCACTCCAAATACAAACTACGTACTCACGACACACGTCGCATAGTGATAAATATTTCAAATAAATTTGCAAGTGAAAGCCGCACTTTACATATGTGTATATATATATATACATTTTTTTAAAATTATCTATAATATATATTTTAATTCAACTTCTAATTTTAATATGAAATAAATAAACAATTCTAATAACTGAAATAAAAGATTACATTAATAGAAAACAATTTTGAGTTCAATTAAAATTATTAATGAATTTTTAATTGAAAATTAAGAATTAATTAAAATTACTGTTCAAAAACTGAAAAATTCATTTAATTAAAAATCAAATCTAAAAAATTACTAATTAGTGTAAAACTTATTTTTTTAGAAATTTGGTAAAGTAACTTTAATTAGGTATTTAAACTTTGTTTTCTTTTATTTAATAAATATAAACAATTTAATTGCTTGAAATTACTTGGATTAATTGGATGCTTTTTTTCCGGCAAAAAACTTAGCCATGCTTCCAATAACGGATCCAAAGGAAGTATTAATTGCCACTGTACGTTGAATCCAGCCGGGAAGTGCGTTAATTTTATTTGAATAACGTTTATCCAGTAAAATAACAGTTGAATAATCTCTACTGTGTCTAACGGCACGACCAATGCATTGATTAACAGCTTTCATACATGAATTTTCATAAAAAATATTTCCAGCTCCCGGTTTCTAAGAATATTACGTTAAATTGACTTTAAATTTAATTAAATGAAGATAAAACAAAATCGAATTAACTAAAAACAAATTAATCAAATAAATTAGAAAATAATTCAAAATATAAATTAAATAATTTAAAGTATAATAACAAAATAAATTACTGTAATTTAATTTCCTAAGAGCTTACCACACTTTCATTTAGATATTTTATCTTCTCTTGAAGTTCAGGTGATTTAATATTTGGATAAGGCATTCCCACGACAATAATACATCTTCCCAAATCATCGGAAAAATTCAAACCCTCGCTTAATTTACCACCTGAAATTAATAATTTAAAATAATAAATGTTTTGGAATTTAAAAAAATTGACTACTTTTTTTTATTTGAACTGTTACATTCTCTACCTAATTGATTGAAATTCATGTTAATCGATTTACTTTTAAATAATTCAAAAATGTAAATTTGAAAAAAAAAATGACTTACCAACAACACTAAATAATAACGAGCCATTTTGTGGTTTTATGGGATTTTTCACAGCTTGTGCATATTTTTCCAAAACTTGATTCACTTGTGATGTTAATTTTGGTTCTCGAAAAATGCATTTTTTACCACCAATTTTAGCCAAAACACCAGAATTTTCTAAATATTTGTAAAGCAATTCTTCATAACTGTAAGACGGCAGAAATACAACAATTCCAGCTGGAACAATGTTACAAATATTTTGTAAAGTGCGACCCAATTCACTCATCTGAAAAAAAATTCATTTTTTTAACGTTAATTAAAATTAAATCTTTTTTTAATTTATATAAAAAATAATATGTAAATAATATTATCACATCGAATTATTATTTTTTTTATAAACTAACGTGATAAAAAAATTACCATTTTATCATTTCCTCGATTTTGATAATTAAATTCAAATTCAACTCCTGTGGGTCCTTTAGTAACTACATTTGTCAAAATATTTTCCTTTGGAATTACATGATCACATGAGAAAGTCATTATTCTTTCAGGATTCGCTCCGGCGCCAATAAATAATTGTTCTTTAAATTCTGACATAGGTTCCATTGTACCTCCAGCTAAAATCACAGCTCTTGCTTCTTGCACTGTAAATGAAACATTTTTTAATCAAAATTCAAGAACGTTAACATACTTTATTTCAAGTAATTATTATTTCCAAATTCAACAATTTTTTTTAAATAATATAAAATTAAATAACATACCAATATCATGAAAATGAGCAGCGGGATTAAGAAGAAGAAATTTCAAAGTTCCTTGACCAACTGTCACACCAGGCGTAACAAATATTCGTCCATCAGCATTTTTCGTTAGTAAATATTCCAAAAAACTGTTTATTAATATTAAAGGACTACTGTTATAGTCTTCACTCTCTTTTTCAATTAATTTCGTTTCTATTTCCTCGACGACATCTTTATCTTGTAATTTATTTAAAAATGCCTTTACTCCAGTTTCTTTTTTACTTATTGTATTTATTATCACTCCATTCTCATATTTATCTGCATATCCTCGCAATTTATGAATGAGTTTCGAATTTTTTATAAATTCTAATAAATGAAAAATATTAACAGAATCAAGTTCAGCAATCATTTCAAAGTCTCTCACAGTATAATGTTTAGATAATGCTTCTTTACTTGTACTATCATTTGGTTGTGATTTAAAATTACCTCCTAGCATTTTCATGAGTTTCTTTAAACAAAAATTTAATTGTGTTAAATACATTACACTCTTGGCAGAAAAGAGAGCTTGAAATCTGTAAAAAGGGAATAATTTAAGAATTTAAAAAAAAAATAGAGAATACAAATTTTAATTATCTTAAATGAATTTTAAAATATTTATTACCTTTTTTGATATTGAGAAATTTGATTGTAACAATGAATAATATGTCTTCCATTAATTGTAATACTGTGCATTCTTTCAATTGCTTCTAAAAGATTATGCGCTTCGTCAATTATTAGTATATTATTTTTCAAATTAATTCCAGAACTGTCTCTAGTGTTTTTATGCAAAATTGAATTATATGGAACTAAAATTATTTGTCCGTCTTCAACAGATTTTCTAGATCCATAATAAGAACATGTATTTATTTCTTCGGCTTTATGAGCAATTTCTTCGACATCTTGTATATTTGTTAAAATTTCCGCTAGCAACAGTTCTTGATCACCAGGTTTAAATGGACAGCCACTTGTTGATTTCATCTTTTTCAAAGTCTTCTCCTTTTTCGAAGTCGTTTTCTTCCTTTGAAGTTGTAAACACTGATCATTAATCATATTAACGTTTCGAAGTTTCTTCACGGATTTATTTATACAGTAATTTTGTCTGTAAATGAAAAAATAAATTCTAATTATTAGAGATTTTTATCAATTTCTTAAAATTAAATTTTTCATTAAACTTTATAATGTTTTTTTTTTTATAGGATTTTGAAAATTTAACTAAAGTTAAAAGGAAATTATTTACCTCGAAGCGAGAGGAACAACCGAAACACTTTCAGAATAAGGGCTACTCTTCAATTCTCCAACAAATTGTGAAAGTTGTGAATGAGTTCTTGAGCAAAAAAATATTTTACAATTTTTATACAATTCTAAAGATTCATCTTCATCGGATGCATCAGATTCGGAATCCATTTCATTTAGAAGGAGATCTTCATCATTATTATCTTCAATTGAATTTTCATTGTGAGTTGTGAGTTTTTCTTTCTCGGAAATTACAGGAATTTTAGGTTTCACGTAACGCTTCTTTGTTTTCTCTTCTTGCTTTAAACGTTGTTTAAATTTATTTTTCTTTTCTTCAAATTTCATTATTGCATCTAATTTTGCTTGTAAAATTTGTCTTTCATTTGTCAAGCCTAATTGTTGAGTCTGCAGTGAAAACCAATCGTTACCGCATTCTTTCGTGAGTTCATCTATTTTATCATTTATTTCCATTATTTTTTTATTTAAAATATTTTTCTCATTTAATTCGTGATCTAAAAGCCATTTTACTGCACCACAAATTATGGAAAGTGACTTTCCAGTACCGGTGGGACTTTCGAAAATCCCCAAATTACTATTTTCCAGACACTGATAAAGTTGTTTCATAAATTGATTTTGAATGGGATAAGGTGGAAAAGGAAATGGAAAATTTTCAGGCGTTTCCATTTTTAAAAAATAGTCAATTATTTATAAATATATATATATAGAATTACCTGAAAGATAATAACTAATTAAGAAAAAATTTAAAACATAACCTAAAACTGTTAAATCTATTTTATTTATTTTAAATATGAGTATTTCTTATTTTTATTTATTTATTTATAACTGTAAACAATTTCCTAAATATATAATAAATAAATTGTGCATTTACCTTCAATTTTAATACTATTTTTCTTGTAATTTGTTTTTGACATAAATTTCTCCCGCCAAAGGAACAAAATGCCGGTTAAAGAAAAACATTGAAATTAAAGATTTTAATCATAGACATAAACTATAAATCTTATTACTATTATTCATAAAAATCAGAAACTCGTTATTGATACTTAAAAATGTGTAATCATTTTACTTATTTAAAGAAATATTCACTTTTTTTGCAAGTGGAAAATTCAATGGATGAAAAGTTTTGTTAATTTTGACATCTTAAATTCCTAACCTTAAAAGATAAACTTTTGTTTATTTCGTTCATTTCTTTTATGCTTTAATTCTTTCACAATTAATATATAGATTATAAATAAGCAAAAAGATAAAAAAACACAATTAATTTTACAATGTTTATCAAAAAGATAAATTCAAATGAAATAATATTGATTAATTAAATTTTTTTTAAAATAATATTTGAATTTACCACACTTTGAACTTACACAGCAGCGCCATCTTCAAATTAAAAATACACACTTACGTACCTATGAAAAATAGTTGAGTGTCACAAAAATAATATTGCAATTCTTTTATTGTTAAAAAGATAACAATTAAAATTTGAAGGTTTTGTACATAAAAGCATAATATATACTTTTACTTTCATTTATTTAAATTTATTTGAATAAACTTTGATTTTAAAGAAATAAAGATAGAAAAGTTAATTTTTTTTTTAAGTTTGTACATATACGCCTCTGTAACACTTTTTAAAGACATTTATAAATGTGTTAGTAGATGACGTTCTGTATTTGACCTTTAATAGTACATATTATAATTGTGTGAGTTAGTTTCGTGTGTAGTTGTACATCTGTCATCTGTAACAAAACATCAACTTTGTTATCTCCACATTTTTCAGTTTTGTTACCTAATTTTAATTCTTGTGACAACAATCATGATTCGTATTTCAAGCGTACTTACGACTGCATCCAAAAATTTTAACAAATTTTTAATCAACGGATCTGTAAGGTAAGATTTCTAATAATTTAAAACCTGTACTCTGCAAACAGACTTGTTGCTTATTTTATACAGTATAATTTCTTTTTCAATTGTAAAAATTATTAAACACTTTTTACTATTCAAATTACAATAATTCATTCAGCATTGTCAACAATATTTGAAATGAATTGAGTAATTAATTGTTTCTCAATTGTTTATATCACTTTTCATATAATGACTTGTCATATTTCTTTTTTGTTATACAAATGAATATGTCCTTTGCTAATATAGTTCTTAATTTTTGTAACCTTGTTCCTTTAAATAAATACAAAAATACTTTTTTTTTAAAGAATAAAATTATTTTTCAATATAGAATTATTTTAAAATAATAATTTCAATAAATTCTGTGCAATTTTTTTTTTACAAACGTGAGAATTAAAATACATCCATGGACTTTGACCTCCTTGTATATTTAGATAATTTTTCTCTAGTTTTCTAATCTTATTATTTTATCAATAACGGGAAGTTTATTTTTATTAATTGAAGATAACAATTAAATGTGTTAATTTTAAAATAGGTGTTAATCTTCTATTAATGTGGAAAAAATTTCTATTTTTGAAAATTTTTGAAACTTAAAAATTCTTTACTTTGAATTTAATAATTTATTGAATTTCCTTTGACATTTATTTTTATTTAAATTCTATAAAAATTGTCACTATTGAGAGAAAAATTTCAAATATATTGTTAATAATTGAATTTTAAATTAAACAGATGTCTTGCAACACAATCAGTGCCAAAGGCTGTGAAAAGCGACAAGGCAGAAGCGTCCAAAAAAGAATCTCAATCCTTCACGATGAATTTATTTCGAGGTCAATTGCAAACATCGCAAGTATTTCCCTATCCGGAACCTTTGAATGAAGATCAAGTTGAAACTTTAAAAATGTTTATTGATCCGGTTGAGAAATTTTTTGAGGTAATTTTCAATTTTTTAAATTTAATTACGTTTTTTTATCATAGTGAAAGGGAATTTGAATTTTTCACAGGAAGTTAATGATCCTGTTGCAAATGATAAAAATTCATCGATTGATGAAAAAACAATGAAAGCTCTCTGGGAAATTGGTGCTTTTGGTCTTCAAGTACCACAGGAATTTAATGGACTTGGCCTCAATAATACTCAATATTGTCGTTGCGTAGAAATTGTTGGACAAAATGATCTTGGAGTTGGTATTACATTGGGATCACATCAAAGCATTGGTTTCAAGGTTAATTTTTTTTTTTTTTTTTTTGAATAATTTCAATTTAAAGAAATATTTTATATAGAATTTATTATTTAACAGGGAATTCTTTTGTTTGGAACACCAGAACAAAAAGAGAAATATCTTCCACGTGTTTGTGCTGGTGATTTTGCTGCTTTTTGTCTCACTGAACCGAGTTGTGGTTCTGATGCAGGTGCAATTAAATCGCGAGCTGTAAAATCAGTAGACGGAAAGCATTATATTCTTAATGGAAGTAAAATTTGGATTTCAAATGGTGGTCTAGCAAATATTATGACAGTTTTTGCCAAAACACCAGTAAAAGATCCTGTGAGTGGTGTTGAAAAAGAAAAAGTTACCGCTTTCATTGTGGAACGTGATTTTGGCGGTGTCACTTCTGGACCACCCGAAGACAAAATGGGAATAAAATGTAGCAATACAACGGAAATTTTCTTTGACGATGTCAAAATACCAGTGGAAAATGTTTTGGTTAAGGAAGGCGAAGGTTTCAAAGTGAGATTTAATGATTGTTAAATTGTTAATTTTTATTAATGAAATTTAAGATGTTATTCTTTTTTTTTTAAATAATTTGTTTTAGGTTGCCATGAATGTATTGAATAATGGAAGATTTGGAATGGCTGCTGCTTTATCGGGAACTCAAATGGTTTGCATAAAAAAAGCCGTAGAACATGCGACACATCGAGTTCAATTTGGCAAGACAATTGATAATTATGGCTCGATACAGGAAAAAATTGCGAGAATGTCAATGTTGCAATATGTTACACAATCACTTGCTTATATGATCTCGGGAAATATGGACCAGGGCAGTCAGGATTATCATCTAGAAGCTGCCGTGTCAAAAGTAAATATTTTGAATAATAATAGAGTTTATTATGGAAAAAAAACCTCTTTTTTTGAGATTTTGAATTTTTTTATTCTTATAATTTTTATTTTCATAGGTATTTGCATCGGATGCTGCCTGGTGGGTTTGCGATGAAGCAATTCAAATTCTTGGTGGAATGGGTTACATGAAATCTGCCGGATTAGAACGAATAATGCGTGATATACGTATATTTAGAATTTTCGAAGGCACTAACGATATTCTTCGTCTTTTCATTGCTTTAACTGGTATTCAATATGCAGGAGGTCACTTGAAGGAGCTTCAAAGAGCATTTAAAAATCCTACAGCGAATTTAGGTTTAATTTTCGAGGCAGCTGCGAAAAGAGCAACGAGAGCAGTGGGTCTCAGTAGTTTACCTAATTTCACTCATTTGGTCCATCCAAGTTTATCCGAGAGTGCCTCTCTTTGTGCAAAGGTTAGCTTTTTAATTTTCGATTGCTTTTGTTATCTTCTTTCATATTATTTCTTTTTTTCTTCTATTTTTGAATTTCTTTTTACAATTTCAGAGTATAGAATCGTTTGGTCAAACGATAGAATCCTCACTTATCAAATACGGAAAGGGAATAGTGGACGAGCAATTTATTTTAAATAGAATAGCACAAGCTGCCATTGATACTTATACGATGTCAGTAGTTTTAAGTCGAGCAAGTATGGCAGCGCGTAAAAATTTACCAAGCGCTCAACATGAAATTTTAATGACCCAAACATGGTGTGCAGAGGTGAGAATTTTACACTATATTAAAAAAAAAAGAAAAATTTTCATTAGGAAACAAATTTTCAATATTTTTTTAACCGAATTCATTTTTTTATATTCTAGGCATCGAGTCGAGTTGCTTACAATTTGAAAATCATCAACAGCGGCAAGCATTTGGATGTTTTTAATAAATTAGGAAAAATTTCAAAGACTGTTTGTGAAAATGGCGGTTGCGCACACGTAAATCCGCTAAATTTCTAAATTTAATTCTAATGTAATTTAAATGATAAACTAACATTATTTGGAATAGTTCGTCTGGAACGAAACATAAACTGTGTTAAATTAATTTTAATCGAATAATTTTTCTATAATATAAGAGAAAAAAAATATATTTTTACAATTTTCTCTATACGAAATGTCAATTTATAAAGGAAATTTATAACTAATTTTTAAATAATGAATGATGATTAGAAGTGATAACAGAAATTAATTACGAGTTTAAGAAATTGTTGATAAAAAAAAGTATTTGTATATATTAATATTTTTAAAAATCAGCGCCCATAATATGTAATTATCTTTAATAATATTTTTTACATTTTTTTTTTTTATTCGAATTAATTCAAAATGATATTAACAATCGATTTAAGAATATTTTTTTAAATCATAAATACACAATATATTGTAAATAAATAAATTCAGTGACTGAATTTCGAAATCTTTATTCGTTTTTTTCTTTTACTTATTTCCAATCACAGAATACTAAAATAAATGTTTACATAATTGATCATCACACGGTTTTAAAAGATATTTTGTTCTTTTTTACAGCTCTTTTTTTCATCAAATTAAGTTTATAGAATATCACATCGCAATTTGTCGAGAATATATATATACTAACATTTTTTGTTTCGTTTTATTTTAATGATTTATTAATTTTTATTGCAGTTTGTCTGAAGATTTAATAATAATAATAATAATAAGAAAAAAATAATAGAGTTAAACAACTTTTACAATATTTTCATCGACATGGAAGCACACGAAATATCTATAAATGTCTCTTCATTTTTTTTTTTTTTTAATTTTCAGAGAAATGACTAATCATGCAGAAACATCAAGTAAATAGCGATTAAATAAGTTAATTTCAAGTCAAGTTTGAGACACAAATTACATTTTACGTATTTCCAATTTTATTCTTTGTAAATTGAAAATTAATCTTTATAAAATGTATTGGAAAATCAGAAAGTTTTCGAAAAATTAATTATTAGACTAGAAAATAATTTGCAAAAATTAATTAGTTCCCTCTAATTGTGACATTAAAATATTTTCCACTGACAGTAAATAAATATAGTATAAAAAAAAAATTATAAATTTAAAAATTACTTAAAGATTTTATTCATAATAATAATTAATTAATTAATAATGTACAATTCAATAATGTCTGTTTCTCAAATTTTAACTTGCAATGAACATATGACGTGTTAAAACGACAATTTGCCAAATATAGCGATACGTAATTATCATAAAAGTAGTATGAAAAGTTCCTCATTCTTTCTACATGTAGAGACGATGAATAATAATAATTAAATGTCTATCCGTTTGAATAATTATTGAGACAATGATTGCATTCCACAATTTTTCAGAAAAAGATATAATAATTTTTTTTTCAATTTTGTTACTCCAGGAGTGTAAGCTAAAAATAATTTTCCCTGGCAGAGCTGAATCTGAGAAAAAAAATTCTTTTCTCCACTTGGTTCTAAAATAATGTATTATTATTATTTTAATAATATATTATTTATACGTATATTAAATAATATATTATGCTTCATTTACTTGTTAATTATCAATAATGATCATTAATAATAATTAATTACTATATATGTCAATCGTTATTATTATTATTATTATTCAATTATCAGTTCAATAGCAGTTAATTATATTTACAAGTATCACGTCTATAATGACTTGAAAATATAATATGGTAATATTATTAATAATTTATATATATATATATATATATATATAATATATAATTAGTTAAGTATTTATATTACTTGACGTGTATTCTTTAGCTTTCTAAGCTTAAAAAAAATAGTTTTGAATTTGATTCAGCACTGCTTTTCTAAAGAGAACATTTCTTTGAAAGATTTTACAACCCTGGTTTCCCTGAATGAGAATGCAATTTATCATTATCATTAAGATGGTTTACCTGCGACAGTCTCTACCAAAAAATAAATGTTAGAAACTGAAAAAAAATCCACTGTGAAATTAAATATGAACATAAAATTATTAATAATTTTTTTTAAATAAAGGAAAAAATTTAAGTTTTAAAAAATTATTCGATTTTGGTGAAAAGTAAACTTTTCTCTGAAACAAAAATAAAATCAAATAAAAATTAAATAAAAGTACCTATAAAATAATTTCCAAATTTCAACATTATTTTTTTTTTTTTTTTTTTTTTTTTTTAGAAAAGACTGTTGATGATTAACAACCTTAAATCATGATATCAGCAAAAGTACAAATATATTATAAAATGGAAGAAATTGAATTGCAATTTTTCTAAATTTCTTCAGCTTGTTATTTTGTATGTACAGAAACGATTCTAATGGACGAAAAGCTTTAAAAACATATCTTCTAATAATAATCACATTAAAAGAAAAAAATTGTTTTATCTCAAAATTATTGAATTAAATTAGAAAAAAGTATTAAATAAAAATCATCAATTTTAAAAGAAAAATATTTCTATTCAAGATGGAGACGCTTTTAAAAATTTTTTCATGAAATTTCCATTATTTAATAAATTTCTTTTACTTTCGTTGTGCATAAATTTTTTTTTGTCCTCCTTTTGTAAAATAATACGTTCACTTTCATCTCAAATTTCTACACCTTTTAAAGGTTATGTAAATATAATTAATTTTCAAAATTACTTTCTTATAGAGATGATTGAAATATCCAAAATCTAGATTATAAATGAATACTATATTTATAGTACATACTAAAACTACATAATTTTAAAGGTTCTTTTTTTTTTATTTTGAGCATTTGGCCCATACTTGAGAAGTAGTTATGTTAAAATTGAAAACAATCACAGTAAGTATTCCACCAGAATAAATAACATTTTCATATATTATAATTCTTTCCAATAAGAAGCTCACCCATTGAATTTGAATCTTCTATGGAAGGCAATAATTCACATAGAAATAGAAGAACTCAAACGATTGTGCGATTAAAAAGTAAAATAAAATTTCTAAAATTTAGTGTAAGTTAATTTTTTTTATCACGTTTATTACTATATCGTTCCGCAAAAAAAAAATATATATATATTTTTACTCTTTGAGAAATTTATATATATAATAGTTTAATTTTCTCCTATTTCTATGGTATCTGCATTTTTCATATTCGGTCCTTTCCTTAAACGTTGAGCTTAACTAATAAATATTAAATCAGTCTGTACTGCTTTGTTTTTTTTTTCTTTTCTACTATCAATTAAAAAAATTAAAGGACGCAACTAATCAAGCTACTTAAATAGCTGCTTGAAAAAAATAAGTAATTTTCTTTTTGTTTTTTGCGTTCGACGCTGACATTATTTTCTTTCAATAATAATAATATTATTATTATAATAATCAATAAAAGTCACTACCTGGAGTAACTGTGATGATTGGGGTAGGCCTAACCCTGAGCTATGGAGAGATTTTTAAACATCGGTCCATTCCAAGCGATAGCGATGCAATAATGCTGCAAAAGTTGAGTCAGCAATTCTCTTTCATCTAAAAGTTCTATTCTTTCGATTCGAATTCGCTCACTTTCAGGCAAAGAATCATAAACCTCCACCATCGTCCAAGAATTTGATCCTTCCCATCCATTCACTGTGAATCTAAAAAAAAACAAGAGAAAATTTTTAATATAAAAAAAAATATTTTTAATTTTAAATAAATAAAATTTATTACCGTCTTTGTTGTGTTTCCAAAGATTCGCAATCTTCAACTCCAGCCAAAAGACAACCGCGGCTACGTAAATTAGAGAGCATAACTTGTCCAAATTTATCACGCATATTTACTTGCTCGTAATTAATAAAAAGACTATTGGGAAACTTTCCAGCAAACCATTGTAAAAGTGACGATGCCGAATTTGTTTCTATATATACGAGAACACATTCGGCGAGGAACAATGTTGGCAAATTGAAATTCACTTCGGCTTGTGACAATTTATTCGCCAAATCTGAAGTATGACGTAAATCTACTCCAACTAAGTGATAATTGGCGGCGTGTAATTCTGTCGAGGAAAATCTTATTTCTCCATCTAAAATTATTATTCTATTACAATCTTTAAAATTTCTATTTTACAATTTAAATAGAAAAAAAAAAACGTTTAAAATTTTTTACCAATAAAAATTGAAATTTTATTAAAATAATTTACAGATTTATAATTGATAACAAAATAAAGATTAATGACGAATTTAAATTAAATAATTTTACCTTCGGTATTAAGCCTATCTATCAGTTGTTTCTGTTTTTTAATGTGGTAACATTTTTTCGCAGTGATATTGGAAAAATCTAGTTCTATAAAATTTACTGGACTGTTTCCAGCATCTTTGAGTTTCCAATAAAGAGTGTCAAAACCTGCGCCAAGGTTTATAATTTGACCTTTTCCTCCTGATAACTAGAAAATAAGTTAATTCAAAAATTATAATTAGAAACAATTATTTAAAAAGAGATAACGGAAGTATATATCAATAATAGCAATTGAAGTTAGTAACTAACAATTGAAGAAAAAAACAATACAATCAATAAAAGTAACACGCTGCTTAATACAACTTTTGTTAACTAAAATTGGTTAATAAATTTTTCTAACATAAACAATTAAAACTAATGAATAAAATTTTCTTTCGTTAATAATAAAAATAATAAGAGAAAATTGCATTATTTAGAAATATAAAGTAATAGATAAAAATAAAATTCTGTAATGATATAAATGCAACGCAAAAACGAAAACTCATTGTCGGCGAACAAAAATTCGAAAGTTTTTATTTATAATCATGAGTTAAAAGAAAAACATTATATTTCGCAGAGTAAAAGCACGAGTTTGACCTATATTGAAAATCTACAATAAAGGAAGATCTCAACATGAAAATAGGGCAGGGCCAGGTCAAGGTTTCAAGTAGTAAATCAGCTGTAGCCGTGAAAAGTTCATTTTCGAGGTTATGCTTAATCCACAATAACATATATTTAGATTTGATTTGATATAAAGCGGTCACTTACCTTTAGAAATTTATCAATAAACACTTCAACTCCCTTAACTCTAGCATAATATCCACGATTAATTTCTGGTGTCTTCTTGTTGGTGTGCTTGACGAAATAGTTTATAAATGGATCCGACCAATATCCACACTGAACCGCATATTTTTTACATTCACTTGCATCATCATTTGTTGCCTGAACAGCCTCATCATTCGCCATTTCTTTAATCATGACGCTTTTTCTTTCTTTTTTTTTTTTTATCAATTACACTTACACATTATTTCACATTTATTTAACACACAGCTCCAAATTACAGCAAACAGCGCGAGCGGCCATTGTATATTTTCCAAAACGCAGGTCCGTATACGTGAATCTTTTTACAGAAAAAAAAATCGAGATGAAATTATTTTTAATTTTTTTTTTAAATATCGTCAAATTTTAAGATAAACGAAAATTATTTTTATAATTCAAATGATTGTTAGTGTCTATTTGATATTTTGTTGTTATTGTTTTCATATAATTACATATATACTTCAGTAGTTGCGCAGAAAGCAACATTGATCTTTTGCGCATTCACAAAAAAATTGATAGTCAAGTTCATTTCTTATTTTTCAAAATTTATTTAATTATTTTTAATTAATTTTAGCATTGAATGTAAATTTTTTACTTTAATTATAATGAATTTGAAATTATTTTTTTATAATTTAAAAGTTGGTTTCTTTTATAAATGTTAAGTAAATGTTTATAAATCTCTCGCTTGACTTTGTTATTATTAGGCATTTAAATGACAAGAGAGCGGTTAAATTAAAAATGAGAACTCATTACTTTATATATATATATATATATATATATATATATATAAAATTAAAAATAAATTATTGTAGATTGTAAATTAAATATATATTTTTAATTACGATAAAAGTGGCATAATTAAATTTAGATAAATCCAAACATTTGTTTTTAATAATTGTGCAGTTTACTCTAAATTAATGAATATCAATTTCTTCATAAAGAATTCATAAAGAATGTTTTCAGGCTTGTCACAAAATTTTTTTGTTTTTCCCTAATTTTCAAATAGAATTTTAATTTTTTCCCTGACTCTAATGAATATATTTTAAGAGGTTTTCAATTGTAAAAAATTAAGACAATCATTTTAAGGAGCAAAAAGTTTGAATTGAAAATTTCAAAAATGATAACTTTAGTAGCATTTTTAGAAATTTGATATTTTTCCAGTAATTTTCACAAACTAATTTTTTCAATTGTTTGCTAAGTTAATTTTTAATTTCATGAGTGAATGATTTAGTTTGATAAGTAAAATAGATTTTTCTTGTATATATACAAAAGTATTTTGCTTTATTTCACAAATTACAATATTTGAAAAAGGCCATTGTTGTATATTATTTTTGTTTGCCAAAATGTCCGTTGTACATAATATATAATATTGTAAAAATAATAAGATATTGTATTTTTTAAATCAATTAAGCGTAAAGATAAAATATTTAAAATAAAGCTGATTATTTCGAATACTCGAGAGAACAAATCCTTGAATAACTATATAGAATAAAAATTGATAATGCAAAAAAAAAAAAAAAAAAAAATTAGTAAAAACTGATGAGTATTAACAAGGAATAATTAAAAATTCAAAGAATTAATATATATATATTAAAATTCATATTATAAAAAACAAAAGAAGCAAATACTAAACTATGATCAGTACAAATAATATGCAATAGAAAAAAACACATGGTATGATTTTTTTTTATAAATAATAATTAAATGATACGTTTATGACTCTTGGACTGTTCTAAAAAATCACAGCATTGTGTCAAATATTGAACGATAAGGTGCATTATTAATTAAATTATAAAAAAAATCTATCCAACTAGTTCATATCCTTCAATTTTCACACACAATGCTTTTTCTAGACATCTTTCTTTTTTTTTTTTTTTTTTTTAATTAATGTGCTGTTAATTTGTATTATTGTCAAAGTATTAATATATTTTGTTTTCTCGATTATCACAGTTCCGTGTCAGATTTTTTACTCGTTGTTCCTTTTGTTGTTGTCGTTGTACTTGATTTTACTTTTCTCTTTGGTGGTACAGGAGCTTCGGAACTAGCCGGAGGAGGTGTTTCTGGTACAGATTTATCAGTCTCAAGTTGTGTTCCTTTTTTCACAATTTTTTTCCCCTTTTCTGTTGAACCTTCACCACCTTCTGAGGATTCTTTCTTTTTCACTACTTTCTTAACAACTTTTTTTGTCACTTTTTTGCCGGTCGATGATTCTGAACCCTCGGCAGCGTCTTCAGATTCTTCTGTGGATTGTTTTTTGACAATTTTTTTGACAACTTTTTTTGTTGTTACTTTTGTTCCACCCTCGACGAGTTCGGGATTTATTGGTGGACTTGTGGGTGGTGTTGCTTCAGTGACTGTTGGTGTGGGAGGAACTTTCATCTCTTTTGATCTCATTGGACGACGTTCTTGTTGTGTTTCAGTTTCACTGGATTTTTCCGTGGAACTTGATGAGGATAATGATTTTTTTCTCTCTTCACGTGGTTTTTGAACAAGACCTGAAATTTCACTTGGCTTGCTCTGAGGAATTTGTACCGTCAATTTTGGCTCACATGATGGTAATAGAGGTTTCTCCATGGAACTTGATTTTCGACGTTCAAGTTTTGTTTCTTTGGGTTTTACAACTTCTTGTGATTCCTTTGCTTCCGAGGGTTCGGTTTCTTTTTTCTCTTCTTGTTGTGTTACCGATTTTGATTCTGATTTTTCCTTCGTCTCTGTCGCTTCTTTTGGTTGCGACACAACTACTTCTTCTTCTTTTTTGACATCTGCTTCTTTGATTTCATGTTGAATTGGCACCTCGGCTTGAGTGATTAAAGGTTCTGGTGGAACAATCGCAGCAGGAATTTGGGGAGTTAAAATTTCAGTTGAATGATCTGCACAACCATTTTCAAGTTTTGGAGCAACATCCGAAGTTGGGGGACTAATTAAAGCTTCCGAAATGGCTAGAGCAGATTCTTGAACGACGGAGACAATCGAGGAAATTGCTTCCTCACCCACTGGTGAAGTAACTTGAGAAACGGATTCTTTTGGCTCGGCTTGTAAAACTGATTCCGCTACTTGTATTGGAACCGGTTTTTCTTGAACGGAAGTTTCTTGAATTTGACTCTCTTGTAAGGTGGACGTTTCTGGAGGTAGTATTGGTTGAAGATTGGGAATTTGGCAAACAACAGGTTCCTTCGAAATTGTTTCCTGAGGAATAGCAAATTCTCCAAGTTGTTGTTCAGAAATCACAACTGATTCCGGAACTTCCGATGGAATAATCGAAGTCTCCAAAAGTGGAACCACTGGAATTGCCGTAGGAAGACTTGAACTTTGTGAAACAGATTCGGCCACTGAAATTGCTTCAGAAACGGGAATATCTTGAGAAATTGGAATTTGTTGAACTTGTTCCAAAATTGTTGATCCAGAATCCTTTTCCTTCTCGGCGACAGGTTCTTCAATTATTTGCGAAACAACAACTGTAACTGATCCTTGAATATCTGTGGTAATCGGTGCGGATATGGCAGAAGGCTCTTTCTGGTCTGTAGTTTCATTTGTTGCTGAATAAGAAAAATTTTGCAAATTATTAAAAAATTCAAATTCTTTACAAATAAATCTACTGAAATTATATTATGTGAAAAAAAAGAATCCTACTGAAAAAATCAATACATACTATTTAGTAGTGATTGTTTTATGGAGTATTATAATGATGATAAATGATGATGAATGAATTGTTTCATAACAATATTGATAAATAATAAATTAAATCAATTTTTTTATTCCATAATATATTAGTGACAAGCCTTGCAAAACTAAAATAATAAAGCATTAATAAAAACAAAAATTGCAAGTTAAAAAATATTTTGACATTTCCCTTTTTGAAAATTCTTTAAAAAAAAAATGTGAATTATATGAAACGATATTATGATTTTTGTAATATTAAGAATGATGAAAGCCCAAAAAAGTAACTAAATTTCAAAATTGATTTCAAATTATAAAAAATTAACATAAAATTTCAATAAAAAAATGTTAAGAATTTGTAAATTTTATATTAAAAATAATAAAATTTAATGCTTTCGTGTAAAATTTGACAAATAGAGAATATTTTCATGACAAGTTTTTGTATAAATGTGTCGAGAGAATTTAACTTTTTAAAATTATCCTTGTTTTTTTTTTCTTTTTTAATATTTACCCCAATAAGCAAAATGACAATGCAATTCGCAGCAAGGCTATGACGCCAGGATCTGTTAGTTGCTCTTCTCTGCTCCTGTTTCAAAATTCGAACACTCAAACTGATTATTAATCCATGTCACAATTTTTACGAATTAAAAAATTATTACAAATTTCAAAATTTTCTACTAACATTTTTTTTTTACTTCTATTTCTTCCTTTCTTCTTTTAGCATTTATTTTATTTCTTTATTTAAAATAAATGTGTCAAATAGTAAATAGCAAATAGGAAAAAAAAAATTAAGTTTATCATTATATTATTAAATTAAGATCATTATAAGTATTCTACAACAAATTTTAATTTTTTTAACATCAAATAAAAACATGCCATATTTTGTATTATGAACAAAAAAACAAAAATAAATATACAAAGCGCGAATATTTAGAGCACGTTAATCGCTTATTATGCTCAAATCATACATTTGCGAGAAAAATTGTTTTTCTTTACAATTAAAATTGTTAAAAAAAACCATTGTTTTCATAGATATTCGAAATAAAGAATTAATTTTCTAAATTTTTATTCTTTTAAATACGTACCAGGTTTTTCTACTTCTTCTTCTTCTTCTTCTTCAGATTTAACAATGACAGGAGATTCGGCAATATCCTTTTTCATTTCTAGTTGATCCTTTCAAATAGAAAAAAAAAATTTGTAAATTAAAATTAAATTAAATTTCTTGACATAATTATTAATAATAATCAATCAATAATAATTTACCAATGGAGGAGATATTTCACGTTCTGGATGTGAAGCTAGTGTCTCGGAAATTTTCTTCCAAATATTATCAAAACTATCACGACCCAAATAATCGATTTGTCCTTGTTCCCAACTCTGTTTTCTCATATGCTCCTCGAATGCAACTTGTTCATTACTTCTTGCTTCACCTAATGTTAATTGCGCCAATGCCCCAGCTAATCCAGTCTAGTTAACAAATAATAATAAAAATAGCGTATAAAAAATTACAAAGATACAAATTTAAAAAATATATATATTCGTGAGAACTAAATTCTAATCATTTGAGTAGTGCGCCTTTATTTATATATAATATATATACACACATACATGAGATCAATAGGAAATTTTATATTTACAATTTGTTGTAATTAATAGTGCAATATAAAATAATAATGATAATATAATAAAAAAATATATCAATATGTTATAATCAGGGGAAGATAATAATTTTCCTAAAACGATTATTATGTTTTTCAACTATTTAGTATTTATATATTTTGGTTCGTTTATGAAAATAAATAAGAACCTTTTACTTACATCTTTACTCTCTAAGTGTTCTTCTATTTTGCACAGTTCAGATTGTGATGCTACTTTTTTAGGAATTACTCGGATATTAAGAGGATGAGAGGATATTGTGTGATTGTCAGTCTGTTCGTCAATTTTTAAATTGTCTTTTAAAGCTAATTTTTCACCGGTTTCGAAAATTTCTCTAGACATATTTTTTTGAGATTCGATAAAACTCTCGTCATTACACGATTGCCGCTGTTCTTGAAATTGATGATGATTATGATGATGATTATGAAATTCACTAGAAATTTTGTTTTCTTGATGTGTTTGAACTTCTTGATGTTGCCAACACAATTCTTCTAGATGTGATGATAATTTTTGGCTAGAATGATATTCCTCTGATGATGATGATTGTTCATGACTAGAATGATAATAATTTGTTGTAGATTGACAACTACTCTCTTGATAATTATTCTGCTGATAATTATTATCTTGATAATTATTTTGTTGGTAATAATTATCTTGACAATTATTCTGTTTATAATTATTCTCTTGATAATTATTGTGTTGATAATTCTCTTGATAATTATTCCCTTGACAAATTTCTTGCGACCTGTTGTATTCTTCTTGATTATTTTCTATATGTTCATTAAAAATACGATTATCTATTTTATTAACATTATCCGGCCTTTGCAATAATTGTCCCGAGTCTTTTGAAATTTCTTGTGTCACTTGCTGAGGAATTTGTAAAAATGGATCTAAATGAGGTAGATAATTGTCCCAGGGATCTTTAAAGTCAGAAAAATCAGGCTTGTTGAAATTTAAATCATTAACCGTCTCATTTGTCAAATTTTGGAATGTAATACGATTTTGTGTGGAGATTGGAGAATAAGAGGGAACATTGTGCCAGGATGAAGCCAAAGTGCTGGTGGCCTTTGCAAGCATCATGCGAAAACAGAAAAATGCACACTCAATATGTTAGTAACAAACTAGAGTAACAGTGTCCATTTTTTTAAAATTGTTTCATTAATTTCTAATATTTTAATTTAAATTAATTCAATTGACTTATGAATTTTAATGGAATTGATTAACATTCGCAAATAAAAATTCAAGTTACAGCATTACTTATTGGCTGTGCAATTTTCGTCTATAGCTTACTCTAATTAATAGAAGAAAATTAAAAAATTGGAAAACCCTTTAAAAAAACAAGTAAGAAAAAAGTTACATGCAAAATAGCAATAAAAAAAATAGACACTGTCGAGAAAACTAAATTAATTTAGAAAATTTAAACTAAATTTCAGAGGAATAATTTAAAAAAAATGAAATGAACGATTTTTTTTCTAAATGATAGAAAAGCTTTCTATACATATATGCAACATTTTAAAAAGTGCAATTTGAGAATAAAAAGAAGTTCAAAGAATCATACATAAAAATTACTTTTCTAAAAGAAAATTGATTTTATTGCGCACAAAGTATTAAATATTTCAAAATAAAATAAAATCTCAACAATAAAAGAAAGACAAAAAATTTGCAAACATTACAAAAACAATTTGTTTTTACAATTTCTATTTACAATGTAAAATCCTAAACCAATTTACTAAATATATATTTACACGTATTCTAATTGTAAACACACATTGAAATCTAATAAAATGTTTTTCTATTTTAAAAATAGAAACATATTTCTATTCGTTTACTATAATCTTACCTCGTGACAATTATTTATTGAGTCCCTGCATAGATTGATTAGCTTGTAAAATCAACAAAAACACATTACTTAAGTTTAATATTATTTGAGAAAACAAATTTTCAAAGATGAAAGGCGAGAGTAAAATTAAGCAATAAAAAAAAAAATTAAAATGTTGCACAATAACTCGGTTTTTTTTTTCAAAAACTCGACTCACCATATCAGGATTAAGTTGAGGATGCACATTATCACAGAAGATGTTCCACCAAATCTGTAAAAGTGGCTGAATATGATTTGAATCCAATGGCGGTTGTACAATTCCAGTGAGAGTATCGAAGTACTGTAGCCATGGTTTTGTAGAACCAATAAAGTGAATAATCCTGACCTCATTTCCAAATCTGAAAAATTTTTAAATTCGAAATTTAATATTTATTTACTATAATTGTTATTTGAATTTTTAAAAACTTTTATTGTTTTTAAATTTTAATATGTTTCCAATTATTATAATTCGACATTTTTGGTTTGTGATTCAAGAGAAAGAATTGAAAATTTTCAAGATGGTAAAAAATCGAAATAATGAACATTTTAAATAATAAAAGTTTAAAAATTGACAAATTAAAAACACACAAGAAATTCTAATATTTTTTACTGTTTGAAAGCAGGAAGATAGGAGTACGTAGCACTGGAACACATGTTGTAAATAAAGGGAAGATGTTTGGATATATCTTTTTGTGACCAATCACTAAAAAACATATTCAAAAGACCCTGATCGCCTCCATCAAAGGATCCTTGCGCTGTCGCAAAAGCAATCAAAGAATCATAAGTTTGTTGAGAAGGTTTAAATACAAATACACCAGAATTAAAGCAATCTGGCCATCCAACATCCGGAGCCGCTGACAATTCTTCCCGATCAAATAATTCGTCACAATTTCTAATTACCTGAAAAATATTGTTCTTTTTTAATTATATAATTTATCAATAATTAATTAATTATTATTAGCATTTAATTATTAACTTATAAATTATTTTAAACAAATATAAATATACAAAATAAAGAAAAAAAAAAACTAACGAGAGCATCAGCATCGACGAATACACATTTTTCATATTGTGTCAGCCTCCAACAATGCAATTTAGTGAAGGTGATACCCAATTCTGGCCTGGCTAAAAGTCGAAGATTCGATTCATCTTTCGAATCAAGAATATTAACTTCCTGGACTAATGAAAATACTGCTGCTAATTTTTCTCTGTAAAAAAAGAGAAAGAAACTTAATATATGTTCTCAAAATATGTTAACAAATATGATTTGCAATTGTTTTTATTTCGTTCGTTGACAGTTAATGACCCTGCTGATTCTTGGTCAATGTCAAGAGTAACATTTTCTTTCTTTGGCTAGTGTTCAAATTGGCAACAATGATAGACTGTAATTTTCAAATTGCAAGGTAACTTCAATTCGATGTGGTTCATGACAAATATGAAAATATTTTTTCACCAGTCATGTCTTTAGAGTTCAAGAGTGACAAAAAAAAATAGATTTAAAAAAATTTTTAATCTTTGTTTTTTAAAAAATTTAAAATTAAGAATAAAAGAATCTTAAAAATTGAATTAATAAAAGAAAAATCTGATTTTCTTTATCATTAGTACCTCATTACATTTGTTACACCCGGCGTTATCAGTGCAACAAGATCATGTTGTGTGCCAGCTCGTTTTAAAGAATGAGCCAAGACCAATGCTCCCAATGAATACGAATCATTTGTGGCTAACGTAACCCACGCAAAGCCTGTAATGCAAAAAAAAAAAGAAAAATCATTAATTAAATTAATAGAATATACAAATCACAACAATTTTCAATCAATATTCATATTTGTTTTTTTTTTTGAAAAAAGTTAGAAATTACCAAAGAAATTCGTGTAATTAATTTTTTATTTATCTTATCATTAATTATTTTTTTATTATCTTTTTATTTCTATTATATTATAAGAATAGAAAATTTTATTTATAATAGATATAAGTGATATTGAATTAAATTCAAAGACGATATCAAAACTATATTTATGAAGAAAGAGAATGAGGAAAATTTTACGAGAAAATTAGAAATGGCTATGAACTATAAGCAAAATATCATAAAATAGAATTATGTATCGTTGCCAAGATAAAAATAGTATATTTTGAGGAAAAATTATTATTACGTTTAAATTTTTGAACATTGCCTAGTCATAAAAACAATGTTACATGTTTCCGAAATCAATACCCAGAGAATGAAACAAACCCTATTTTTACTATCAGGGAAAATTAATTTCTTCCTAACACTTTAACGAAATAATTCTTTTTTTATTACACATATTTGAAATAACTATTTGACAAACATTACATTTTTTATAATTGTTGTATAAAATCACAAGATAATTTATGATTTAAATAAAATATATGCACTATTTTATATATTTAAAATGGTAATTTCAATAAAAATCTAATTTAAAATATTCAAAGAAATTTAAATCAAAATAATTAAAATCAGTATCTCTTTTTCATTCATAAAAATGATAAAAATTTATTAATTAGGTGAAAGTGGGAAAAGCATATCATGTAAAAAAAACAGGTGAGAATACAATATTGGCAATCTTCCAAAACGTGTTATATTTAGACATCTGATCTCAGAATTGCTTCTTCTCAGATCTTCATAGAGGATATATACGGCTAGACTTATAATAATCCAACTATTTGGTACCGCAGGTCTATTGTACATAAGAAATTTTTTTTCAGTTTTTATTTATTTATTTATTTTTTTTTACTTTCATTGATATAATGAAATTCAATAATATTCTTTTATGAAAATAAATAAAATCAAATGAAACGACGTTTTAATAAAAATTATTAATTAAAGAAATTGAAGTAAAAAAAAATTAATCCATAATTATTAAATTAAGTAATTGAAATTGTAATAATTGAAATATATATAATTGAAACAAATAACAAAACGTAATGAATAAAATAAATAATAATAAACAATCATTTAAAAAAAATTGCTATTTGTTTGCAAGCCTGTTTTTCCGTTTCTAACATTTCATACGCAATTGTTGGCACGTGTAAATTGCGACTTGAAGTCGTCTTGGCTCATGAAATTTAAACTTCTCAATCTTCATACTTCTAAAGTTCTGCGTACATCCTGAGATAATTACACGTGTTTCTTCCAAATGTCCACGTTATTTCCTTCATGAAATTCTAATCGAAAATTTTGCCAAAATATATTCATTTTTTCAAAAAGCTTGCATCAGAATTTCACAACTTTCTTTCTCTCTTTCTATAGCAAAATATAATTATATGTAATTACAAAAGTGAACTGAAACACAAATTTTCAAATTTTTATAAATTCAGTGAAATATTTTACATTCACTTGAAAAATCATTTAAATAATATAATGTAAATCAAAATACATTCATTTTGCGTAAATATAAAATTATGTCTAATTTTAGATGATTAAATTAATATTTCAAGTAATGAACACAAGAGGCTCAAACATAATCATAACAGAATTATATCAGTGTATTTTTGGGTCAGTGATACCTACATTGCCGATATAATTAATTTTACTTTTGTCACTGAGCGGAGTGATTATCAAATCTACGATAACCTTTTAAAATAACTGGACATCGTGAATTAAGTACAAGCCATTTTAAAGAACCATTATGCAAACCATTATTATTAAATATGATTGCAATATCAAAATGCAAGGAAAAAAAAATTAAAAAGAAAAACGGAAAATCAAATTCTTCCTATTGAAGATTCAATTATTTAAAACAAAATGAAAATTAAAAATATTAGCAAAAACAAAATTGAGATAAAACGGAAAATTTTTAAATAATATACAAAATAGTAAATAAATATATGTGCAATGCAATTTTAAAAAAAAAATTTAATTTATTTATTTAAAGAAAACAGCGAAATTGCGTTTATTGAAAATTAGTTTGAAATTCAAAAAATCTTATCGATATACTACATCAATAATTTTATCATTAATGAATGGCATTAAGTCATTCATAATCTATTTTACTGCATGTTTTTTAATCTTGATCAAAGATGCATTATGCATTTGTAAAAGATAATCACATATAGATGAAAAAGTTTTTTTTTTAATAAATTAAAACATTAGTAAAGCTATTATGTATTAAATGAATCCTACTTAAATTTTAAATAGAAAAAAAAATTGTTTAATAATCGAGATGAGATTTTTTTTTTTTATTAAAATTGAAACACAATTTAAACTAAAAGGAATTACTATAAAAACACTATTCTTCGTGGGTGAAGGACAAGGCAAAGTAGAAAATAGGAAAACGAGAGAAGAAGACTAGAATATCAGATTCCTTTTATGTATATCACAATAATAGATGTTTTTGCTTGTCAAATATTCGACTTGTGTAATTTACAAACTTCTATTTAGTATATAAAAACCATCGAATGAGAAAAAAAAGAGAGATGAAAATTTTGTTAAAAATCAATTTAAATTTCACCATTTATTTCAAATTACATTTTTAATTAATTTTCGAGAATATTACATTCTGTTGTAGTTTTGTTTTAATTTTATTTTTCTTAATTATAATCAAATAATTTTCAAAACTAACCGACTTTTTTTCCATACTATAAAAAAGAAAAAACAAATTAATAAAAAAAAAATTTCTCCAGTTAAGCAGAAAAATTTGTAAAAAAAAGAAAGTAATAGAAATAAAAGTCGTGATGAAAATTTTTGTTACAGATTGCAGCCAGGTGAATCACCTTAAAAAAAAAAAAGGTTGACTGACTGACAAAGACTATTATTAAAAATAATAATTTTCATTTGCTCATTTAAATTGAAATAATGAGTAGGAATCTTATTATTTCTTGTCCGCGCATCAGTTTGATTTAAAAATAGAAAAACATATCTTTCCTTTGAGAGAAGCAGCGGAGGTAGCGAGCCGAGTATTCGCGTATATTATGACACGGAGACGAAACCCGAGAGCTAGTAAAGTACAGAACGCCGTTGTGCATTTATATTTACACACCGGTTCGCTTATAATAGCAAACTGGCCTTACATTTATGTGAAAAGCATTTCTACACCTTGTCTTAGGTCAAGCTTATTCATAAAACAATTATTCTCTAAAGTACTTCCACAGGGAAAAAAAAATCTATCCTATGATAAAAAAAAGAAGATTCTCAATCCCCTAAGTCAAATTTGAATATAACTTTAGAATTAAAAATCAAAGAAAAAATTAGCAAATTTAAAAACGAAAAAAAAATAGATTTTCAATTTTTTGTGGAGACCTTTTCTTTTAAATTAAATAGAAAATTAATAAATAAAGATAAGAAATTATAGAATTTTTCAATTTTGAAAAAATATTTTAACCAAATTGACAATTTGAATTATAGCGAAATATTCTCAAAAATGTTATAGTTGAATGAAATATTTTAATTGATTTATATTTAGATATTTTTTTTTCCATTGTAATTTAACCACTCACTTAAAAAGAAATGGTAGATAAGCTTCTACTCAGTAAAATTATGTATATGTATATTAATACGACAGATGTGTAAGAGAAAGAGAGAAAGAGGGGGTTGTTAATTTTGAGCTCCAGGAAGACTGTATCAAGTGATTCAAGTTTCTTTATATGAATGTCAACCATTATTTAATATCCGATTATTTTGCATATACTAGATATTGTATCCTTTTGATAACAAGAAAACTGTATACGAACTTAAAAAAAAAAATGTAAAAACGTTAAACTTTTTTTTTTCATAAATTGAAGAAATATTTACAACTGAAAGTAAATAAGAGAAAAATTTGAAAATTTCTCTCAAGGCATTTCAAGGTCTTGGAAAAAATTTTTAAAAATTCTAAAACATAAAAAATAACTATCGTATAGGATACACTGGACATTTGGCAAGCAGCCTTTCAGCTTCTCCCTCATCAGACAGACAAGAATAAACCTCTGGAGATACCAACAACGTACGTGACTTATTTTCTCGTGTGAGGAAGGTACTTCTTTACCAGCACCTTATAAAGCAATCTTCAACATTCTTTAATCGTCTTTAAAACCCCAATTCTATTTCTATATTTCAGAACGGAATTCAAGCTGACAAACATCTGCTTAAAAAAAAGATCCACAAAATAAATTACATAATGCTTCATTTAAATTACTTTCACTCGATTTTATCTCTATGTATTAATTGTTTGAATCATTTTTTATCCTTACGAGAAAAAAAAATTCTAATTTTTTTGCTTTTAATCCCAAAAATTAAAAAAAAAATCAAAAAAATTATATTAATTTTTATTTTCAATTTTTTGTTTTCTATGAATGCACTATTTTCTAATTGAAAATAAAAGTTTACTTTGACAGCAAAAATCGTGAATAAAGTAAAAAATAAAAATTCAGATTTACCGCTCGCGAAATTAAAAAAAAAAACGCCAATTTATTTAAAATAAAAAATTTAAGTTACAAATCTTTTTAAAAAGGGGTAACATTTTTTAAATAGTAAAATAAATAACTATCGTCGTCAAAAAAACATAGTCACCAAATTCTCAATAAAAGATTCTTGATTTCAAATCAACAATAACGACACTGTATACGTCATTATGCAATTAGTATCAATCAAAAACTAAATAGAAATCAAAAAGAAATAAATGAATATGTATTACACCTATTTATCTTTTATTGTATAAAATGACGTTATCTTTTTAATATATATATTTTTTCTATTCGACTCAATGAAAAAAACATGCGATTAATAATATTATAAAACGATTGCAAAAAAATTAGAATATCAAAAAAAAAAAAAAAGAAAAAAAATCATGATGGACAGTTAAAAAACAAGTGAATCTCCCTGTGATTGAAGGTCATGAGGTCTTGAGACCGGTTAAAGTTTGTTTGATGAATGAAACTCGTCAATTTTAGAATGATAAAATGGACGAAACATTTCAATTAAAAAGAATAGACAATTTTTTTTTAGTTAAAACTTACCACCCATGGCTGATTTGGAAAACTTGATTTAAATTTCTCTAAGATATCTTATATGAATGGAACGCACACACCCACCAACTCGACAATCCCGAACAGACTAATGCGGATTGCAGACTTAGTGCAGACGAATAACGTCTACTTTAACATGTACAGGAAGTGATATTACTTCTCATTTTATTCCCCACTTCGTTACAATTTTAGCTTTGCTCTGAACCATTTCGAAATACGTGTGACCAATGGAGATAATAAAATTTCTGTTTAAATTTTTGAAAACAATTATTAAAGAAATATTTTAAATAAATTAATTACATAAAAATAAAGAAAAATTGCAAATTAAATATGAATATAATTATAAATATTAACAATTAAAATAAAAAAAAATTCTACTAAATAATTATTACTTACAATATTATAAACATTCTCTCTGAAAAATGTAGTTAATGCTTCTTTTTTTTTTTTACAAAATATTTAAATATATATAATTCTTGTTAAATTGATTTTATAATCGGCATGTCCAGTGCGTTTAAACCTAACCTATAAAAATAAATATGAATACAAACTCACAGTATAAAAAAAATAATTCTAAAAAGACAAATTAAACCAAACAGATATAAAAAATTGATCTATATACAGTTTAAATTAGATTTAAAAAAACGAATAAAAAGTCTAATTTGAATTTTTTAAACTAACCTCAGTAGATAGTATAAGTGTTGTTGAAAAAAAAATTACCATTTACACATTATTAATAAGGAAATCATTCCCACATAACATAAGTATAATATTCTTAGATTGTAAATAAAATTTTCAACATTAAAAACAAATTTTTTTCTAACAAAAACAATGATTGTTGACATTGTTGACATTCCCTCCATTTTTGACATGCGTAATAACGCTACTGAACCGACTGAACGTTACTTTCGTAGTGGGTAATTATTTGGTACTGTATTCAGAGTGGTAAAAAAAGTGTATACAGAAAAAATTTTTTTCCAGTGTGTTTTTTCATGTCAGCAAGAAAATTTCATTGTTATTTTTGTTTGTTTCTAAAAATTATTACAAATAGTAGTATATCAACAAGAAAAAAGAAGAATATTTATAAACTAAATAAAAATTGAGCCATGAAATTATGAATAATTCACAAGATTCAGAAAGAATGTCAACATATTAATAGAAACATCATTGAAAATTGCATCTAACTTTCCATTAAGTATATATATATACCCTATACAATATATAACATAATTTATATAAAATTAACTTTAACACATTTTTTTGTATTATATAATGTTAAATAACTATCTGCAAAATAATAATTTATATATACTTAATATATATAATATTAAGACCATATGGCTTTAATTTATTGTAATGGTATAATTGTATCAATTGTACACAATTAAAAAAAGTATATGATTTTTAAAAGTGTAATTCACAATAATGTAAATTGTTCAAATACTATGTATTTTTTTCATAAAGTATAATTTAATTTAAATTAAACAAATTTTAATAAATCATAACCTATATGTATACATAATAAATATAAATATACAAAAATAAAATAATATAGAATAAATTTATTATTTCTTTTTTTTTTCTAGAAATGCCACGAAAATATGTGAGAAAAACTAATCGAGCTTTTGCTGATCCAATGGTTATGTTAAAATGTGCCAAATTGATTAAAAAAGATCGTAAAACAGCGAGAAGTGTTGCAAAAGAACATGGTTTAAATTATCGATCACTTTTAAGATTTTGTTCAAGACCTAATATCAATGAATTAATAAATGGAGTGGGTACAGATGGCTATATTTGTGGTTATAAAAAAAAATCTCAAATTTTTACTGATGGAGAAGAAAAAATAATGATAGATTCCTTAGTGAAATCATATAATGCTCCTTGTGATTTATCACAAAAAAAAATTAGACAATTTGCCTATGAATTTGCTATAACAAAATCAAAAAAAATTCCCCCCAGTTGGGAGAATAATAAACAAGCGGGACCAGATTGGTTTCTTTATTTTATAAAACGACATTCGGATTTTGCGTCGCAAAGAAATTTTTTATTATGTCGAGACGGTGCAATTAAGAATGATAATTCAGTGAAAAATTGTTTTGAAATTGAGGTAAGAATTTTTTAATAATTTATATAATTTACAAATATAAATTTTTTTTTAAATATTCTCGTTTCAAAATTTTTATTTCATCTGTTAAACTATTTTGAATGTTTTAAAATTTTTGAAAAAAGAGATTCGAATTTAAAAATAAATTAAATTTTTATTTTCTTTTATAGTATATGGATTTACCATTCCCTATAATTGATCCATTGGAAGATACATTTGATGAGTCCGAAGATGTAAAAAGTGAGAAAACCGATTTGAAGGATGAGGAATTTTTAACTAATGATGATGAAAAATCAGATTTTTCTTCACAATCGTTGATTGTTGTTAAAACAGAATTGGATGATTCTTTTCTATCAGATGGATTAGAGTCCTCGCAAAGTTCAAATTCAAATTCAAATGATAAATCAATTGCATATTTACCTTTTAAAGTGTCAACAATCATTTCAGAAAGTAAGTATATTATAAAATATTCAATGTTTTTAAAATTGAAATGAATTTCATTTTCAACTTTAATTAATTTTTATAATTATTATATTCGATTATGAATCAAATTTGAATAATTTTACAAAGAAAACTAAAAAATGAACTCTTTTCAGGTGATTTGAATGTAAAAGAAGAATCTACAATAAATAATTTACATTCTGTAAAATTACCTACTTCCTGGAGTATTACCGAATTACCTGTCAATGAAGTTTATCGATTTTGTTTATCATTTATTGCAATAACTACCAAGGATAATATTATTTGTCCAGTTATAGAAAAATGCCTATTAATTGATATAAAAAGACAATTATTGTTTAAAGCTCGTAATGTAACTTTAGATAATAAGAAATTAAAATTACCAAGAATTTTAGATGATTTGAAAAAATTACCAACAATTTTATTGAATTTTCAACATCTTCATACGTGTAAAGGGTTGAATAATATGGAATCGTTTCTTCTTCAAGAGTTACCTGTAATGAAAGATTGTTTACAAACATGGCGACATACGCAATGTTCGATGTTATTGTTGAAAAATGAACGATGTGAATATTGTAGTCAATTATTCCAAACAATACAGCAAAAATTAGCAAAAGTAATAGATCCAAAATTTTTCAGTTGAAAAATATTTTGTAAATTATCTACATTTAATATAATATTAATTTATAAGATTTAGAATATATATTTAATATATAAGAGAAAAAAAATTACATTGTAAAAGTATTGTATATTATTATATACAAATATAATATAAATAATTTAGTCAATTGTGATATTAAATGTTTAAATAAATCATTTGTTTCAATTACTTTATTATTCGCTCATTTTTAACTACATCATTAAATATATATATATATATATATATATATATAAAAGTTTTTGACAAAAAAAATTGACCACAAGCCCTTAGAATTTTTTAAAATTATTTTTATTTAACCTACACTATTTAAACTACTTTGGTACTCAATAAAAAAAGGATAACAAAATTTTTTTCCCAAACTTTACAATTTTTAATATTTTATTATAAATCCTTTTTTCTTTCTATTACAACATTTTTCAATCAATTGAAAAAAATTGTAATATTTCAAAGACTTTATTTATTAAATTGAAACAAAAAAAAAAAAAATTTTTAATTACAATTTTTTTACATTTACTTTTAATTTTATATTATATTTGCGCTTATTTATACATTAATTTTATTTTCAATAAATTTTTTAATTTCCAAAAGTTTTGAAATTTAATTTTTTTTATAAAAAAAAAAATTTTGATTTAAATGAAAATAACTTGAGCAAAATTTTTTTTTTCTAATTTCACTGTGAAATAATTTTAAATTTCAACTTTTAAGATTTATATAAAAATTAAAAACTAAACATAAATTTTTTTAAAAAAATGTTAATTCGTGTAAAGAATAAAATGATTGTAAAAAAATTGCTACATTTTTGTTAATTTAAAGAAAGCGTAGACATATAATTTATATAGATTATTTAAAACTAAATTTTTTGTGATAAATACGTTGCGGCAGTTCTCAATGTGACATTCAATAGTAATATACAGTGTAATATTTGGAAATTAAATAGTTATCAATGATAATTTTCTGTTACCCTTTTTTTTATACAATAGCAGTACATACACATATTAATGGTTTAACTTTACTTTCTGTAGATAAATATGAAGAATCTAGTATAATTGTACTAAATTTCTCAATTATTTATTTGCATATGAAAAAACCACACGTATATTCCACTCTTTTTTAAAAATATAAATTCGTATTGGCAATAAAGATAAAATTATGCATATACCGAGAGAAATTATGAATTTTTTCGTTGGACAGAATGATAATTTCTCTGGATTCTATGAAACAAAATTAGAATACCTCATCACCAAGTATTAAAGATTCGAATAATATGTATTATTTTTTTTTGTTTTAAAAAAAGAGCATGTGTATTTGTGTCCAGCACACATACATCATCAATGGGAAAGCAAGATATTATTTTTGATACTGTTAAATGCATCACAAACCTTTTTTTTTTAAAAAAAAAACGACATCTCATTGTAAAATGAAGTTTTCTGTAGATGCAAAAATTTGTCCTAAATTATTTCATATTGTTGACCAATCAACCACTTAAATTCATTGCAAAGAAATTTTCATCGTGGGTCTCAAGGATATTAAATTAATTTTTTTTTTTTTCTTCTTCGTCGACGATATTTTTTCGTCAATTTAAAATAAAATTTTTAAATATTATTGTTGTATTTAGAATCACAGTTGTTTCGTACCCTCAGCTTTTTTTGATGTAGGAGGAACATTTGGACCAATTGGCTTCTTTTGAACTTTCTTCTCATTTTCCTTGTTTGTTGAATTAACATCATCATTTAATTCTTCTTTACCTAATTTCTTTTCAACTGTGACAGGCGTAGCGGGAACTGTTGATTTCGAAGTGCTTTTAATACTTTCTTCCGATGTTGCTTCTTTACCTTCTTTCTTTAATGCTTTCTCAATTTGATCCTCAACTTCCAATACTTCTTCCTTTTCCATTAAATCGATCAATTCATTGACTTGATGCTTACTTAATTTGATGTCTTCTTGACCGATCAATTCCACAACCTATATCAATAAAATTTCAAAATAGAGAAATAATATATATAAAAAAAAAATTGTAAATTAAATATACGATACCTTTAAGACATCTTCGATTTTAATTGCACCGTCCCTGTCATCATCAATTTTACCCAAAATTTCAGCTATTCTCTTCAATCGATGTTCATCGGGTACATTTTGAATTTGTTTAATGGCAGCAATAAGTTCGTCAATTTTCACCAATTCTTCAGCTGCTTTCGAATGAGATTTATCCTCTGGCGCGAGTGTTTCAACTTTTTCTTTCACTTTCTTTTCATTCTCTTCGAGTTCTGTGAGAACAGCATCCATTTTGCTAATCATTTTATTCACTTTATTGAAAAGTCGTTTAGCACCTTTAGACACTTTGATGTCTTCAATTTCCGCTTGTCCCTTGGACTCGGCCTTCATTTTGTAAAGTTCCTGAATATCCTCTTGATATTCAGCCATTTCTTCTTTAAGCTCCTTGAGCTCTTCTTTCTCCACAATCATCTTTTTATCTTGCTACAAAATTAAAAGAAACATTATTATTATTTATTTCATTAATTAGTTAATAAAAAATTTCAGAAAATACCTTTCCAATTGAATCGAGTGCCTGTTCAATAACATTGATATCAGTTTTTGTGATTTCATCAGTTTTAATGTTCGATCCAAGAACAGTGTGTTGTGGTACACTTTCCTTTTCTTCTTTCTCCTTTTGCTCCTGTCTTTCTTCTTCAATTCGTTTTTCTTCAATTTTAATGATTTCTATATTAGTTTGATGATCGAGTTTACCCTCTTTTTCGCCAATTGCGCCTTTAGTACGTGCCACCACATCATCGGGAAGTGCAGAAATAGTTGCTTTCAATTTATCGGACATTGGCGTTGCTTCAGGAACCATAAGAGCACGCGAAAGTAACAACAATGAAGGTGGCACTTTTTTCACTAAACTCAAATCAAGCCATTGTGACATTTGCTCTCGTAATTTATTTTCTGGCATTCCATAGGCACGCATACCACGAGCACGACAAGCTTGTTGCAATTCAGCTCTCGTTAAACTTGCCACTCCTTCTTTCTCAATTAACTGAAAATTTTCAATTTCACACAATAATTTAGTAATTATAGTTTTTTTTTTTTTTTGATTTTGTAATTTTTAAAATTTATTAAAAATGTTTCTGTAAGAGAAATTAATTTTAAATAAACTCACTCTGTCATCGGCGGAGAGACTTCTTAATCGCATTCTAAGGAGAAATCTTAAAAAGTTCGTTGTGCCAAGTGTTTGTACGTCTAACACTCGACAAAGGGCAATTAATTGCTGTCGAGAAAGTGAATCTAAAGTAATTTCATCTTCGAATACTTTGCTGAATTTAATGATTTCTTCATTTGAGGCAACAGATCCAGTGGATCGAACCTTATAAAAGAAATCAGAAAATTCTTTTGCTTTCTCGGAATAATGATCTGAAGATTGTACAGACATTTCATCGAGAGTTTTTTGTAAAAACTTGGCCATTTCTATTTTTACCTATAACAGAGTATACTAACCATTAATAATATCTAATTATTAATTTATAACTAAATTAATAGTACAACAACTAATTAACTAATAATAATAACAAATATAAAATCTCGGGTCGATTTTAAGACGCAAAAAATGTTGTTTTTAATTGCATTACAAAATAAATATTATTAATTAATTATTAAATATTATTTAATCAGTAATTAATTTCAACAAAGATTTTACGTACTTTCAATGCTTTCTTCAGTTTATCTTCTTTCTCGGAAGCAGTTTGAAAAGTAGATGGCAATAAATCGGGGAATAATTTTATAGCTATTGGTAAGAGAATTTCCAAAAATGGTACAATAATAAAAACTGAGAACGGTATCAACCTAAACACATCTCCAGTTGTTTTCACGAGCTGAAAAAAAAGTATTTTTATTTTAAATAATATATATATATTTTTTTTTTTTAATTAATTTTATTTATAATAAAAATAAACAATATACCAGTCTATGTTCTCGTCGACTTAATTCCTTTCCGTTTAATACTCTCCAAATTAATTTTGCCGATACTTTCATGTCTAAAAATAATAATCGAAATCCATGATAGTAGTGTAGTAATCCTGCCTTTCCCTTTATATATAGTTTCCTTAAAATTGGTGTTTGATCAACACTTTTTTCTGCTGATTGAACTACATCTTTGGATGAGGCAGCGGAAATTAATTTCTCTTTTTCCATTTCCTCTTTTTTCTCTTTGATATTTTTGACAGTTTCTTCCACCTTCGAAGATGGTTCTTGTCCTCTCCATGTTATTGAAGTGTGAAAATTTCTTATTGGATGGTATTTTACATTTGTCAATGTTCCTAAGAAAATTTGAGACGTTGGCGTTGAAATGACTCGTATATCCTTATTTTCTGTGTGAAACAAATCAAAAGTACCAAGCATTCGATTTTCACTGAACCAAGCTCTCTGACAGCAGCATCCTAAATAGAATTATTCAATAATAATTAATATTGAAAATAAACTTTTAATTAAACATTTTTTTTTATTTTCACATTTCTAAAATTACTTATGCGATCATAAAGTGTTAAAATCAATTTTGTTTTGAATTTAAAAGTAGGAAAAATTTTAAGTCGTAATAATGTAAATGTTAAAACCTAACCTTCACCTCTCTATGAAGTTAGACATTGTTTATAATATAATGATAGATGAAAATTCAGTTTTTTGTTATTAGTTGATAAAAATTTAGCATCAATGATTATGTATAATTATTATTTAATGTCAGAAATATTTTTATTGTTATATAAACACATTGACTAGTAGAATTGAGAACACATGTATGTATAGATAAGAAATAAGTTATTATATACAGGAAGGGTGATGAAAGATAGATATTAGTATAGTAATTAGTTTAACAAAAAAAAAATACGTACGTCTCATAGCACCCAAATGTGGGGCTATTAATGGCTTCGTATATACTAAAAGATTCATTATAGATTATTCTCCTTGTAGTTTTCCAAAAATATTCTCTTAATATATATTATAATCGGACATCACACCACACAGTTTTAAGCATTTTCCATTCTACAATCTGAATATGGCCAAGGAACGAATAAATTTATAAGATAAGCACCTCTTATATTGAAAAATAAATTGTGGTTTTTAAAAAATAAGGCGCGTTTTTATATTTGTATACATTTTATCCACCAATAGAAAAACGTACTGTAGTATTCTGTGCATTTTGAATGGTTGAAGAGAATCCGAGGCAACCTGTGGATTAACATTACTCTCTTAAGTCAGAGTTTATATTCATAAAGAATTCATTTTCTTAAAAAAAATAACATTTAAGTATTTAACAAAGAATTTTAATTATTAAAAAGTGTTTAAGTTGTTTAAAATATAAAATTTAAATTAATGTTACATTTCATTTTTCTTCTTTTAAATTTCTGCTTGTATAAAGTGGATTTATATTTCTTTTTATTGATGTAAAAATTGATAAACAAAATATTTTCGAAAACTCAGGCTGAATTGTAATCAAAATAAATTGTTAATTGTCTTTTACATTTGATGGAGACAAAAAAAAAAAAGAAAAATATTTGAATGAAAGGTTAAAAGAACGAGATACGTCATTGCCTGGAATAAAAACAAATTATTTCAATAATAAACTATATAGTGAAATTTAATTTGAACAATTTGTTAAATTTACCACTGAATTCCCTCGGAAAATTACATATATTTGTCAATTACCCAATCGGAGATCATCTTCTATCTGATCTAGACAAGCGGCAAAGTCTTCTTATCTGACAGCTTATCTTTTTGGAACTGCTGCTGGGAAAGGGGTAAAGATAAACAGAGTCATGTTTTATGTTGTTTTTTCGTTGAAAATTTCATGAGAAGTAATAAATTTGTGAGATGCAATGAATGTTGATTGTACTGTGAGAATAGTGCGTTTATGCTGTTATCAATTTTTTTTACACAATCAAGAGATTATAAAAACAAATTTTTAGAATATACATAATGGACAATTATTCCCAGCAGAGATACGATACTAAAATTGAGAGTTTTGATTCTTGTATGATTGAAACAAATCAACAACAAGAAATAGCCCAAACAGTAAATACTACCTCTCAACAGGGACAAATTGAAAATGAAGAAAATCATGAAGCTGGAACATTACCTCCTCAACAATCACAACATATACAAAATCAATCTCCATTGGTACAAAATGCTCAACAACACATGACACTTACCCCGGTTCGACTTCCTGCAATATTAGATGGTGAATTCTTCTCTGTTATTAGATTGGAAGACACTAATGTTACAGTTCGATGTTTACAATGTCAAAAACTCTTAAATGGAAACCTCAAGTCGACTGGCAATTTTCTTAGTCACATAAAAGTAAGTAAATTCATGTTAAAATGTAAATTTTCAATTGTTTTTTAAAACTTTATACTATTAATTATTATAGTCACAAATTAGTTATATTTAATTTCTCTTAATAATATTAAAATTTTCATTAAACGTTTAATGAGCTCGTTATTTACATTTGAGAATCCATTGTATTATCTTAATATCTTTTTATAGATTTTCAAACGTTATCTAGTATATTGAAAGGAATGCTTTAATCTCTAAGTAATATAAATACAATTATGTTCAAAAAGTGTGTATTGTTTCGAAATTGTGATTACTTTTTTCATTGTTTACAAATTAATGAGTTTTATATTTTACTCTCAACTTTGAATTTAGTGTTTTTAAATAAAAAAATTTTGTTTCCTATTTCAGAGAGTTCATCCATTTATGGTTGATAAAATCAAATGTAAATCGAATCAAAGAAGACCAGCGGTAATATATATTGATTTATCAGCAGAACGATGTCCAGAGATTGTCAGGGCGAAACGAGGATATCGAAAATACTATAAAATGGTATATTATAAATTTTCAATTAAATATATTTAAAAAATTAAAATATGAAAGTATTTAAATTTTTGTACTAAAAAAAGGGAAAAATAATAATTTTATATAAATATAAACATGATTTGTAAATATTAATAATGAAAAAAAAAAAAAAAAAAAATTTTAATTGCAGGAAGATTGTCAGCAAGTGAATGAAGAGACACCGAATTTTGAACAAACTCCTGAATGGACGGAACCGTCAATTGTTCGTAGACGAAAATCCGAGGAACCTGAGTCCAGTGAAGTAATGAAAGTTTCTCACAATAATTCACTTATGATTGAAGATGAATTTGATGCAATCGGTAGGAATGTGGCAGCAAAATTGCGAAATATGCGACTCGACCAAAGAATAATTGCCGAAAAACTTTTAAATGATATTTTATTTGAAGCGCAACTTGGTAATTTGCATCGAGATTCAAATATACACGTTTGAGAAGAAATTTATTGTCTTTGGCGATAATGTACAGAAAAAAAAGAATCTATATATAATCATTATTATTCTGAAGAGTGAAATTGAAGACAAACTGAAATGAAAACACAGGAACTTAAAAGAAAAAGTTAAGTTACTGAAAGTAACGGCAATAAAACAGAAAAATTTGCATTTATTTAGTTATACATTCTCACGTAAATTTCATAATGTTATGAATTACTTATTAAAAAATTGAGTTTATTTAAGGAAGAAAAATTATTAACTGCAATTCAGTACTATATAGAGTAGTAAAAAGTTAATAAGTCCATTGCTCAAAATAATTGCGACTTTTTTATCCATTTTTTTTGTTTTTTTTTTTATTACAATAAATAGTGCTTGTAATTTTGAGAGAAGTGTGTTTGGTGAATATAATTTTGAGGTAAGGTTTAATAAGAAGTTTCAAGTTTTACATATTATAACTCTTGTCTTTATACGAAATTTATTTACAACGAACTTTGAAAGTTCAATGACATTTCTTTATAAACAATTATTTTCTATTGTTATGAAAAATTTTTTTTGTATTAAAACATTATATGAATTATTAAATTTTATTCTATGAAGAATTTCTATTGTAAAAAAAAAAATGTCGCCAATATGGAATAGGCACCAAAATTTTTATATAGAAGCTTAAATGTATTTAAAATACATTTCTAGTATTTGGTGTTTTTTTTAAATATTTTCTAGAAAAAAAAAACTATTATTGACAAAATTCTTGAAAAAACTCGATTCATTAATGAAAAAAATTAATTTTTGAAATGTTTATAAACTACGTGAGCTTCTTAATATGACTTCCAATGTTGCTTAAACATCTAATCAAAAACTTTTTTTTCAGTACATATAAAGTCATTGATTTCAAATATGAAACACACATTGAAAAATTGCGGTAATTACGTAGATAAATTAATAAGTTCGTATAATACGATATTCAATATTGTAAAGAGCATAAAGGTCTTTTAACTTGTAAATATTACTTACCCGATTATTCTAACGATTAATGACTGTAAACACTTTTACACTATAAGTACAAGATACGAAAGACGATTTCGAAAAGTATGTGATGTATAAATACGTATTTTTAAAAGAAAAAAAAAAAATGATAACACGCTATGAGATACAAGTTCAAATGGAGTCATTGTTAATAGTATAATAAGTTATCGGAAATTGCCATTTGTAAAGGTAGTTCATTTTCTATTGTATATTATAGAATAAAGAATAGATTTTACTATAAACAGATAATGATTAATAAATAAGCGAGTAATGTGTTTGACACCTGTTTAAAGACTAAATGACAGAAAACTTATATTAATTATTATTCAGACTTGTTGAAATTCCTAAATAAAAAATTTAGGATTTATTTTCAATTTCACATGATCGAAATTTATGAGTTTTCTTTTTCAAATTAACAATATTTTGCTTATTTCAATTTTAATTAAATTTTAAATTACAATTTTTTAAATTAAAAAAAAATATATTTTATTTCACAACGAACAATTTCGTTAATTTTTTTTTTTTTTGCTTTTTTCTTTCTAATTTGTTATTTTCACCAATAGATTTGATTTAAATATTTATATAGATATTTATAAAGAAAAACAAAATTTTAACCTTTGATTTTTTTTGGCTGTTTTGCATCGTTAATTCAGCCTCAATATTGCGAGTTAAATACATAATAAACACTTATTCCATTCAGTCGATTAGTGTCCTTACGCGGACAGTATAAAAAATTACACACAAACCACGAAGCGCATGAATATTCAAGAATTCATTATATAAAATTTTCAGTGACTCAAAATTTATAAAGACGAATTTCTGTTTATCCGTTTTTTTTTTAATAAGGTAGAATTTTCATTAGATTGAATTCTTTTTAAACGAATGTTTCTATTCCGATTTTTCCTTATTCTATTATAAAGAGAAAAATGTCTATTTTGCTAAATAGAAATTTTCACTAAATAAAAATTCAATGAAAATAGAAATGTTCGTTAAATACAAATTCGACATAAATTTTGATTAAATAGAAATTTGACTATGAATTTTTTGAAAATATTCATGACTCATAAAATATACACGGAAAAAAATATTCTGAAATTAAAAATATATACTTGACAACCATGTAACCATTTTTTTTCAATATTTTAAGAATATAAATGGTATTGAAACATTAAAAAAAGGTGCCAAGTATATATTCTAAATTTTAGAATATATTTTTGTTCGATGTACATTTTTCTTCCTCTTTTTTTTTTTTTTTTTTTTGTTAATTTAACTAGCGTACACTCTTCGTTTTCCGGGTTTAAATAACGTGTAATAAATGGCCGACGACGAAATACAAAGACCCATACTAATAAATGTTATACCAAACGCGTACGTATACCAAAATCCTGTCCATTCACCATAATAGAACCAAATAATTGTCAAGGCAATATTTTGTAACATGACAAATGTGCAATACGAAGCTATCCATTTGTCAGCGTATTTAAATTTAATTCTATATTCAATCATACTGAAAATATAAACTAATCCCAGCCACAAATTAACGAAAATAGTCGTGGCATCTTGATATTTTGCATAATAAAATAAATAAGTAAGCATTAATGCATAGTGAACAGTCAAAATGCCCAATAAATAGAATGGAAATGATTCGAAAAATATTGCTATAGAAATGACGCGTGGCAATATAAAGAGAAACCACCAGAGAAAGGAGACAAATTTTCCAATAGCATCATCCTCATCAAGTCCTTTGGTCGATTGTATTCGTTTTGGTATAATTAATGTTGAAAGTCGCTCGGATGGTTTTTCATTTAATTCTTGTGGTGATCTTGTTGTCATTGACGATTCATTATTAATAATTGAATCTGGTCTTGGTGGTGCTGGCATATCGGGCACTGGAATTGGCGTGAACGATGTAATTCTTCGTAATGGTGTTGGAGGTGGAATTAAGGGAGCGTTTTTTGGCGGAAGCGGTGGGGTCGTTGAAATCTGTCGTTCCAACACGACACGCGATTCTGAACGTCTACTATTTGAATTCTCATCGTTTGATTGCTGTGAATTGTCAGCGAGAGAAGGATTTGATTCTTTGGTTAAAGAAGGCGATGCTGCATGTAATGGAGCTTTTTCCTCAAAACTATTTAATTCCTAAAAAACAAATTTTAAAAATATGTAATAAATATTAATGATATAGTACTTTTAATTTTATTTTAAATACCTAGTCAAAAATATAAAAAAAAAAAAAAAAAAAAAAAACATTTTTATCATGAAATTACGCACTTGTATTCTATATTTTTTCAACCACAATGCCCAAGGTAATTTTCTGCCGTTTACACGTTGACTCTCGTACCTCTGGAATGACATTGTTTTCATAGCCATTATTCCAATGGAGACGATGATACAAAGAATCTGAACTGCCTCTGTAAATGTAAGAGCTTCATTTTAGTTAGTAAAAACTCATAACGATTTCAAAACCATAAATACTTTTTCATTTTCGTAGTTTTTTAATTTGAAAAAATGGTAGAAATTTAAAAAATGATTGGAATCATTTGAAATATTTAGAAAATTATAATATAATTTAAAATTGTTTGGAGAATTTTTATTTTTTTGAAATAAATTAAGTTATTTATAGATGAGAGCAAATAGGTACCAGATTGCTGAGATCTTTCAACTGTTCTTTCTCTGAAGAGTAAATGTGTTTGAAGAACTGCTTGCGGTGCAGCTTGGAACCAGGCTTGAAGAAAAAAATACAGTTCCATGGCAGCTGGTGCAGCTGCCAAATTTAAAGTTTTTTTTCTTTCAATTCCAGAAAGCATGATGGCATCGACGATTAAAACTATTAGTCCGGCATATCTAGAAAGAATACGATAAATAAGTAGAATTACATTAAAATTTTTTTTTATTAATATAAATATATTAAATAAATTTAAATTTATTTTCTAAATAAATAATATATATTAAATTAATTATATTTACTAATAGAATATATTAATAAATAATTTTCAAGAAACCGGTAATAATTTCTAGATCTCCATCATGAGGAGGATATTTAAAACCTATACTCAATAAAGTAGAAAAAATTAAATAAATTTTCACATCAATTTAGTTGTTAATGTAAGTGACTCACTGAGAAAGACGTGTGTCAATTGAAATTATAAGTGAAACTGATAACAATGAGTAAAAGATAACGAGAGATCGATTAAAGTAGGAAGAACTAACAAGTTTTTTTAAACAGGAAAACAAATTTTTGAAAATTTTAATAATTGTAAATCCTAATTATTATTAATTACTTTTTATTTAAATATAAATGCAACTATTTTTAGGAATTGAAGTCATTAAGAATTTTCCATCATTATTATAATATCAATAAATATAGCAAATTTTAATGATTTTTAATTATTTTAATTATTATTGGGAATTCACAGCATTATTAACGTTAATTTATTATTAATAATAATGATTTCAATAATATTCATAAAATTCCAAACAATTATCCTCTTTAAAAGAGAAAAGTTTTTATTCTTAATTGGAGTTATGAATCAAAAGCTGATAACGTTAAATTTATTCACTTAAGCTTAAGGACGTTTTTGTAACCATTTTTATTGAATAATTCTTGAGAGGCTTCTGAGAAGAAGGTAAAAGCATTTAATACAATGGTCAAGGTTCCTATTTTGTAATTAAAATAAGACAAAAAAAAAATATTTTTTAATTTTTAAAAAAATTGTGTAACGAATCTTACATAAATTTGCATAATAAAGAATTATAAACAAATTATTGTATAAAAATTTATCGAGATAATAAATTTTTTTAATTTATCGTAGAAAAAAAAATTAATATCACAATAAATTAAGAAAAATTCATTTGTAAAAGAAATATAATATTTTTACCTATATAGTGCGAAGAGTGGGAAAGCAATTAAATGGCACAGTTGAAGTGCAAACCATGAAAGAGCACCTTTCGTTACTTTATCATCATCGGTCATCCACCAGTCGGGTCTTGATACCGTCAATATAAAATAAACGAGTGCAGGTAAATATATAATTGCAAGTGTACAACATCCCCAAATTGGATTGTCTTCGCGAAAATGTTGTATAGCCACCACTAAATCAGCGGAAAAATTCAACACATAAAGAATGCAACTCAACAATGTTGGAATTAAAAAAGTTAAATAAATCTGCTCCGTTGATTTGAGTGGAATCTTGAGACAATGTGTTGGCTTCTCTCGGCATACTGAATGATTTGATTCTGTTTCTTCAGTCATCTTTTCAAAATTTATGACTTTCTTTTCCCTCCTCAATATAATAAGAATATCAAAATATATTTTATTCTTTCTAATAACAGTAATACAAGATCATCTTTCTTCTTTCATGTCTTTCCAATTCTTGCATTCTGATCACTTTTTTTTTTTCCAAAACAAATTGAAATGTCTCTTGATTTTAATGTTCAAATATTAATCACTTGATCTTATCATACGTGTCTTTTTTCTAAATAACTTCCTTGTGAAAAATTGATTTTTAATTAGTTTGATATATCTTTGTTTATATGTAAAAATTAAAAAATGAACAACTTGCACAATTATTTATTGTTTTTATTTTCTTTGCATTTTGGAGCTGTCAAAATTTTCTTATAAATCTTTATGAGAAAATAAATAGAATTTACTTTTGAATAACTACTTTAAATTTTTCAAATTTTATTTTTAAAATAATCAAAATAAATTCAAAATTTTCAAAAAAATAAATACAAAAAGAAATTATTTAACAAAGCATTAGTCACTGCGGGTTGGGTAACAAACTATCGACTCGTGAAACTTTTTCTTTTTAGAATTAACACAATTATCTTAATATATCTAATCTACATAATAAATATTGTGCAAGAGGTAACGCTTCATATGTCAAAAAATTGAAAGAATAAAATACATATTTATCAGATTTAGACTTTATGATTGCTAGAGATAACACACGTACCGTACATGAAAATCATAATAAAATATAAAGCACTCGTTCGTTCAAACATGAAACATACACTGACTTGCTGAATGCTGACTGTTCGGTCAGTTTCTTTCTGATATTCTCTTTTCTCTCTTCTAGAAGTGTAACAATTAGAAGATAATACAAAAAAGAAAAGAATGTAATGAGAGTGTGTGTGTGTGTGAGAGAGAGAGAGGGGATGAAAGTGAACGGAGAAGTGTGTTCGTGTCACAGATATTCACTGACCAACTATATACCAGTATAATCAAAAAGATAACCTATCTTTCTGCCTCTGCGATCTTCAATATTTTATAATGTGTTTCACTACAAACTTCACTTAATGCTTCATAAATCACAAAATATTATTAAAAATTAAAATAAATTAACATAGAAACAATTTCTTTTTGAATTAATTAATAAACTATTTTTTTACGACTCATAATCATTGCGGCGCCAAATTCAAATAAAATAAGATAGTAGACATCTTGAAAATTCCATTCAACACTGAATTTAATTATTCTTAATTAATTAGTGTTGAAAGCCGTTTTAAAAAGTATGTCACAATATTGAGGGGAATATATTCTGGGATAATTTAGAATTAGAGCCAAGATAAAAATAAAATGCATAAAAATTATAAAAAAAAGTTTGTTGATTATTGAGTTTTTATTTTGCAAATTAAATTTATAAATCTAATAAATTGAGAAAATTTGAAAAAGAAAATTAGAAATTATTTAGTAAAATTGAAATTTGTTTCTAAACTATTTTATTAATAATCAATTACCTTAATTAATAAAACAAAAAGAATAATTGAATTCAACCATCAGCCGGTTGCAGTTCTTTCAGGAAACTATCATATTTTTCAAATATTTCCGACTGTGGATCTTTAGCATTGACTTGATCATCATATTTTGCACCAACTGACCACAAACTTTCTAAATCGAATACATCTCTGGCTTGTTGAGAAAATACGTGTAGAACGATATTTCCTTTAAAAAAAAAGAAGATATTTAACAAGAATTTTAATGTAATATAATATTTAATTTTATGTAAAGTTTTTATTGCTTTATAAAATTATTTTATATTATACCTAAATCTAAGGCTATCCAATCTTTAGATTTTTCTCCTTCAATTTTAGGAATTTTATCACCATTGTGCATTTTTAATTTGAATACTTTTCGGACAAATGTAGCCAGAGCTAACATGTGTCTTGGTGTTTTTCCTGTTACTACCACGATGTAATCTACGTATGCATATTCTGGTGGTACAGAAGCAACGAAAATATCTTTTGCATTGTCCTTTTTCAAGACTTCAAGCAGATCTTCAATTTCATAAACACCAGTGATACCCCCTAAAATTTGCTTCATTATTAAACTAAAACTTAAATTACTATAGTGAAAATCATAATTAAAACTTTTTCAAGGAATTAACAACACAATTAGTACAACTTGCTAACCTGATACAAGATGACATTTAAACAAAACAAATAAAAATTATTACAAATATAATTGTTGCTAAATTAATGTTAATATTAACACAATAATTAAAAAAAAATTTAATTCATTTATATTAACTAAAGAAAGTCACAAAATATTCTTAAAAATAAGTTAATTTTTAATGATTACAGTGCTGTATTATATAGTGTAAATAATTTTACTTACGCGTTAAATTTAAACCTTCATAAGAATCCACAAACTCCTGTTCAAGTTCAAGATCAGCAAGATTTATTTTATTTTTTTCCTCATCTACATCAAAAACAATAGGAGCATCTTCATCTCGAAAAACTTTGTATTTTTCACTAACGGTGTAAGTGGGGTTATGTTGTAAATCATCTTTTTCAGATTCATTTTCCTTTAATTTTTCAACAGTGTTTTTACTACAAAATGTTCGTTTCTTGTAAAGTGGTTCCGACTGTATTATTCTACAAGAACACGTATACGAAGATTTATATAAACCTTTTCCTGCAGAAAATAATAAATTTGTCACGCGAGAGAACATACTTGCCGCAAATTCTAACCTCAATATGTTTGTTTAAATTTAAGGTGCCTCCACAAATAGCCAACGAAAATTAAAGTCCCTTTCATAAATTGCAATTATGAACAGAACATAATGTTGCCATATATAATTATTTTAAAAAAAAATATTTTGAAATCGCATAATTTAATTTTCCATTTTATTTATTTATTTAACTTTTAAAATTAATAAGAGCTTTTCTTTTTTAATATACTATAAATTTTAGAATTTAAAAATATTACAAAAATGTTATGATTATAATGAGTGGGAAGAGAATATAGGTCCATTTTTTGTAAAAAGAGAAATATACATTTATTTTCCGCGGTCAATTTATTAAATTGAAAAGTTTCTTCTGTAAAATACTTCATTTTTTTTGTACAAATTTTTTGTAGCTTATAGGGAATCAGAAGGTGATAACTGTTCTTCTCAGGCAATTTTACAGAAGATGGATGTTTTGTAAAACAATTCCCTTACCTGAAACAAAATAAAAATGTTTTTAAGGAAACTGTTTCTTACAGATAGTATTAATTTTAACAATATAAAAATTATCTTAATTTTGTCTTGTGATTTAAGGAATAATAAAAGAAGAAACAAATTTTTGTACCTTTTAATTTTTAATAACATAAAAGAACCAAACAGTATTTATAGTTACATACACTGTTAAAAAATTTTTTGGTCTGAATTTTTTAGTTTCGACTTGTAATCTTCTGTGAAATTATGTTTCTCTGCAGCGTAATTTATACACGAACATACTTTTAAAATAACAGTTTCACTTTTTCTAAAATTACTATTTTCAAAATAGGTAATAATAGAATCCAATTAAACTTTTATTTTGGAAGTATTATATTTACAGAAGGCGTATGTAAATTTGCTGAACAAAAACATAATTTTACAAAAAATTTTTGAGATAAATATTATGTACTTTACAGAAAATAAAAATTTACTGAAGAGGACAGAAACAAGGGTTGAAACGTTTAAACTAAAAAATATCTAGTTTCAATATTATTTAGCTAAAGAACTCTAAAACTTCAGTTCATTATGTAAATCCTCTTTAAATCTTTTTAAATAAAAACTGTAAATCAAATGATTTTTTTATACGAGATGTCAGTACCACAAAAGAAAAACCTAACCTACATTTGTTAATGTAAAAGAAAGAAATGTGAAACATAATTAAATTCATGACTAAATTGTAAAAGACATTAAAAATATTTTACTATACTTTAAAGTACATCAAAAATATACACAAAAAACAATTTTTTTTTTACTTACAGAAGAAAAATGTTGGCATCTACTTGGACCTCGCACGCATCTTCCTCCTCTTTCGCTTTAGCCTTCGCATCCTCTTTTTACGCCACTAAAACAATTAAAAACAATTATAAATTATTATTTAATGCAAAAATTTGATTAATTTTATAAAACTACCACGTGCTATAATACGTCACTTTCGAAATTTACGTTCATAAACGTTGGAAAAAAAACGATAATTATCAAACAAAATGTGATACAAAGTTAATTACTGATAATTATTATAAAATTGCTTGCATTAACTTTATATATTGACTAAATAAATTAATAAAACAATTAAAGTAAAAGCATGTTGAGGTTATAGTAGAAAAAACATTTTGATATCAAATTTTCAAAGTGTTGATAAAAAAATGAAAAATATTTATAAATATCATTTAATATTGCAAATAAAACTTTTTTTATACCTTTGCTCTCATTTCTGAGGTTTAAAGAAATCTAGATTGCTCTAGAATTCTTTGATATTTGTGGATTTTAGATCCGTGCAAAACTAATGTCCTTTGCCTTCTGTAACCAACTTGGAAAAGAAACAAGATGCCGACGTTTACGGATGTTTAACCTACGAAAGAGTTTTGAGCGTCGTCTGCTTGAGTTCCGGTTCAATTGTTATTCCAATTCCATTCCAGTTTGTTAACCCTTTATATCTTTCAATTTATTAAGCAAATGAATAAATTACAAATTTTTGTCAACATTAAAATACCTTAAAATTATATAGAATAATACTCTTTTATTTATTAATAATTAACAAAAGAGAAAGGTATAAATAAAATATTTTAAATACTGTATCTAATTTGAATTAACAGCAATTTCCCGCTATGAACTTGACAAATACGTGGACTTTGCACAATCTTTAATTGAAGTTAATAAATGTTTAACATAATAAAAAATTAAAAATAAGAATTTTATTAATTGTTTGAATTTTACTGGATTATTAGTATTCAAATGAATAGTTATTTTTTTGTACTTTTATAGAGGAAATAATAACTAATTTTAAAATAACCGCTGAAAATGACCATTTCTGAACATGCGCATATTGGTAAAAGTGGTCCAATTTTATTTTCCATTATTTACCCGCGTTTAAAGGGACTTGACATGACATGTTGGCGCGCAACAGTTGTCGACAGTTGATCATGGTTGATGATATCAAAATCATTATTACTGATACATTTATTTAGAAAATTCTAGTGTTTTAACGAAATTCTTTTGTGTATTTTATCACTTTTATTAAAAACCATTTATGTTTGTTTAACAACAAAAGTGCATGTGTGTTTAATTTATATAGATTTCATATTGTTTGTGATACAAATATGAGTATACAAACTACAATACCTTTTGCGATTAGAAAGAAGTGTTCCTTTTATTCTAAGAAAGAAATACCTTCTATACATGAAAACTTTGAAAATGCTGCACTCCGAAGTACACCAAATAATACTTATACACCAACAACGAAAAAACTCATGGAATTAAGTAGCAGTGAATCTGAATCAGACTCAGACGTAGAAAATGTCGATACAAAACGCAGTGTAACAGTTGCCAAAAAAAATACTAATGCTAGAACTCCAAAGTCTTCGAGAAAAACGAAAATTGATGGTATGTTGATTATTTTATTCTTGACAATATTTTGTGATTAAAAAAAAAATGATACGGTATAATGTAATTGAGTATCGAACATTTTTACAATACAAATTATAATTATTGTCTAATGTTTAGTTATTTTTTATTTGTATCATAAAGCATTAAACTAGAGCTATTCATTAAAAAAAAGTGATTTTTTTAAAAGTTATTTTGTTATGTAGCAATTTGATAACTTATCTTTATCACTAATTACTTTAAATTTTCGATAATGAATAAAACGAAGCTGCAGTACGCAACGTTTATGTTAAACGATTTTTAAAGAAATAATTTTTTAAAATAAAAAATTCTATAATTTTTTGCCTAAAAAATATTTTTTTATAATTTGTTGATTAATGAAAACTACAAGAAATATTTTTTAGGCAAAAAATTATAGAATTTTTCATTTTTGAAAATTATTTCTTTAAAAATTGTTTATCATAAACGTTGCGTACTTCAGCTTCGTGAATATGCGTTGCATTGAGGTCTATTGTTCTGTGTTAAAAAATATATATATATATATTTCTATATTAAAAAATAATTATCAAAGTTAACAATTTTTGTTTTATTGTTTATTATTTTTAGATACAGATGCATCGCCACCAAAGCAAAGCAAATATTCACCAACAACACCATCGACGCTTATGGGTAATCTTAATTTAACATCATCTTCCAAAAAGGAAGGCAAATTATATCCAAAAAAATTGTTTACACCCAATAAATATTGTGATGCACGAAAAGCTTTACATAGTGATACACCAGAAAATTTACCCGGTAGAGAAAAAGAACTTGGTGAACTTGAAAATTTTATACAACTTCATTTGACGGAAAAATCTTCAGCTTCATTATATGTTTCTGGACCACCAGGAACTGGAAAAACTGCTTCTTTATCACAAATTATGTCTAAACCTGAATATAAATCATCTTTTAAAACTGTTTATATCAATTGTACAACGACAAAATCAGCTAGCGCAATTTATGGCAAAATTATTGAGGAACTTGAATTGTCAGTGACAAAATCAACGAAAAATAGTAAAGTAGTTATTGAAAAGTATTTAAATGGTAAACACAAAATGTTACTTTTGATACTCGATGAAATTGATCAATTGGAAACTAAGAATCAATCAGTTCTTTATTCCATTTTTGAATGGCCCTCAAGGCCTGATTCAAAATTAATTTTAGTCGGCATTGCAAATTCATTGGATTTAACTGATAGATTGTTGCCGAGATTAAATGCAAAATGTGAATTAAAACCAAAATTAATGCATTTTGCTTCATATACAAAACAACAAATTGAAAATATTATTGTTGAAAGATTAAAAGCTGCTGATGTTATGGATGTTTTTGCACCAGTTGCAATTAAATTATTAGCGGGTAAAGTTGCTGCTGTTTCTGGTGATATTAGACGGGCTTTGGATATTAGTAGACGAGTTATTGAATTAACAGAATCGAAAAAAATTCTACAACCAACAAATGACAATGGTAATGAATTATTTCAACAATATTTATATTTGAAAAAAATATATAATATTTAATTTCATTTTTAATTATAATTATTTTTTATTTTCTTTGCGTAATGAATTTCTTTGAATTTTCAATTGTATGTCAGTTTTGCTTATATCATCAGTAAACGAAACTTTTGTAAATTTCGTAAGAACAATGTTAAGTTTTTCTTTTAAATTATATATTCAGCAAAAAACTAAACACGAACGAAGTTTTTGTTTTTTAATTGAATAAGTTTATTAAATATTCCTGTTTATTTTTTTTTATAGACGCAAATACACTGGATGAATCAAAAGTTAATCCAATAGACAAAGCTGCTGATATGAAAGATGTACTCGATGTTTTGAATACAGTTTATGGAGGTACACAATCATTGTCACATGATTACATTTTTCCTGTACAGCAAAAAATTGTTTTGTGCTCATTACTTCTTATTTTGAACAAAAGTTCAAATAAAGATGTCACTGTTGCTAAGGTACAATCACGTTAATTAATTTATTTTTATTCCTGTTTTTTAAAAATATGTTCTGATAATAGTTAATTAAATTATATTTTAAAAAGATTTTTTTAAATTTTCAGTTACACGAAGTCTACAAGAAAGTTTGCAAGAAACAGAAAATAAACGACGTTGATCTAACGGAATTTATTGGCTTATGTTCGCTAATTGAAACTCGAGGTATTATGAGAATAGTTAAGAAAAAACAGATTCGTTTATCGAAAGTAAATTTAGAATGGATGCAGAAAGATGTCGAAAATGAATTAAAAGATAAAGCTTTATTGGCTGAAATTATTAGCGATGTTTCTTGTTTATGAGAGTGCCATTTTATCATTTTTGTAAATTTCAATTGTTATTTTAAACAAATACTTTATTATTTTCTTTGATTGAGTATTTTTCTTTTTACTGCAAAAGTATTTTTTTTTTTTAATAAATCACATTTGAGTACTTGATTTTGATTAAGTATTCACGATTTTGTTTGTAATTAAAAAAATTGTTGATTATTTCTACAATTATTGATAATTACTGAAAGTGTTATTTACCTTCGACATCGGTATATTTTTAATGTGAATTTTAGACTGATATACTTAAGAACAGTGTAGTAAAAACATCATTTACAATAATATAATGAAATGCTTGTAAGTTATTTAAATATTTTACTGAATTAATAATATTAAAAATTGAAAAATAATCGTTTTTTCATTGGCGGTTTATAAAAATACACTCAACAGTGACTTTTTATTTTTGAAACTAAATTTTTTCTCGAAAATTAATTACTCAATTTAATATCAAAAATTTTCAAATTTATAATATTTCTTACATTTTATTTTGTGTTATATAATTTTTTTTTTTTTTAATTTAGTATAGTATTGCTTCTTTTTATTTATTATTTTTTAAAATTGCGTTGTACATACATCAAATATTCAAATTTTCGCGGTTATGCGATGTCACTGCACATGCGTTTGCTGTCAAGTTTAAGATAATTAGGTTATGTTACAGTGACCAGTGATTTACTGAAAAGCGCGTTATTAACAAAAATATCTGAAAATGTCTTCAGTTTTAGTGCCTGAAATACCTGCTGAAGGATTTTCGTTTGATTTGTGTCAACGGTTTGTATTAAAATAATGTTTATATTATTATAAAATGTAAAAATAGAAATTAATTCAAAAAATTATTGCCTAAAAACCATATACATAACCTATAAAGCATCAATACTGCTGTGTCACTTTTTAAAAAGTTGTTTAAACTTCAAAAAAACACAAAATATAATTAAATTTTATTAACAATTTTTTAATTACGGAGTCTTATATTATGATAGTTCATCATATTTTAAAATAAATTACCCTATGCAAAGAAATTTATGCATTATTTACATTGCTTTTGAATGACAATTTGTTCTGTTAACTTTATTATTTTCGTCTCTTTTTTTTGTAAATACGCACAATTGAATGGATAAAATAATATTATTAGTTATTAATAAGAATTTATTTATGAAATATTAGAAATTTATTTTTATATTTGCAACTTTTCAAAACTAGTTTAATATATTGCTCCTTTGATTACAATTACGCGAAAGTAACCTCTTGTATAATTAGCAATAATTTATTTAAATTTACATGAATATTTGTTTATTATTTAGAAATGGACTTCTCGCAAATAAAGGTTATCAAGTACCAAAAGCACAAAAAACAGGTACCACAATTGCTGGTATTATTTTTAAAGATGGAGTTATATTGGGCGCTGATACAAGAGCAACTAACGATACAATTGTAGCGGATAAAAATTCGGAAAAAATTCATTATCTTGCTCAGCACATTTAGTAAGTTGATTTTTGAAGAATAAAAATTATAAATTACTCATTAAAATAATGATTAAGTAAAAAAAAAAAAAAACATTTTATTTTAAAATTGATTAGTTGTTGTGGAGCTGGAACCGCTGCTGATACAGAAATGACAAATCAAATGATTTCAAGTCAATTGGAATTGCATCGTCTTAATACTGGACGTATTGTACCCATAAGAACTGCAAATAAAATGCTTTGTCAACTTTTGTTTCGTTATCAAGGACAAATTGGTGCTGCATTAGTACTTGGTGGTGTTGATCTAAAGGGACCGCATCTTTTCTGCATTTATCCTCATGGATCCTCCGATAGCTTACCATACACTACAATGGGCTCAGGATCTTTGGCTGCCATGTCAGTTTTTGAAAGTCGATGGAGACCAGATTTAACGGTAGGGTGCATTGAATTGAAATTTCTTTTTATAATTTTATTATTGAATTTGATGTCTGTAGAAAATGACTACTTAAAATTAATTATCAAGAAAATTTATTATTTCTAAATAAATTTTAGGAAGAAGAAGGTAAAGTACTAGTGGCAGATGCAATTCGCGCTGGTGTTTTCAACGATTTAGGCTCAGGAAATACAATTGATTTATGTGTGATTCGTAAGGGTTCAACGGAATATATTCGACCTTACGAGGTAGCCAATGTAAAAGGTGAACGACAAGAGTCTTATCGCTATAAACGTGGAACCACAGCTGTGCTTAACAAAATTGTACGACCAATTATCGTCGAAGAGGAAACTGTTCGTCGAGTGGACTCCGACTCCATGGACACCTCATCATAAGTTAATTTTTATTTTATATTAAAATTTTACTATATACAATTTTTCCTTCATAAATAAATCTCGCAAATTTTCACAGGATTTGGTATTTATAGAATAATTTTAGTTTTTATTAAATTTAAAATTTTCATTAAAATAATTATACAATTTTAAAAACATTCTCTTAAAATAGCTGTATTCTTTTTTTTTTTCTTTAGTAGTTTTAAAATAGACCAGCGGCTTGTTTGAGTCTTTGTCTTCTCCATGCTGGAAGTTTTTCAAAGTCATTGGGCTCCATTTTGAAAACTGTCATAAAATCATCGTAGGTCAAATGCATTTCCTTTCGTGAAACATCAACTTCATTGGGAAGATTCTCTGGATCGCTTTTTAAAATTTTTAGGGGATATTTCACGTGACTGTTGAAGTCGGTAATCAATTTATTTGATAAAGAATTGTTTATTGAAGGTTCTTTATCTTCAATAAATGAACGTAGTGCATCAAATGATTGATAATCGCGTAAAAAATTGTGATTCCAATTTTCAAATAGTCCTATAAACGATGGCGGTTCCAAGCCTAGAAAAAGAAATTATTATTTTTATAACAATTGGCAATTTAAAAAAAAAAAATAGAAATTTTTTTGTTAACCTTGTTTAATTATGGAAATAGGAGTATTACGATCTCGACCAGCAGGATGTGTGTATAAAAATATTTTTCCTCTTTCAACACATTCCTTAAGGGAGTTATTTGCCGAATAAATTCCAATCCAAAGCCAAATTACATTTCCTGCGTCCAATAACCATATTGCTTCTGGTAAAAGAGAACTCTGTGAAAAACCTAAAACTTCTTCGCCGACAAAAATATTTTGTTCTATTTGACAATGATAAAGATGTTTCTCTTGTTCTTCTTCGTCATTCATAAATTCAGTGCCATATTCTCCTCGACCTGAGAAAAAATTTCTTCACTCATTATTATGTTCTTATTTTGAAATTACTAAATTATTTTTCTGAGACAATACCTTCCAATTGAGACCAAAATTCCTCATCTTCATTGCCTTCTGATATTAAAGGTGCGGAACTTGGAGCAAGTCTTCTCGATGCTTCTCTAGCGTCTCCAGTGCTTCTACTTCCACACCAAACCATTGGCGAATTCGAAAATAAAACAAAAACACCACTCGAATCTAAACTGCTTGCTCTTAATGATCGTTCCACTGCTTTTGAGGTATAAGGCGTTGATCCAAAAACACGGACTAAATATTTACTCGGTGCTGTAAATGTTAATATCCATTTTATCTTCAATTTGAATAATTCAAATTATTTCAATGCAATTGTTAAAAAAATAAATATTTAATTTTTTGCATAAATATTGAAAAAAAAACTCACGATTATTTTTGTATGAACCCGCAAGAATTGTCAATTTTCCTTTGTAAATTTGAAGCAAGTGAGGTGGTTCATTGCCTTGTGATGCTTTTACGAGTTGAGCGGAAATTTCATCGGCAATTAGACAAGCAGATACCAAAGCTGTTTCTCTATCTCCACAGGAGGAATGCGCTCCTTCCCAACAGTAGACCTAAAACATTATTCATTTCTTTATTTCTAATAACTAATCGAAACGTGTGAATATTTCACAACAAAAAATCCAAAAGATTCCGTTAAATATAAATTTTACAAGTTTAATCTAAAAAAATAACTTATTTAATATTCATGTTTAATTAAAAATTTAATGATATCAAAATATATTTTGAAAAAAATTAAAATAAATATTTAACTGGATGATATAAATTAAAATTGAATGAAAATTATAGCAAACGGATTTTGGGTAATATTCATGCACTATAAATTAATTTCCATTGTTCGATTTTCCTGAACCTACGATTAATCTGCTTCTACGGCCATATCCGTATTTGTAACGCATTACGTAGCACATTTCGGCATAATAAATCCCTCTGTCTTCCACCTAGAAAAGAAAAAAAAAACTGTTAATTTAAAAATAAAAAATTTATTTCAAATTGCAACATTTAAAAAAAATTCAATATTCTAAAATTATAATTCATTTAGTTTCCAAAAACGTTGATTAATAATTGAAAATCTCACTTCGATCATGCCAGTTTGTTGATTAACTCGCCATAGAGTTTTCTCGCCAGATCCATCATCGACTAATTGACATTCAGCTGCCATTCGTGGCCTCTCTGTCATGTATTCGGGCTCAAAACATGAGGGCAACGTGAGAGGTCTCGCTTTTTTTTGTCCCCAACCTTTAATTAAAGTTTTCATTTCCACAGGTTCTTGACCTTCTATCGCCCGCGTTACCGGAACTGACACGCTGTAATTTTTTTTTTTCACAAATCCTCGCGCATTTCTTACTGCTTCGAGTTTTTCTCGTGCATTCACATTTTTACCGACCCATGCCCAAATTCCAATTTCACCACGATCAATTAAAAAAACTGATTCCGATGAGAAATCTTTACGAAATATTGGTCCCGATTTTACCTCGGCAACTTTATATTTTCCCGTTTGTTCGCTACATTTATAAAGTTTCACTGGACTTGGTAATGGTGATGAGTGTTGATTTTCTGGAATTACATTTCTATTTGATAAATTCAAAACATCGTTTAGAAGTTTTCGCACTTCATTTGGTAATGTTCTCTCGTAACCGTCATCAATTATAAAAACTTGAGTCTCGTTCTCTTTTCGTTGCTTGAGAATTGTAGCTGCATGTTTCTTGTGAAGAATTTCGGCTTTCAAGCCAAGCCACAGGAAAACAATGTTTCTAATTTGAAAAGTTTGCATATAATAATTTTATAAAATTTTGTGCATTTCTTAATTTTGTGTATAAAAAAAAATTCAAATTATAAAGATTGTTTCAGGTGTAGATAATTTTTAATTTTGAAGAAAATTTTTTTTATCAAATTTTGAATAATTCAAGAATTGAATTTGATTTTACGATATGAATGATTTTAAAATAAGGAGAAAATAAACAGGAATAACGTTACCTAGAATGCATATCGATTATAATAACATCTCGGGATGTAAAATTACTCCAGCTGAGACCATCAAGTTCAGTCAAAATTGGTACCGTTAGGCCAGAAATTTTATGCAATGTGCACGAGGGTTTTTCTGTGTGAAAATTTTGTACGATAAGTTGATCTCGAAAATAAGCCAGGAACCTGGAACTTTCACGACCTTGGGCCTCACGTGATAAAATTGTTGCTGAAACTTGAGAATCCAATTCAGCAGCTCGAAGAGCGACCGCTCCTGACATTGTCGAATCACATTTCGAACCAATCCAGAAATGAACAGCTCGAATTGCAAAGTCTTCTTTCACCTCCTTTTCCTGGTATTATATTACTTTATTTTTAAATAACTTCACAATAATGATTTTTGGTCAAATTAATTAATATTAACATTTATTTATAAGTTCTTTTTGTTTATTTTTAGGTTTTATTTATTTATTTCACTTATTTCAATTTAATTTTTTTTTTATATCAAATTTATTCTATTAATTTATTTCTTTATTAATATTTTAATAATATAATATTTTGCATTTACTATTATTTAATTTCTCTAACTTTTTTTTAAAAAAAAAAGAAAAAAATTTGAAAACCTGATTACAAATATAATATGTTTGTGAGTTCGAAAATATAATTATTTTCGCTCTGATTGACTCAATGGAGAATAGATTATTTAAATCCATTTCCGTTTCTAAGTAACAGCTTTTAAATATGTAACGAGTTTTCCTATTATGCTTTTATTTCTATTTTTCGAGCTTTTCTGACTGTAATTGCAAATGAAACACAAAAAAAAAAAAATAGATTCATTGATTTTTCTTACGGGAACTCCTGGATAAGGAAGTGGACCATTCTTGGATGATACTGTGTAAATAATATAAGCTGATTCCGAAAAAAAAATTCCCATTTTCTCTTTTCGAATCGAAATAGCTCGAAGCCCCTAAAATAAAAATGAATTTTTACTGAAAGCTTCATTTTTACGATGATAATTATTCTATATATTATATTTTTTTTGAATACAATAAGAATGCAAAATATTCTTGTTAATGTAAAATTACCTCAATTTTCCAAACACAAAATGCATTTTTATTTTTTTGAATGCTTTTAAAAACATCACTACTAGAATCGTCCGAGCAACTGCTTGTGTCATCCTGTAATAAAAAATGTTTTACTATCGAAGTTTAATAATAAAAATAAAATATTAAAAAAAAATAAATTTATGAGGATTGGACAATCTTCTAATTTTATTTTAAATAAACAATAAAACATAAACATAAAACATAAACATAAATTTAAACATAAAATATATTAATATAAATTAATTACTATAAATAAAAAAAAAACAGTTGGGAAAAATGTAAAAACATTGTTATCGTGACAAAAAAATTCTTTTAAATTATTAAAAGTCATTTATTATCAATTTAGATTATAAAGCAATTGAAATTGTTTTAAAAATCTCATAGAAGTTAAATTGATTCATTAATCATAATTTTATCCCTTTGTCATTGTAATTCAATATCGACAGTGTGTATAATTAAAAATTGTAATAAAAGTTGAAAAATCACATTTCATTTATGTACAAAACAAAGTACAAAAGATTATGAATTAAAAATTAAATTATGATTAATTAAATTAATTGATAAATATAAAAGAAATATGCGCTAGGAAAAATTAGACTCTTAAAACAAAACTAAACAAAAAGTAAAAATAATAATACTTAAAATAAATAAAATAAATTATTTTAATTAGTTTGAGTACCTCTAGGTGAGATAAAGTCATTTTTGAAAATTTTACAATGAAGATGGAAACAATAAAAAAAATTTACAGTTTTTTGAATTATTTTTCACACACGGTATAATATTGTACTAAATATAAAATTTTTATTTCAATTAAAATGACGTTAATAAAATTAATTTCGCAATTGTGTCACTTTTGTGATTGCTTGAGGTAAACTGGTTCTTGTAATATAGCTAAAGTGTTATGAGAAACAAAACATGAAACATTGTGGTACTAATATATTGCACACCATTTCTTTTACAATAGGCAACACTATATAGGTATTCACACTTTGCCGCGCAGAGAGAAATAGTCGCTAATTTTACATCACAATCAAATAATTACGCGCGAACATTGTCTAAGTTTCACGAGAGGAAGTCGACAATATTTCACTACCTACCAGAGTAACATTTCTATTCAAAACTATTTTGCACGATAGGAGAAAACCCGGACACTTCATGTAGTACATTTATTTTAAATATCTTTCGACGAAAAAAAAAAAAAAAAAAAAAATTCGTTCCATTGTCCTCTCACACTGACAGTTCTCCTTTGTTTCCACCTTGATTTTTTTCTTTGAAAGAAGAGTCATTTTTTTTGTTTTAACATTTTTCTTAGAACATTAATGAAATAAAAAAAAAAATTATTTTTAATTTAATTTTAATGTAAATTAAATTTAAAGTAATTTGAAGTTATATATTTAAATCGATTTAAATTAAAAGTTACGAAATTGTAATTTTTATATATGATTAATTTATTTTAATTATTAATTATTATTATTATTATTATTATTATTATTTTGTATACACTTTTGGATTATTTCAGAAAAGAAGTTGAAGGTTTTTAGAAAGGATAATAAAATTTTCAGTTGAAAAATGGAAAATAAAATTTTGATGATAAAATTTCATAATGAAGACTACTCACCCTCTTGGAGAAGCCCATTGTTATGATGAATCCAATGAAGTCATTTAAATGTTAATTTTTTTTTTGTTCTTTGACAAAAATTTAGAAGAGCTTCAAAATGAACGTGTAACTGTTGGAGAAGAACTGATATGTTTCCGTTTTAAAAAAGAAACCGTACCTGTGCAGACTCGTCCGGAAGCGGGCCCGGAACTCCGGGCGGCCACCCGTGACCAACGGGCACCTCATGAATACACACTAACTATATTGCTGGCACTCATATTACTCGTTATCTAACACACCTGCCTCTCTCTTCTTGCTTCGTTTATGTATATATATATGTACTATAGGACAATAACCGTGACTATGGATTCAGAAGAACAAGAAAAAGAGCACTTGATCCTATCTTCATTCTTCTTTTATGAAAGAAACGCGAGACACGCTCATTTTATCCTATACTAGATAAACTGGGTCAAATTTATTATTCCTCATTAAAAACATCGAGAAAAAAAATTTTTTCATTTTTAAGTTCTTATAGAATTTTTTTTAAATTTAATTTTGAAAAATTCAAAAAAAATAAAAAAATGTTATTTAGAATTTCTCATTTTTCGTTCTTTTAAATTTAGAAAATTAAGAAAAACAAATTAGTAAATTAATTTCTTTTCAATTAGAATTTTTTTTATTAATTTTTAAAAATTAAAAAATTGATGAGTAAGGATTTCACGACAAAAAAGTGAAATGTAAAAAAATTTTTTTTAATTTTCCAAAGTAGTCAAAGATTTTGATTAATTTATATTTAAAAATAAAAAAATACAGAGAACAATTATTTTAAAATGTAATGGCATAAAAGAAGAATTGATATATAAATATGTTAATTTTTTCAAATGATTTAACAGAATTTTATCTATTAAAAGTGTATATTAAATTAAAATAAGAGAGATGAAAAATTTGAATTGTTAATTTTATTATTGAGATGAATTTACAACTATAAACAATTTTCTAGAGTGATAATTTAAAAAAGAAATTATTCATATGGAGAAAAAAATGAATTTAAAGCTTAAATGTTTTAGTCTACTAATCAGAGATGACTTGTATTTTTCTCATTTATAATATAATAAATATTATATTATTTATCATTAACATTAATATATGAATCATGATTTATTATTCTTTGCAAGTATTTGAAAATTTATAAAAGTTCCTCTTTTTACAATATTCATAAAAAAAGTTATTTTTTAATTATATATATTTTATACACAGATAACAGTAATTTATATATATGCAACTCTTTAGTTGAGAATCAATTATTTCCATACATAGAAATTAAACTCATTTCATGAAATAGAATAATTATTATTGTGTTAATAAAATGAATAGAGAACGGAAATATTCAAGGTTTTACTTCACAATATCCGGGCGTTAGAATTTTAATTTGTTGCAATAAATAAAAAAAAAAAAACGAAAAAAATTCCATATATTTTAATTAATTATTTTTCTAATAACGATGTGAAATTTCAAATTTCATCTGTTATTCATGAACATAGCTTAAAGTAAAAAATTTTATTTTTGTTATAGAAATTGTTATGCTTGTCAAACTATAACATGTCATTTTTTGTTGTTTTGTTACTCAATTTTTAATGAAAATAAAAATTTTATCATTGTCATGGATTGGAGGATCGAAGATTTAGAACAATCAAGTGGTAATATCTGAAAAGTGAAAAAAAATTCTATTAATAACAAAGATTGCGAGTTTCTTATAATTTTTTAGTTGACAGTTTTCTGGAGAAAGGAAAAACTCTTGTTAATGCTGAAAGTTATATTAATTTGATCGATTTTCAAAATAGCGAAACTAATTTTGGAGATAATAAGGTTTGCTAATTCGATAATAAATTGTAAAAAAAAAAATTAATTCAAATTTGTTAATGATGAAAAATCACGTATTGTTAATTCATTTCAATAATTTTTTAAAAATTATTTAACATATTGCACGTAAGTAATTGACTTAATAAGTAATTAAAAATAAATAATATTTAAAATTCTATTATAATTAGAATGAGTTATTTTTATATTTATTTGCTTTTCTTCCAAATTGTATAAGGAATCAAAAAGTATCTCGTCCGCTTTTGAAAATTTGAATGTTGAAACTGGAATCGATCAGCAAACTGATAGAACTTTAGTTTTTACAAAAGATGCTGCAACTTCATCTACCGAGTATAATTTTAGAAGTAAATTACCTACTTGTGGTTGTGAAACTTATGAAAAACCAAATTTTCAATTAATTACACAAGAGCCAGAAATTTTGAATTATCAGGTGCTAAATTAAAGAATTAGTAATTTTAATTGTTAATAGATTTAGTTATATGTAATTTCAAATAAAATGTTTCATGTAATTATTAAAATATCTTAATTTTCTATATTTGAAGGTTTCACCTCAATTTTAAGTAATTGCATTTTACAGAAGAGAATTTTTCATATAAGCCAAAAAAACATGAAGAATTTTCTTCTATATCTTATTTTTGTATAATAACATTGTCCTTTTAAATTATATATATATATATATAATTAGAAACCACTTATTATAATTTTATATTATTATTGTATAAATAATCAGGGTAAGATGCATTCATCGGATGATGTGGCTCCTTACTGGAAAAAAGATTCACGAATGTGGCTATGGAAATCTGTTCGATACGCTCGTAAGAAAAATAAAATAAAATCGTCAGTAACCAGGTTTTCGCCAAATAATCATCAAGATAATTTAAAATAACATAAAAAATCTTCTCCAAAATATTCATTGATCTATTTCAAATAACTACATTTTACTGCAAAATTTGGCAAAAATGAAATTTTATCTATTTACACTTTTTTTAAAATTTATTTTCGCGATATATACCATTTTATTAAAAAATTTTAAGTAATTTTATTATTATTAGAAGTATAGAGAAAATTTTCAGTTTTTTAATTCAAATTTTTTTTATATCAAATAATTTTCTTTATGTAATAATTTATAAATTTTTTTTTCATTAGTAAATTAAAAATAAAAAACGATTTTTCTAACAGATTTTTTTTTATTCTGTAACTTTGGAACGTATAATAATTCTATCTTAATATTTATACTCTAAAAAAGAAAACTTTATGAGTTTTTAAAATCAATATGTTTTACTCAAAAATGTAATAATAAGTAAACAATTAATCTCGTGTAAAATTTAAAAATAGATTTCAAATTAAAAAACAATTTTTAATTACTGTCAAATGCAAATTCTGTGTAAAAATGATTTAGTAAATTATTTTTTTAATTGAAAATGGAAAATTTATTCTCCTTTTTGTTTTAATTATCTCAGAAATTAATTTGATGATAGCTTTACATGACAATTGACTCAAACTCGATTTTTTTTTTTTTTTTTTTTTTGAGTTTGTCTCAAAAAAAGAGAATAAATAATTTACCAACTTTTCATTTTTGAAATATAGTCTTTTATCCACAAGTTTGGGCTTCTTTTAAATCTTCTTTAACTTCAGTGACTTCACCCATTTCAAATCGTGCGAAATCTAAAATCTCCGCTTGAGAATCAATCAACAATTCTCGAATAGTCAATTTGGGCTCAAATAAAAAATTTTGATAAATCATTACATTTTCATCTTCTGCATTAGTATTTGGATTGTCCGCATTTGGATCACCAATTTTTGTTGGATTCATACCTGTAAAATAAATTTAAAAAAAAGATATAAAAACATATAAAAAAAATGTAAAAAGATGAAAGGACTATACACATTACCGATAATATGTTGACAGAATTGAATTCCCAGTTGTTCATTAGGCTCTGCTGATTTGTATGCCACTAAAGAACCATATTTTCCAAAAGAAACCGGTAATGGATTAATAGGAGTTGGATGAGTGCATCCAATTAATTTAACATCGGAACTAACACTCATGCACAGGGCACGTTTAATGGCAATATTCTCGCCAACAGTGCCAATTGTCAATGCCGAATGATCAGCAATTGTTTTCCCATCGTATGTTGGTATTTGTTTTAATATTTCGCTATCTAATAAAATTTTTGAGACATCACCGTCATGTGGTAGCGTTAAAGAATGATTTAAAACAGCTGTTGCTATTGTATCAGCAAGTCCATGAAATTGTTTATTTCGTGCAACAAAATCAGTCTCACAATTTAATTCAATAAGTGCTCCATTACATTTGTCAACAATCACTGCAATAAGTCCTTGTGTTGTACTTCTTCCCTGAAGTTTGTCCGCTTTAGCCCAACCGAGACTTTGGGCTTGTTCTTTTAACCATACTTCAGCCTGAATTAATAATTAATTTTTCTTTTATTTTAAATTTTTACAAATATAAACTATTTAATTCTTAATAAATTAAATAGACTAATTAATTCTTCAATATCGTTATGTGGAACACAATTTATTCTAATTAATAATTTATTATTCCAATAATACACATTTGCTCCAATTTATTATTTGATTGAAGTTTTTATTTTTATTTGAAAAATGTGTCTTTTAAAAATAAAAATGATTATATTTGAATTGTGTAAAAAGTTCTTTTTAATTAAATTTCATCATACGTTGTCATTTTATTATCAAATTAAACATTACCTTATCTAAATCATTTTGATGCAACTCCAAAGCCTTCTTACAATTAGAAAACGTATATCCTGTTTTCTTACGAAGTTTAGCAAGAAGTGATTTATCTGAAGCTTGCCATAGAAAATTGTTTGTATGAATATATCGAATAAATTTACTAGAAATCATCTGTAAAAAAATAAAATATTAAATCTTCAAACTTACAGTCACTTTTGCAATCTAACCTAAAAATATTTTCCATTGAGAAAAAAAGCTATAATATTCACATAAATCTTTGAAAAAAATTGAAAAGACAAAAGAGAAATATTTTAATAATACGAAATATTCATTTGTAACTTTTTCTTTAAATAAAAATAATTGTTTTCTATTTGTAAATCAATAATTTACGTTGCTTAGAGACTATGACATTGTTTATTATTTTGTCCCTCGACATTTCAAGTGGATTAAAGTAAATTAATTTTTATTACTATTAAGTAATGAAAAATAATGAGTATAATTTGAATAAAATGTAAATGTTAATTGACAAATTTTATTTTAATAAAGAAAATGACATTAAATTAGTGATAAAGATACTTACATTTACTGACAGTATACAATAACCGGTATTTTTCCGGAATTTTTAATTCAGGTAACACAATTTAATAAATTATTATAAAATTATAAATATACTAATATTAAAATAACGTTTTAAATTGTATAAAATAGTAAAATTAACCGGTTTTTTAACTTTTTATAACCTTTAACAAATTTCCATTGTACCACGTGATTCAATATTTTCCCATCATGCTTTGCTATGCAAGACCGCGAATTTTCGAATTAAAATTTTCATCCGACGAGTGTATGCGCTGAGGTCAGGTTGTTATTGTCATTTAAAATGAAGAATTAAATTAAAGTTAAATAAAAATGAACAAGTCTTAATTTAAAGAAAGTAGGTACAAAAATTTTAAAGTTTATGAAAATATAAAAAAGTGTCAGTTTTCCTTGTTGACACTTAATACGTCAATTGCACGTCCAATAAGTTTACTGTCGTTGACAGTTATCATAATAAAGTGTAAATTTTCCCAATTCTTCACAGAATGTAGTTATAAATTATTTTAAACATAAAAAATAATAAACTAGTGTTAAATTTGATAACCGATTTTCTATACACATCACATTATTAGCATTATTGAGTAAAACTGATTTTCTAACCTCACTTTTTCCTAAAATTTTTGACATGAAGGTAATTATTTATAAATTAATTATTCACTTATTATGTACTTATTATGATTAATAAATTATATATTATTAAATGAGGGAATCATAAAACAATTTATTAAATAATAAAAATAGATTAAATATTAAGTGTTTCATGAAAATTTAAAGAAACCGAAGAAGTGCCAACGAATTATGAATAATATATATATTAAAACTTAAAAATAAATGTTTTTGATAAAGTCAATGTTCGATGATTTTTGATAATCTTTTTTAATTCACAAAAAATTAGTTTTGCTAAATATTTTTTTGTATTTTCTATAAATATTTCGTTGCAAATGAAAATTTTAAATTTATGTTTTTTTTCCAAAAATGTAATTAATTGATAATAAATAAATATTAAAAAATTATGTGATCAAAAAGAAAATTAAATTAACTGAAAATTATTAATTATATTTTAAAAAGTATTAAACAATTAAAAAGTATTTAAAAATTTTGAAAAAATAAAACCTAAAAAAACTTTGTAATGTTTTAAACTTTAAACTTAAATTTAAAATTTCAAATCAAATTGAACATTTTTTAAAAAAGCAAACTATTTTTGTATTGTTTACACATAAAAAAATATAACAATTTAATAATTAATAATAAAAACAAATTAATAATAATAAATTTATGAATAATAATATATAATAAATAATAATGAAAAAATAATTAAATAAATAATAATTATAAGTTAAAATGTTCTAATTATCTGTAATAATCATTATATAAAAAAATTTATATATAATATAATAAATTTATAAATAATAATAAAAATTATATTATAATTGAAACTTTTTTTCCTATAAATACCAAGTAGGAAATATACTGGTGCTGCACACAATGAACAATATTTTTTTTTACTTTAAACTGTCACTTAGTATATGACTTAATTAATGACGATGAATAAAAATATCCGTCGCGTTAACCATAAAATATTACGAAATCAAGAATTGTCAAAATTTTAGAAAAACAAAAGGAACAAAATACGACTAACTTCAAATGTGGACAGACGGAATGAATGAATGAATGAATGAATGAATGAATGAATACGGAAATTATTATATAGTTAATTAATTAATTAATTAATAATTAATTGTGTATTAAAAGATGTATTAATATTAATTAATATATCTTTGCATATTTCAATATTACCCTGACATCAATGTAATGATTTATTAATATTTCCAATAACTTGAATTTTTTATTTTCATTTGTAACATTACATATTTTAATCAATCTAAAATCATTTTTATTGTTGCTAAGGAAACTTTTTATAAAATAATAAAAAGACAAGACAATAATAAAAATTAATTTTCTTTAATTATTTGTAAAATGGTCTTATATACGTCTATTTTTTGATATTTTTCAGAAATGCATTCTAATTACATGGTTGATGAAAAATGCAAAGGCAAAAAGAAAATGAAATCTCAAAAAAGATCTGCACATCTTCTAAATACAATAAAGTTGCCTAATATAATAAATACTAAAATTGAACCGCTTTTTAAATTTCCTGACGATTTATTGGAAGATGTGCCATTAAGAAAAAAATTAAAACTAAAAAATAATGAATCTGAGCTTTCAAAGAAAAAGGAGAAAAAATGTTTATTGAAATATTCATACACAGAGGAACGATTGAAAAAGGAACAATTTCGAAGACAACTGATTGAACTAATTGTGAAACCAGAACTTTCTGAAACTGAGAGATTGAACAGTAGAGATAAATATATTAATAGATACTATTATTATATTCAGAATGGAATCAATACCATTCACGTTACTACATTTGAAGCTAAAATCGTAGATAATATTATGATTTTGATTTCACCACAATTTCGTAATCGATTTAATGAATCTCTAAACAATTTATTAAAGGAAGTTGAGGATGAATTCATTGTTTCAATGAAAAAATCAATTGTAGAATTTGCATTTAAAGATCCATTTGAAAATGAATTTCCACAGGTTTTTGTTAAAATTTTTTATACAATTTTTATATATTACTCTTATTTATATGTAATATTTTTTGTAAATGATAATTTTTAATTTATATTTCTATATATAATATATTTAATTTATAATCTTATCATATATTTTTAATTTTTCAGGAAACTCTGACAAAGGAAAGAATAGAAATTAAAAATTTATTATTTAAAAATAGAAAATTTTTTGTGTCTAGTCAGATAAAAATGAGTAAAAATTTACATTTGATAAATCCATGCATGAGACAGACTCTCGATGAATGGTTTCATAATTATCGGTATGTTCATCTTTGGGGGAAAAAAAACAGATATAAAGAATATTTCATGCCTTAGAGAAAAGCTTTTAAAGTTCTTTTTTATATATTCGTTTTCTTTCTCCTTTTCTTTTTCCCTAGAAACTTTCGCTTGATTGATCTCGAGAAAATAAAACAACATACTGAAAGTTGGAATTTGATGGATTTTCAAAATGTAGTCGTCCATCAAATCAAACGCTCTAGGAAAAATCTTTTAAACACCTGGTTCAATGGAGTGCAGAATATTTTTCTTGAGGTAAATCAATAATGTCACATCAAATATGTTTAAAATAGAAATAGAATGACAAAAATATATTATGAAAATAAATTTTAATTTAAAATTACATATAAAAACAATTATATTTTTGAATAATTAATTAACAATTATTAATATGCTAATTAATAATAATAATAATAATAATAATTGAAATAAAAATTGAAAAATTTAATAAATATGAAATAAAACTTTTAAAAGTGAATAGTTGAAATAGATGTTTGATTTAATTGCTCATTTTTGTTCTCTGACTGTAATTTAGAATAATAAAAAGAATCTCGTTCCAAGTCCATTGCAAGAAAAGTTATTTAAAAGATTTTATAAGTGTGTGGGAAAGCTCATGGAGTTTCAGCTTTTATCTGCTTGCAAGCACACGCTCAAAGACTTTATGCGATATATTTGTGAGACGGAAGTAAGCCTACAAAAAGCTTTTTAATATCTTTTGCTACCTACTTCTTTCATTGAAATTATATTTTTTTTCCTGCTTATCTGGAAAATAGTTTCTATTTTTTAAATACGTAAATGTATTTTAATAAAGAAAATTTAATTTAAAAAAAAACAAAAAAAAATATAAGAAAAGTTTAATAATTTTTTGTGTTAAAGAAAAAATTTTCTTCAAATATAATATAAAGAATGTTAGAATTATCAATTTTTTTCCAGCCTTTTGTAAATCGAAGTTTTAAATTGAACATAATCGTGAGAGAAAAAGAACCTTTATTTGAGCCATTAACTAAGAACTTTGAAGATGTATTTTGCAGTATCTTGAATGCTATTTGTGAAGCAGTTACAGGCTTTGACAGACTAGAATCTCAGTTGTACCTTGATTGGAATGGCCCTCCGGCTTTTCTTAAGGTAAACTTTTATATATTCATTCAATTTTCTTTTATATATATATATATATAACATATATAAAAGAAGGACTCGAATTTATTTCTAATGATGTTTGTGTCAGCCACAAGTTTCATGGAAAGTAGTCGAGACTTATAAAAAGGAAATCGCTTTTACAATTGATGAAAAGAAAGTCGAGCCCGAGGAATATCTCAATAAAATTCGCAGGTATTCAATTACAAACTTCATTCAATTATTTTAAATGCACATTAAAATTATATTTATTTAATTGTTAATTGATAATAATTTTTTTTAGATATGCTCATTTTTTTAATGACGAAGAATTAGAAAAAGTTAATGAATTTTTATCCAACAATTCAAATAGTCTAAATGACTTTAAAGAAAAAATTGAATATTATCATAATTTATCAAAGAACATTTCCATTGAAATAGAAAAAACATCTTTTACCGAATTTTTTGAAATCAATTACAATAGTTTCATTGAGACTGTGACAAATAATGTGAAATCTTTTAAAATTGCAATTGTTAATCAATTAGTAACTCAATATCAGACCGTTGCAAATAGGTAATAATTTATTTATTAGTTTAAAATTATTTTTTTTTCAAAATTAAAAAGATTGAAATAAAGAAGCAAAAATGAAATAAAAAAAAATTTTTTACTTACTGTTTTCAATATTTTTAAAATTATTTGATTTTATTTCAACATTATTGGAGAATCTGATATAGTATAATAAATTACAAATAACCGTTTTTCTTTATTCATCAGTTTTTTTTTCTTTTTTTTTATGAAATAGTGTTGGAGAAGAATATCAATCGATTGCTGATCGTGCATTGAATGCTCCTGCAAATACTGCTGGATTAATGGAACTTATCGATTATATGAAAAAGGTGGAGGGGCTCTTCTTAAAACAGTTGGAAAATAAGCTTCAGAATATAATCGAGATTTTAGGAGTTTTATCTGACTATTGGATTCTAAGTGAAGATGAGATACGAACAAATAACATTGCATTTCAATGGTATCATAAAATTCCTCAAATTTTGGAAGACAACAGAATTATCATTGAGAATAAAACTCAAGAATTTCAAGAATCACTTAAAAGTATTAAATTTTTTTTTTTCATTCACTTTTAAATATTAAATTATAATGATTATTTTAATAATTTGATTGATTTTTTTGAATAAATTTTTCTATTTTGTCTTTTTTAACAGTTAGATATCAAAAATTTGAAGAAGAATTGGAATTGTATGCCAAACAAGTTGAGGATGTTCAATATTGGGGTGATATAGATGAAATATTTAATTATCAAAAGAAGGCACAGGCATTGGAAAATAAATTAATTCACGCCATGCAAAAAATAGACAAATTTAATGAAGAAGAAAATGCCTTCAAATGGGAAACAACTCAATATCCATTAAGAAAGAAAATTGCCGATCGTTTAGTGTCTTTTAAAAAATTGTTCGATGCTGGCTGTGAATTTTTGATGAAACATGAAAAATGGATTAATTCACAAATTGGTATTTTTAATCCAGAGGAAATTGAAAACGATGCCTCTTTGGCGTATAGGTTTGTTTTTTTTTTTTATTTTATTTAATTTTCAACAATTTTAAATTATTCATTAATTAATCATTAAAATTTTAATTTTTGTTGAAATTATTATTATTAACGATCATTTTTAATTAATTTTTTTTTTTTTTTGTCCCAGAACCCTTTTCAAGCTCGAAAGATCATTTCAAGAAGCAGAATCAAAGAGACTTGCTCGTATGTTGAGGGAGAAGATAGAAATTTTTAAAGATCATATGCCAGTGGTAATGACACTTGGCAATCCTGGAATGAAATCACGTCATTGGGAGGAGATTTCCGAAATAATTGGAATTCCAATTAAAGTCGATGCGAATTTGACACTTGGCAGAGTTTTGGATATGAATCTCGATCAGTTGGTTGATAAATTTGAAGGAATATCGGAATGTGCCAGTAAGGAGAGTACATTAGAAAAAAATATCGACAGAATGCATAAAGATTGGAGAGATATGGCATTTACAGTGAATCCCTATAAAGATATTGGTACCTTTGTTGTCGCTGGAGTCGATGACATTCAAGTTTTACTCGATGATCATATCACAAAAGCTGTTACAATGAAAAATTCACCTTACATTAAACCTTTCGAGACTGAAATTATGTATGTTCTTGTTATTTCACTTTTTAAATTTTATTTTATCATTAGATTTATTTTTTTTTTTTTTGATAATTTTATCTAATTATTTATTTTTATTCTATCAGTTTTTTTTCTTAATATTTATTTTATTTAGCAAAAAAAAAAAATGATTTTTTTTGTCTATTCACAGAATGTGGGAGAAAAAATTGTACTTGCTGCAGGATATCTTGGATCAGTGGTTGGTGGTTCAGGGAACGTGGATGTATTTGGGGCCAATTTTTTCATCGCCTGATATTCAACAGCAGATGCCCGAAGAGGGTAGGAAATTCAGTGCCGTTGATAAAACTTGGCGCGATATCATGAAAACGGTGAACGCCGATCCTCGTGTTATGTCTGTTGTGAAAATAGATAAAATGCTGGAAAAACTCAAAAAGAGTTTTGGTTTATTGGAATTAATTCAAAAAGGTCTCAATGAATATTTGGAAAAGAAAAGACTCTTTTTTCCGAGATTTTTCTTTCTCTCGAATGATGAACTTTTAGAGATTCTCTCAGAAACCAAGGATCCAACTCGGTAATAATTGAAAAATGAATTCAATTTTAAAAATCAATTTTTTTTTCATTGCCCGAATTTTTAGAGTTCAGCCACATTTGAAAAAGTGTTTTGAAGGAATTGCAAAATTGACATTCGATGAGGATTTGATAGTTCATGCGATGAAATCGGCTGAAGGTGAGGTGGTTGAATTGGTGGATTTAATATCAACAGCGGCTGCTCGTGGACAAGTTGAAAAATGGCTTGTGGAATTAGAAGGTGATATGAGAAAAAGTGTAAGGCAAAAAGTTTATCAAGCAATTGGAGCTTATCCAAATAAGGAGAGGACAATTTGGGTTTTGGAGTGGCCAGGACAAACGGTTCTTTGCGTCAGTCAATTGTATTGGACACAGCAAATTGAAGAAGCAATTGCTGATAAAAATAATTCGATTTTAGCTTTGCAAAAATATCTCGATCAATGTCAAGAGGAATTAAATGCAATTATTTTAATTATCCGCGGGAAATTGTCGAAACAGAATCGTATCACTTTGGGTAAAATTGAAGAAAATTAATATTATTGACTAAATAAATCTCTATAAATATATAATTGAATTTTTGTTACTTATCAACTTTCAGAGGCTTTGGTAACTTTGGACGTTCATGGAAAGGACGTACTAGCAGATCTTGTGAACAAAAAAGTCACAAGCAACAATGATTTTAATTGGCTGTGCCAACTTAGATATTACTGGCAGGTGGGATCAATTTTTCTTTAAATATTTATAATTATTATTTTTTGTAATTTAAATTTTCTTTAAATTTAGCAAGACAATATGTTCACCTATATGATTAATTCGTTTTTGCGCTATGGATACGAGTATCTTGGTAACACGGGAAGGTTAGTGATAACACCTTTAACGGATCGTTGTTATCGTACCCTATTTGGGGCTTTGAGTCTTCATTTAGGTGGAGCGCCAGAAGGTCCAGCAGGAACGGGAAAAACTGAAACCACCAAAGATTTGGCGAAAGCAATGGCAAAACAATGCGTTGTCTTCAATTGTTCCGATGGACTTGATTATATTGCTCTTGGAAAATTTTTCAAAGGTCTCGCATCATGTGGCGCTTGGTCTTGTTTCGATGAATTCAATCGAATTGATCTTGAGGTATTGTCAGTGGTGGCACAACAAATTTTAACAATTCAACGAGGTATTAATTCATCGGCTGAAACGTTACTTTTCGAAGGAACGGAAATTATTCTCGATCCCACTTGTGCTGTGTTTATTACCATGAATCCTGGATATGCTGGAAGATCTGAATTACCGGATAATTTGAAAGCACTTTTTAGATCAGTCGCTATGATGGTACCTGATTATGCATTAATTTCTGAGAATATTCTTTATTCATTTGGCTTTTATAATGGACGATCATTGGCTGTTAAAATTGTCACATGCTATAAATTATGTTCCGAGCAATTGAGTAGCCAATGTCATTATGATTATGGAATGAGAGCCGTCAAGTCAGTGTTAACAGCTGCTGGAAATTTAAAGTTAAAATATCCAAATGAATCGGAAGATATTATTTTATTACGAAGTATCAATGATGTGAATTTGCCGAAATTTTTAAATCAAGATTTACCACTTTTCCAAGGAATTGCGTCTGATCTTTTTCCAGGTGTTATTCTTCCAGAACCAGATTACACGCACATTAATAATTACACGAGGGAAGCGTGCGCTAATCCAAAGGATAATCTTCAATGTACACCTTATTTTCTTGAAAAAGTTCAACAAATTTATGAAATGATGATTGTCAGACATGGATTTATGATTGTGGGTCTACCATTCGCGGGAAAAACATCAGCCTATAAAATGTTAGCCGAATGTTTAACGTTGATGGAGAAAAGAGAATTGATGAATGAACACAAAGTGGAAATCACTGTTATCAATCCAAAATCGATTACAATGGGTCAACTTTATGGGAATTTTGATCCTGCCTCTCACGAGTGGAGCGATGGTATTCTTGCTGTTAGTTATAGATCGTTTGCAAATTCTACAAACGAAAACAGAAAATGGCTCGTTTTTGATGGACCGGTTGATGCTGTTTGGATTGAGAACATGAATACTGTTTTGGATGATAACAAAAAGCTTTGCCTCATGTCGGGCGAGATTATTCAACTTTCTCCTACCACGAATTTGATTTTTGAACCAATGGATTTAGAGGTATTTTCAAATAAATAGAAAATTTTTAAATTATAAATTAATTATATTTATACTGTTCGAAGTGAATTACTTTTTTCCACTATTTTCGACATTAAAAACAAAAATTTTTTTTTATTTAAACATTTATAACTTTTTTTTAAAATTTGAATAGCATTTTTCTTCTTAAAATTGATAAAGAATATTTTTATTCTCAAAAATTGAAAATAACAAAAGAATTTAGTTTTGAATAATTTTTGAAAATTTACTTTATAGTTAAAACTTTTTAAAAAGTATGAGTTTAAATCTTGAGAATTATTATAACTCAAAAATTGTTTTACATATTTGATACAACAATATTTTATGGAATGATTTAAAAAAAATGGTAAATTGAAAAATTTGAAGATAATAATTGGAATTATCTTCAAATTTTTCAATTTTATTGATTATTTTGAGATTATTTCAATTATAATTGAGATTATAATGATTTAACTAATAATTTTTTTTTGTTTGAGTAATTAATAAAAAAAATTTGATATTTTTATTTAAAAAAGCTCTCGGATACGACTTTTTTTTAAATGTAATTTTTTCGACTTATTTTACAGAATAAACTTAAAACTTAATTCATTTTTTTGAATTAAAGACAAAAAGCCTATGATTTTTTTAGTACAAACTGTAGCTCTTCCAAAAATCAATTATTTTCAATCAATTATTTTTAAATCTAAATACCTAGTTCTTGTGAAATTATTTTGAATAATTTTAATGAAATTCTTTGAAAATTTAATTCTTTAAAATATTTTTCAATTAAAGATTCTCTAAAATTCAATTATTGCCTAAAATTCTTTTATAAAAGTCTTTAGTAATTCAGATTTACAAAATTTTTAATTCCAAATCTCCTGAAATTTGATTAACTTTAAAAATCTAGAGTGTAGCTCTTCTAAAATGCAATTATTATTTTTTAATTTTTATTTATAATTTCTTCAAATTACACAATTCATTTTAATAATTTTAACAAAGTTCTTCTAAAATTGAATTATTTAAAATATTTTTTTATTTATTTTTAATTTTTTATTTTTAATTCAATTTTACAAAAATTTAAATTTAAAATCTCTTGAAATTAAATTATTTCTAAAAATTTTAAATATGTAACTCTTCAAAAACTCAATTATTTTTAAAATTATTATCTAAAAAAATTCTTCGTCAAATTAATAATTTTCAATAATATTAATCAATTGTTTCAATTCAAATAATTTTGATCAAATAATTTTAAAATTCAATCATTTTTATGTGTTTTTTTCAGTTAGACATTTTGAAATAATTAATTTTTAATTAATTCAAAACTTTTTATTGTAAATTGTTTGAAAAGGAGAAACATTTTTTTGGAAAATTTTTTTTTTATTACAGGTTGCTTCACCGGCCACAGTTTCTCGTTGTGGAATGATTTACATGGAACCAATTTCTTTAGGCTGGACGCCACTTTTAGATTCTTGGATGAATACACTTCCAGAATTGTTGAGCGATCATGTGAAGTTTCACATCAAGGACATGTTTTTGAGATTTTGTCCTGCTCTCTTGACTTTAATCCGACGATCTGGTGTCAAGGTTACTAAATTTCCCTTACAATCCTTACAATTAACATATTTTATAGAATTTATTTCACCACTTTTTTTTTATAATGAATTATATGTTTTATAGGAAATGCTTTACATGCCTGATGCTAATTTGACTCGATCAGTAATGTACCTCTTTGATTGCTTTCTAATTGACTTTAAAGATGATAAATATATTGAATCTCTCTCGGATTTAGAAATCAGAGCTCAAATCGAGGTGATTAGAAATTAAATCTCCTTTTAATTTTCAGTGTGTTAATAATAATTATTTATTAAAAACAGGGCTCTTTCTTTTTCTCTTGTATCTGGTCAATGGGAGGTACAATTTTACCAACTTATCGTGAATGGTTCAGTATACTCTTCAGAGCACTGATGGAACGTGAATTTCCCAATGATGTGAAGCAACGTTTCATGTTGGAAAAAATTGATAATCCAAAGAAATCATACATCACGATGATGCCAACACTTGGTTTAGTGTTCGACTATAAATTTATCAAGGAAGGTAAAGGCAAATGGACACCATGGACAGATGATTTACAAAATCTTCCGCCAATACCACCTGACATTCCAATGAATCAATTAATTATTCCCACAATAGAAACAGTGAGATATTTTCATTTATTTCAATTGCTCATTTGCAATAAGATACCTGTACTTCTTGTTGGTCCCACTGGAACTGGAAAATCGGTTTATATAACAAATTTTCTGTTAAAGAAAAATGATCCTTTTGTTTATAAACCATTGTTTGTTACATTCTCGGCTCAAACAACATCCAAACAGACGCAGGATATTATAATGAATAAATTGGATAAACGAAGAAAAGGTGTCTATGGTGCTCCACCGGGAAAACAATGGATTGTATTTGTCGATGATGTATCAATGCCATTGAAAGAAGAATACGGTGCTCAACCACCAATTGAATTGTTGAGACAGTGGCTTGATCATTGGTCATGGTATGATTTGAAAGATATGAGTCAATTGAAATTGATTGATGTGCAATTAGTTTGTGCAATGGGTTCACCATCTGGTGGTAAGGATGTGACACCAAGATTCAAGAGGCATTTCTTCACATTAGGTATCTCGGAATTTGAAGACGATGTCATGATTACTATTTTTAGTAAAATTGTAAAATGGCATTTTAAATCTCAAGGATTTTCTGATGATTTTCAATCTTGTGTTTCTTATATTGTTCATGGAACTTTGGAGATTTATAAAGAAACGGCTAAAAATTTACTACCAACACCCGCTAAATCTCATTATTTATTTAATTTACGTGATTTCTCACGTGTTATTCAAGGAGTTTTGCTGTCAAAAAAAGAAACAACAACGAGTGTAGTTAGTTATTTTGCAAAATTGTTTTTTTTTTTCTTTCTAATTTGAAAATCATTCAAAATTTAATAATCAAGTAAAAATGATCTCAACTGTCAAAAAAATTTATGAAATGGAAGTTTGCTAAGCAAAATGTATTAAATTTTGAATAATTTTTTCAATATAACAATTTAAATTTACAAATGGGTAAAATAATTCAAATTCTATTTTTGAAATGTGAGTGTAAATATAGAAAAAATATTAGAATGGGTAAAAATACGAAATGGAGTTTAATAATAATAATTGTTCAAGTAACTAATGAAAACACATTTAATTGGTAAAAATCAGTAATGCTAGCAGATGTAAAAAGGGATTAATGAAAATGTTTGAAAAGTGTATAAAAGATCTGCTAGCGTTACTCATATTTACCCATTAATTTTTTTTCCATTGTTACTTTGAACAATTATTAAACTCCATTTCGTATTTATATCAATTCTATTATTTTTTTTTATATAAAAAAATCTGCAATAAAAAATAATAAAAATTGCAACAGTATATAGTTTAAATTTTTAGTTTTTGAAAATTTTGAATTTTATTATTAAAGGTGATGATATAACTCTTTTTTATAACATTTTCAGGCGTCAATGAAACGTTTATGGGTGCATGAAGTGTTGCGAGTTTATGGAGATCGTTTAGTGGACGATAATGATTCCAATTGGTTGGTAGAACAAATTCGCAGGACACTTTCAAATCAAATGTCTGAGGACATGAATGAACTCTTCAAGGATCTTTTGGATGATGAAAACACAGTGGTATTTATCAACAAAATGATTATTTAATTATAAATATTTAGTAATTAATTAAAATTTATAATTGTAGAATTTCATTTTTTCCAGATAAATGAAGTTCATTTACGCAATTTAGTGTATTGTGACTTTAGTGATCCGTTAAATGAAAACAAAATGTATCTTGAGGTTAAAGATCTTGATCACTTGTCTTATGTTGCTGAAGAATATTTAAATGAATACAATTCAATATCAAAAACACCCATGAATTTGGTTCTCTTCAGGTAATAAATTTAATTCACTGACAATTTTCTAATTGATTTTTTTAAACTAAATTAAATTGAAATTATTGAATGGACTTTCTTTTCAATTAATATATATATATAGATTTGCTGTGGAGCATCTTTCGAAGATAAATCGAATTCTAATGCAACCGAGGAGTCATGCTTTACTTGTAGGAGTCGGTGGATCAGGTCGACAGTCTTTGACTCGATTAGCCTCTCATATATCAGACTATGAATTATTTCAAGTGGAAATTTCCAAACAATATGGAAAACATGAGTGGCATGAGGATTTAAAGAATTTCCTGAGAAAAACAGCAGCCAGTGAATTACATACAGTATTTATGTTCACTGATATGCAAATAAAGGAGGAAGCATTTCTTGAGGATATTAGTAATCTTCTTAATTCAGGAGAAGTGCCAAATCTTTTTGAACCCGATGAGAAAGTGGAAATTTGCGAACAAATGCGACTTATTGATAGACAACGTGACAAATCACTTCAAACTGATGGTAGTCCAATTGCTCTTTTTAATTATTTCATTCAAGTTGTAAAAGAACAACTTCACATTGTCGTTGCAATGTCGCCGATTGGTGATAATTTTCGAATTTGTATTAGAAAATTTCCAGCTCTTGTTAATTGTTGTACAATTGATTGGCTTCAATCGTGGCCCGAGGATGCTTTACTTGCTGTTGCTACAAAATTTCTTGGCGTTATTGAATTACCAGAAATTGAGAGAAACGCTTGCATTGAAATGTGTCAGGCTTTTCATATATCGACACAAAATCTTTCTCGAGAATTTCACATTAAATTAAAGAGATTTAATTATGTGACGCCAACTTCATATTTGGAGTTGATCAATACTTTCAAGGATCTTCTTGAGAGAAAACGAAAAGATGTGCTCAAAGCAAAGAAACGTTATGAGGCTGGTCTTGGCAAATTGGACAGTACTCATAGGCAAGTTGGCAAAATGCAAGAGACACTGATTGCCCTACAACCAAAATTAATTGACGCTGCCAAGGATGTGGAAAAGATGTTGGAGAATGTTGAAAAGGAGAATGTGGAAGTTGTTGCGATTGAGCAGGTGGTGAAGAAGGACGAGGAGGCCGCGTTGGTGAGAATTTGAAACAGCATTTTTTTTTTTTTTTGCGCACAAAAAATCTATAAATTGCGATAAATTAAAAATAATATATTTAAAATTATTTTTGAATTTAAAGTTAAGAAATTAATTGTTATTTTAGGTGGTAGCAGGTGAAGCAGAAGCAATTCGATCAGAATGTGATGCTGATTTGCAAGAGGTGATGCCAATTTTGAATGCAGCAAATACAGCTTTAAATACATTAACTCCGCAGGATATTCAAATTGTCAAGGCAATGAAAAATCCTCCAGCTGGCGTCAAATTGGTCATGGAAGCAATTTGTATCTTAAAAGTAAAAATTCTTGATGAATTTTATAATTGTCATTTTTTCTACTAAGAAATATACACACTTTTTTTGTTTAATACTTCTTCAGGATGTGAAACCTGATCGTGTTCCAGGAGAATCTGGAAGAATGGTGGAGGACTTTTGGAAGCCGTCTTTGCGATTGTTGGGTGATCTTCATTTTCTCGACTCGTTGTTGACTTTTGACAAGGACAATATTTCAGAGAGGATAATTGTCAAGATTCGCACATCGATATTAACAAATCCAAACTTTGATCCTGACAAAATAAGAAATGCTTCAACGGCTTGTGAAGGTTTATGCCGTTGGGTTTTTGCAATTTCTGAATATGAAAAAGTGGCTAGAATTGTTGCACCAAAAAAAATTGCCCTCGCAAAAGCTGAAGCTATTTATAATGATGCGATGGCTCAATTGGAAGTGAAGAGAGCTCAATTAAAAGAGGTTCAGGATCGTCTTGCAATTCTCGAAGATATTCTTGCGCAACGAAAACGTGATTATCAAATGATGACCGATGAAGTTGATGAATGTGAGGAAAAATTAAAAAGAGCCGAAGAATTAATTGGTGGTTTAGGTGGTGAATATAATAGATGGTCAGATACGGCAAAAAATTTAGGAACACGCTATTATCAATTGACTGGCGATATTTTAATTGGATCGGGAATTGTCGCTTATCTTGGTGTATTTACAATGCAATATCGACAAAAACAAATTGAAAATTGGATTTCAATGTGTAAAAATTTAAATGTCTATTGCACAGATGATTATCAATTAACACAAATTTTAGGTGATCCTGTTATGATAAGATCGTGGAATATTTTTGGTTTACCTTGTGATTTATTTTCCATTGATAATGGAATTATTGTTACGAATTCAAGACGATGGCCATTGATGATTGATCCACAAGGTCAGGCTAATAAATGGATAAAAAATATGGAAAAGTCGTCAATGATTCATATAATTAGACTCACACAACCGGAATATATGAGAATTCTCGAGAATGCTATTCAATTTGGTCAGCCTGTACTTTTGGAAAATATTGGCGAGGAACTTGATGCAGCCCTTGAGCCGCTCTTGTTAAAGCAAACCTTTAAATCAAGTGGAACCCTTTGTATCAAGCTCGGCGATTCAATTGTTGAATATAATGACAAATTCAGGTTTTTTTAATTTAATTCTATAATTAAATTTATTATTTTCAATTAAAATACTGAATTTTCGAGAAAAATTTAATTATGGGAAGTTTAAGAATAATTTTTCTTTTGCAGACTTTATATTACTACAAAATTGCGAAATCCACATTATTTGCCTGAGGTTGCAGTCAAGGTGACTCTATTGAATTTTATGATAACTCCTGTTGGTTTGGAAGATCAGCTTTTAGGAATTGTCGTTGCTAAGGAGAGACCAGATTTAGAGGCTGAAAAAAATCAGTTAATTATTCAAGGAGCTGACAATAAAAAGTGAGTATCTATCAAATTCATGGAAGTTAAAAAATTGATAAAATTTATTTTCACTTTATATAACTTACATAATTTTGGTTAACTTGCTTAAATTAATTTTAATAATAATTTTAACTAATGTTTTCAATTTGTTTGTTTGTTTTTTTTTTTAATTTAAGACAAATGATTACGAAAATTAGATTGATTGCAATTTATAAAGTTTAAAATGATTTAATATTTATTGAAAAAAATTGAATAATTTTTGAAAATTTATTTTATAATATCAATAATTTAATATAATATATTTCATCTTAAAAATTTTGTTGAAAATCTTAATTTATATCAGACTTGAGAAACTTTTAAGAAGAAAAGAACTGATATTAATTTATTTAATATTTAATAGTAATAGTTAGTAATGAATATTTAATAATAATAATAATAAAAAGTAAATGTAAATAAATCAGATTATAATAATTCATAAATATTATAGGATGCTAAAAGAGATTGAGGATAAAATTCTCGAAGTCTTATCAGCGTCTGACGAGAATATCCTGGAAGATCAGACAGCAGTTTCCATTTTAAGCTCGTCGAAAGCCCTCTCGAATGAAATCGAAGCTAAACAAACGGCTGCTGAAATTACGGAGAAGTCGATCGATGCGGCAAGACTGCAATATACATCGATTGCTGTTTACAGTACCGTTCTTTTTTTCACTATCGGTAGGTTGGAAATAAATAATTCTTTTTTTTTATCAATACAGAATGAAAGTTTCTTGCTTATTTCTTTTTTGAAAAAAAATTTTTTTTTAAACTTTTTTCAGCGGTATTGGCAAATATTGATCCAATGTACCAGTATTCTCTTGTATGGTTCGTAAATCTTTTCAAGACAACTATCGACAATACATCGCCAGTGGAAAATATAGAGCAGCGATTAAAGGATCTCACGAAATCCTTCACGTATTCCTTGTACGTCAACATATGTCGTTCCCTATTTGAGAAGGATAAATTGCTCTTCTCCCTTCTTTTGACTGTGAATTTGCTCAATAAACAGGGAAAGATGTCTATGGTCCAGTGGATGTTCTTTTTAACTGGCGGTGTCGGTTTGGAGAACCCTCATCACAATCCCACTGAATGGCTTCCTGCAAAATCCTGGGATGAATTGTGTCGGCTTAATGATATTCCAGGATTCACGGTAAATATATATTGCAAATGTTTCTCATTAATTAATTAATTAATTAAAATGAAATAGTTTCAAAATTTTGAATTTTTGTTTTTTAAATGTAATTCGCTCTATTATTTAAAAATTCTAAAATTCGATTTATTTGTTTTTTTTTCTAATAAATACGAAGTCAAAATCATAATTTTTAAAATATTTTAAATAATATTGTCTAGAAAATCAAAGAAGCAGTGACAAAAAATATTAATGGATGGAAAGTCGTCTTTGATCACAAAAAGCCGCAGACATTAACGTTGCCGGCTCCCTTCGATAAAATAAGCTTATTTGAAAAGATACTCATTATTCGGTGCATGAGACCCGACAAAGTTGTATCTTCAGTACGAAACTTTGTTGAAGGTATTGAAGTTTAAAAATGATTTACGTACCTTTGAAACAAGAAATGGTTTCATTAATTTTTTTTTTCTCGAACGATGACAAAAGTGCATTTTTCTATTATCTGTACTTTTTTCCAACTTATAGAAATTATAACTGAAATTTATATAAAACACCATTAGTCACTCACATATATATATATATATAGAAGGAAAATGTTTTTCATTTTTTTTCCATTTAATATGTGGAGAATTAAAAATTATAGAACGTTAAAAGCTTTTTTAGGAAATATTTTTCTTTAATTTTTTGTCGCAATGGTTTTTTTTTATAATACACGATGAATCATAATAAATAATTTATAGCTGAAATGGGGAAACAATTTATTGAATCGCCACCGTTTGATTTGGCGGCATCGTACGCTGATTCCTTCTGCAGTGTTCCTCTTATTTTTGTATTGACTCCGGGCGCTGATCCAACTGCGGTTTTACTCAAGTTTGCTGATGATCAAGGTTTCGGTGCTAATAGACTTTTCTCCCTGTCATTGGGTCAAGGCCAAGGACCAATTGCCGAAAGGATCATTGACGAGGGAATCAAAAATGGAACATGGGTGGTATTGCAAAATTGCCATTTAGCCAAGAGTTGGATGGGTACACTCGAGAAGGTAATTTTTTTTTTTTATATTAATTGAATTTCGCTTTTAAGAATTTTAATTAATTCTATTCTTCATGAATAATTAAATTTGTTCCTTGTATAAATTATTGAATTTTCTTTTTTTAACATTGAGAATTATTGAATATTTGCTTAATAAGATAATTGAACTCTTTCTTTTCGATAACGATTAATTATTATTTTTAATAAATTTTGTCCCTTGGAAGTAGAAGATGGTTGAAAATTCTCAGATGTTTAATTTTTAAATTAGAGAAGAAAATTATGAAATTTTAATTAACAATTCAATATTTAATTGTGTACTTAAGTAAATTAATTAGATAATAATAAGTCATTTTTCTAAAAAATGGAGACTTTTAATAATTTTAATTAATTTTTTTTTTTTTTTTGTAGATTTGTGAAAGCTTCACGCCGGAAACGGTTCATCCGGATTTTAGACTTTGGTTAACGAGTTATCCAGCGGACCATTTTCCCGTTAGTGTTCTACAAAATGGAGTAAAGATAACAAATGAACCACCCAAGGGTTTAAAAGCAAATATCGTTAGATCTTTTCAACAGGTTGTACATCATTCACTTTTTTTTCATAAATTCGAATTATTCTTCATTTTATTGCAATCTTTAAATAAATAATATTGAAAAAGAAATTTTCCAATAATTTTCTACATTTTATTATTTCTTTTTTTTAACTTATGTTCAATAATTAATTGTTTCTTTTTATGATTTTGTGCTTTAGGGCCGATATTTGAGTTTTCGAATTTTTTTTTTTTTTTTTTTTTTGCAGGACCCAATTTGCGAGCAGGAATTTTTCGCGAAATCGAAGCAACCAGAACAATTCAAAAGATTGATTTTTGCGCTGTGCTTTTTTCACGCTATTGTTCAAGAGCGTCGAAAATTTGGACCACTCGGCTGGAATAACCCTTATGAATTCAACGAGACAGATTTACGAATTAGCGTGTTGCAATTAAAAATTTTTCTCGATCAATACGAGGATGTGCAATTTGTTGCTTTAAAATATCTGACAGGTTTGAATAAATGTCCAATGTTGATTTTATTATACGCATATAAATATAACTTCAAAAGCCCAAATGCTTTGAACTGGATAATTTGATTTGATTTTAATTTGTAAAAGGTGAATGCAATTATGGTGGTCGTGTAACGGATGAATGGGATCGACGGACTTTAAACACGATTCTCGCTAAATTCTATAACGAGAACGTGATTATTGTTAATGAGCACGCCTTTGACGAAAGTGGTATTTATCATGTGCCCCAGGTAAATGAATATGGACAATTTTTGGGATACATCAAATCCCTTCCAATGATAACTGGTCCCGGTGTTTTTGGTATGAATGAAAATGCTGATATTGTCAAGGACCAACAGGAGACTCAATTAATGATGACGTCGATTTTATTGACTCAGGTGGAATTTTTTATTATAAAATTTCAAATAAGAGATTTCGATTTTTTTTGAGGAAATTAAAAAAAAATATTTATAAAATAATTACAGGACACTGCCGCTGATGATAATGATGATAATGAGAGTAGTAAATCACCAGATGAAATTGTATTTGGAATTTCAATGGATATTTTATCAAAATTACCAAACGATTTTTATCTTATTGAAGCTTTGAAAAAATATCCAACTTCATATGAGCAAAGTATGAATACAGTTTTAGTTCAGGAAATGGGGAGATTTAATAAACTTTTGCAAACTATTAGAGATAGTCTTTTAAATTTACAAAAATCAATAAAAGGTAAATTTTACTTCAATAATATTGATAAAAGTGAGTTTTTTTTTTTTTTATATATATAGAATTTTTGTATTTTTAAGGTCTTGTGGTGATGAATTCTGATCTTGAAGAAATTTACACATCAATGATCACAGGAAGAATTCCGATATTATGGAAGAAAAATTCTTATCCTTCTTTAAAGCCATTGGGAAGTTACATACAGGATTTTCTTCGTAGATTAAATTTCCTTCAGGTATGTGAATAATTTTTATCTTGAGAAAGAAAATAGAATTTAAAAATAATTAATTTATAGAGAATTTAAGAAAAAAGGAAGTTATTTTAAAAATGAAACAAGAATTTATAAACGATAATTGCAGAAATGATTAATAATAAAAATTGTCGTTAAAAAATTTTTTATTTAAAGAACTGGTACAATGATGGACCACCAAAAACTTTTTGGATATCTGGATTTTATTTTACGCAAGCATTTTTGACCGGTGCTCGACAAAATTATGCGAGAAAATATTCAATTCCGATTGATTTGTTGATTTATGATTTTGTGCCTTTGAAAGAAAGGGAATTCTCAGAAGCACCGTCTGATGGAATCTATATCTATGGATTGTTCTTGGATGGTGCTCGCTTCAATATGAATGAGATGAGACTCGATGAATCTCAACTAAAAGTGCTTTTTGATACAATGCCTTATGTAAGTTTTTTGAAAAAATAAATAAATAACTAAATAAATAAATAAAAATGATAAAATATGTTATGTAGAACTTAAATTTTTTTCATTAACAGCTGTGGTTGATTCCAATGACCAAGGATAAAGTAAAGAAAAGATTAGTTTATACATGTCCAGTTTATAAAACCAGCGAAAGGCGTGGAGTACTTTCAACAACTGGACATTCAACTAATTTTGTTATTGCAATGTGGCTTCCAACGATTCATTCAGAAGAACATTGGATAATGAGAGGCGTCGCTATGCTCTGCCAATTATCTCAATAAAACAGGTATGCAAATAATTAACATAGTTTTTTTTCCATTTCTTTAATTATTATTAGCAATTATTAATTAACGAGTTTTAAGAGTTACTGTTGAGGTGCTTAAATAAAATTCATTAGTTCGAATTTTCCTTTGACATAATTTCAAAATAGGTAGAATTTTCATTTTTCGAATTTTTATTCAATTGAATTTAAATTAACATGAATTTTTAAGTCTACTAATTTTTATATATCAAAATTTTCATTTTATAGAATTTCTCTTTATTTATAACTTTTCTATTTACATGATTTCTAATTTAAACAAAATTTTAATTTAGTATAATTTTAAGTGAGATGAATTTTTAAATTGAAATTTTGGTGAAATTTTTATTTGTACAAATTTGTTATTTGATAGAATTCTTAAAACGACAATATTTCATTTGATCTAAATTGGAAATCGACAGAAATTCTATTAATTTTTAAAATTTGATTAAATTAAAATTGTAGACAGTGTGAAAATTCGGTTAAATAAAAATTCAATTAACTAGAGATTTATTATAATTCTTATAAATACGATTCATTATATTAAAATGTCAATTAATAAGATTTTAAGAATATTTAATAATAAAGTAAACAATTACTTATGAAATGAATCGATTTTAAAGAGAAATAATTTTTATTTTACATTTTTTGAGCTTTTAAATTTCTTACTACAATAAAAAAAAGGTGTAAGATTCAAATATGAAAAGCTAATATTTCAAAGATGAATTGAGATGAAAATAAAATTTTATACATCTAGATTTGAATTTAAATTTGAAAAATTTTGTTCAACTCGAGAAAGTGCTTTTTGACGGGAAGTTGCTCTACATGAGAATGTAGACTATAGGGCCTGCGCCCTTGGGACTCCTTTCCATTATTTGGATGCATATAGATCTCAAGGGAGAAAATTGATGGAGACGATCCAGCGAAAACAAACTGTCCATTACTTATTATCTTGCGAATATTTTTATAATATATTTATGGTATTTGAATAAGAAGAAGAAAAATCAAGTTTTCCCTTTGAAATATTATTTATATTTGAAGTAGACTTATCAAAAATCAATACTTTTATTATACACGTATATAAGGGGTGATTTATAAAAGAAAAGTTTAAAAATAAATTACCTCATTGAATATGTTTATATGTCGTCAAAATATATAAATTTTTAATGATTCCAACTTGACATAATCGTATTTGGGTCAGAATTTCTCAAACGGATCATCTAAAATTAAAAAATTTAATTTTCAATGTTAAATCGTTTTTTTTTTAATTCTAATGTAATCAAAATAAGTTTTCGAAAATATTAACCCCTTGACAGTCCAGGGCCCATATGTGGCCAGAAAAAGTCGTGCCACCTTTGTGCAAGTGGCCATATATGGCCATCGCAAAAAAATAATACTAAATTTAATTTGATTCGCCTGAAATTTGTTACTCGGGGGTTTTTGGGGTCGCTGAATCCAAATTTGAAGTCAGATTTCAAAAAAACAAAATGGCGGACCCAAAATGGCGACCATGAAAACTTAAAATTTATCAGATTTACATGAAACTCGTTGCTTAGGGGTTTTCGGGGTCTCTGATTACGAATCTGAGGTCGGTTTTTCAAAATTCAAAAAGGCGGATCCAATTTCAAAAAACCGACCTCAAATTCGAATTCAGCGACCACAAAAACCCCCGAGTAACAAATTTCAGACAAATCGGATTGATTTTTTAAAAATTTGTCCGCCATATTGGATCCGCCATTTTGAATTTTGAAAAACTGACCTCAAATTTGAATTTAGCGACCCCAAAAACCCCCGAGTAACAAATTTCAGGCATATTGGATTGATTTTTTAAAAATTTGTCTGCCATATTGCATCCGCCATTTTGAATTTTGAAAAACTGACCTCAAATTCGAATTCAGCGACCACAAAAACCTTAAATATGATGAAGTCATATTTTTTTGGAAACTTTTTTTTCGGACCGTTTTAGGCCCACCAGCGATTTTTAACTGGACTGCGAAGGGGTTAAACAAAAAAAAAAAATTTTTTTTCGTTATAGTTATAAACAACCAAAATTTTGATTTGTCTTAAATAAAAAAAAAAATTTTCTCGAAATCTAGTTGACCAATTGAAAAACAAAAAAATATGGTTTTCTCGTCTTAAAACGCAGTATTTAAAATTAATTTTTGTTTAAAAAATTTTTTTCAACAGTTTTTTAAATTGTTTATTTATTTAATGTTAATAAATCGCGCATCATTTTCAATAAAGAATATTAATTATTATTAATTATTTAATTATAAAACTAAAAAAAATTATTTGATTCAAATACTCGATTACAATAAAAAAAATATTTACTTGAACCAAATAATTTTTATTTGAATTAAATAAATTCTATTTGAACCAATAATGACTGTCTTCGAAATAAATACCATTTAATTTATTCAAATAATAATTATTTAATACAAATAAATTTTTTTTTTCAGTGTACATAAATAATAATTTATTAATTAACTTTTTTCTAATTGAGTGGCATTTTTTTCTCAACGGTTTTTTATAAATGTATTCAGAATTTAAAAATATTTTTAAATTTTACATTGAACATAAAGAACACTTTTTTGTTGTTAACTATTTATAAATAAACAATATAAAAAACTGATTGAAAAAAATTTTTATTCACAAAAATTATTTTTAAATAGGTTCTAATACGTTTTAGAAGGAGAAAAAGCAATTTTTTTTTGTTTTTTTTGTCAACTGGATCTTGAGAAAATTTTTATTTTTCATTTAAAACTTGTCTGGCTTCAACTGTCTTTAATACTAATTATACATATTAAAAAATTACTTATAGTATTCAAATCGTTTCGCCTGACAGAAACTGACTTTAACTACTGAAAATATAATTACTAAATTGTGAAACGTCTTGTCTTGCTTGAATTATATTTAATTTGTGATATTATATTATTGACAAGAAATTTAACTGTCTGGTCTGAAAATAACTATCTCTCACTACTAAATATATACACTAGAAAAAAACAGTATTCAATCAAGAAAATCCATTTACTTGTCCGTATTTAATTCAATCTTTTCTTAAACCAAGAAAATTTTACTAGTTTGAAGTAAATTTTCTTAAATTAAGAAAATAAGTGGATCAAATATGGACAAATAAATCATTTTTTTGAATCAATGATACTTTTTTTCAGTGTATATAAGGCAAATTTTCTAAAGTAATCCAATAGCAAAAATGTGAATAATTGAATTTTTTTCGAAATGTTTTTGCCAACTCTTATACTAATGGTGAAAAATATTTTTTAAAAATTCAAAATTTACACTTTTTTTATTTTTTTTACTCCTTAAAAAGAAGCTTAAAATGTATACTATTAAGCCTCCTTTTAAGAGATTTAAATTAAATTTAAAAATTCAAAAATATTTTTACTTTTTTTAAAAAAGGGTAAATTTTTGATTTTTTTTCAAAAAAATAGTTAATTAATTATTAATAAATAACTTCTTTTCCAATTAACTTTGTGCGATTCCAAGTGAGATTTTGACTTTTTCGGAGTAGGTTAACCGATTGCAATGAAACTTTGGAATTTTGTTATATATAGTAAGACTAATCTTTAACGTAAATTTCAGCCTAAAATATTTGTTAGTTTACGAGATTTGCAATAATAACAAAAAATTTAAAACTGCTATATCTTCCGTTCTAATAAACGGATTGAGGTCTACTTTTTTTTAAAATGTCAAGGAAAATGAGAGGAATAAATCTCTTTCAGAACATTTTTTTATAATTTTACAACTAAAAAAATTATTAAATAATAATTGAATAACTTTCGCGCGACTAACTAAAATTCAATCACTTAAACGCTAAAATGATCTTACCTGTGTTTTCTTTAATGTTCCAAAGGATTTTTATTGTAAATGTAAGTTTAACTTAAGAAATTTTATTAATTTATTAGTATAAACAATTGAGATTTCTGCTAGTTGACGTGCAGACGACATTGCGCACGCAGCATTCTCACATAGCCAACTGACGTGATTCGTGGACTAAATTGGCTATGTGAGAATGCTGCGTGCGCAATGTCGTCTGCACGTCAACTAGCAGAAATCTCAATTGTTTATACTAATAAATTAATAAAATTTCTTAAGTTAAACTTACATTTACAATAAAAATCCTTTGGAACATTAAAGAAAACACAGGTAAGATCATTTTAGCGTTTAAGTGATTGAATTTTAGTTAGTCGCGCGAAAGTTATTCAATTATTATTTAATAATTTTTTTAGTTGTAAAATTATAAAAAAATGTTCTGAAAGAGATTTATTCCTCTCATTTTCCTTGACATTTTAAAAAAAAGTAGACCTCAATCCGTTTATTAGAACGGAAGATATAGCAGTTTTAAATTTTTTGTTATTATTGCAAATCTCGTAAACTAACAAATATTTTAGGCTGAAATTTACGTTAAAGATTAGTCTTACTATATATAACAAAATTCCAAAGTTTCATTGCAATCGGTTAACCTACTCCGAAAAAGTCAAAATCTCACTTGGAATCGCACTTTCATCTTTTTTTCTCAACGGTTTTTTACTAAAGAAATAAATGCGGAATATAATAAAAAAATTTCAATTTTATGTAGAACATGAAGAATACTGTTTTTTATTAACATTTTATAAATAAACAAATAAGTTTTAGTCAGACTAATATAATGTTATTAACTAGTGTTAAAAAAATTGTAGCTCAGTAGTAACGATATAATTTCTAGTCAGACAAAAATTTTCAATCTCCTCTGTAATTTTATTATCGAGTAGTTAAAGAAAGTTTTAGTCAGACAAGAATGTGGCTACAACTGTTGAAAATTTTATTGAATAGCAAGTTCAGTCACATTGAATTGAGCAAGTTCATTTCATTATAGATCTAAATGATATGGTTCAAAAGATATAATTTTAATTTACTAATGATTAAAATCGCAATAAATTTGATCTAAAATTTTGGATTCATTCCAATATAGATAATCTATTTTCAAT